GGTTGAATTCAGGTTCTGTTCATAAACAAATTCAAATTTGGGTGCGTTTATTCTTTAAATATTGCAGATTTATAGTCACTAAAAATGCGGTGCTCAGGTCTTCCTCAAGGAGATAATTTGATCCAAAACTTCAGACTGAAAAACCTGGGTGCGCATCATACTCAAGGGTTCATGGTACTCAAGTAAATACTGTGCAGTACTTCAACACTACTTCAAATTCCTGCAATAAAATAATAAACTACCATAAAGTCATTGTTAGTGGTGCCCATCCACACCTGGACATCAACATTTTTAAAAATATGCAGGAAGTTTGACTTCCTCATCAATCAGGATCACAGGTTAATAGCTTCACCATGAAGGTCACACTTGTCTCATGTGCAGGGTTTTGGTTCAATAAACAACAAATACATAGAAAGTCTTCAGAATAATGTTGAAAACCCTCCCCCACGAGGTAAACTGATGGCCGCCATTCAAATTTGACAAGCTTTTTTCATCATCTAGTAGATGTCACTGCACGAGAGGTGGGTTACTTCCTTCCAAAAAAATAAAATGAAACATGCAAACCCTGGTGGTACGTTAAGGGCCACCACTCTTGTTTTCGATAAAGTTTTGGACATGCAAAACGAAGCCTTGAAAAGAAACAGATGGCTAAGACCTTAAGAATGACACAATCAATCAATTGACACAACGTCGATCACTTAATAAATAACCACCAATCCTTCGCACTTCCACAGAAATTCCGTAAATTTTTCCTTGAATAAAAAGAATTCGCGTCTGAAAAAAAAAATTAAAAATCCATTAACCTTACTGAAGTTCAACTTTTGTTCACTGGCACTCAAAATGCGGGTTTCCATCAATCGAGTTTCACTTCCAAAAAAATTCCGACACTCTCGAAACAAGTCGATATATACGCGAGAAATAATGACTAAAACCTCACTCCAACAACGTGAAGTCTTTTCAACACAACGAGGGGTTTAACCCAAAAATTCGTCAATAACAGCACAAAGATAGCCCAAAACGGCATCGGGCTTCACACGGTGATTATCGTCCGTCGGACAATACTTTCCCGTTCGGACAAGTATTCCCATCATCCCCGACTTCATCGCTTTCAATATCATCCTCGATCATCACAACTTCCTCGGGTTTCATCCCGAGCCGTTTCCCGCCTTCCAGGAAATAGGATTCCGATGGTTTCCCTATCACTTCCGTATCTCACACCACACGCGTACTCGAGTCCTACTGCAAATGGTCCCACGCCCGAAGTCAGCTCACCGTCTTCTTGCCAGAATTTTCTGCAAACATCGATCGAACAAAAAATTCATTACGATTAAGCGAAACCTAGCTTTTTACTTTGCAGTACAGTAACTTCTGAAAAAGAAAACTTGCTTCTTTCGTAAAAGAAGCTCTCGAGAGAAAATCTGGAAACTATATCCATAACATTTCCGTGAACATTTCAATGTCCACCGTTGAACTCAAATTCGTTTCTATGCGATTTTTGAGCTTTTAATAAAATTTCCCAATCAAAACTGGTACAGAAAGAAGAAAACTTTGCTTCTCATATCTTTTTACATAATGTCATGAACAAATAATGGGCGATTCACTACAGTCGAATCGTTCGTTCCTCAGGAGGAAAACAATCCTATTCATTAGCACGACCACATGAGAACTTTTTTTCATCCTTTTATTTTTTGCGAGCAAAAATAAAATGAAAAAGCTGACTAAAATATTGCAATTCAAAAATGTTAAGAACAATGAATGTTGAAAGTGGAATGTGAACCCAAATATAATTCTATTAAACTGCTTCGTAATGGGATTAATTTCCAAATGTTACTCCTCATATGATTGCGTTGAAGACCTAGAAAAAATAATGTACCTTCTTCGATTACATTTTTGCTGTTGCAGGACAAAATCGTCACATTCAAAATGCAATCGAATGACCTTACTAAATGCAAGTTATTACAGTAAAATCTCGTTATAACAAACTTTCAAGGTCCTGACGAACACTTCGCTATACGTCGAAATCTATAGTCTTCTAAACGGATGAACTTTTGTGGGAAATTTTTAATAAACATTGTGAAGTTCTTCTGCAACACATGTATCGAAAAATTATCATTATTTCTAACCCTCTTTCATGAAATTCAACCGGAGACTTTGAAAAACTCCCTCCTATTTTGAAACTGCCTTGCGGCGTGATTTCCTAATAATGGGCTGATCTTGAATTATAAAATGATACAAGTGTCAGGCAAAAACGTACCTCCTTCCAGAGTCATTTATTCAAGCGCATCCATTTGTTCTTTGATTCAAAGGCAGATTCATTCTTATTGGGATTACTGTACTCTTCATTTAAAAAAAGACCCATTTAAAAATTCTCAAATGTGCCTCAACAATTTCTAGGAAAATATCATGATGTGCATTTTTTTTATTGAAAAAAGTTTGTTTTGCATTAAACTGCATCCAATTTTATGGGGATATATCGGACCTATTTGATGGAACAACGTTAGTAAACGCTCAAGGTTCTCTTTCCGTGAATGCGGCCTGACTTCATCTATCCTCCAAAGGTGGATGTGCCTCAGTCTTTCTTCATCAACCGGGGAAGAAGGTCCGAGCCCCCTCGTACCCCTTCTTTCTTCCTTGGCATTTCTCCTAACCGGCGTTTTCCTGTGATCATGGGCAACCGGCCCGCCGATACGGTGTTCCCTCTTTTTTGCGCGTGGTCCCAGAGATTCTGCCAAAAAAAAAAAAAAAATAGTGAGGGATAGGATACTTTGTGTACATGATGTATCCTTCTCATCATTCTTCACACTAGTGTATATATATTTATTTTTCTATCACTTCTCTCTCTGCACAGGAGTGATATATATTCTCTCTTTGACGAGTGTTCAAAACAAATCATGTTATTCTTGGATGATGATGATCAACCACCTTCTCCCATCTCACATGAAGAGGTGGGAGATGTCAATAGTGGAAGAGATAGCAAGATTCGCAACATCGCCTCTGGTTTCCCAATCGACCTTCCAACAGACGAGGAACACATAAGTAAGTCACTTTCCTCCCCTATGTGAAAAGTGGCTTTATGTTCAAATTTGAGCAGATTCAATTATCTTGCTCTCATCTGCCCGGTGGTTCTATCAATCCATCCATTGGCTTTTATTGGGAAAGGTCAGTGAATGCCTTGTCCCCGTGCTCCTGATTTATATCAGCGAAGCCTCTTACCTTTTAAGGTATATTGTATTTAAAACCCTGTGGGGTTTTCTCCTCTGCTTATAGCTTTGGAACCACCACCCAAGCATCAACGTTTGGATGAAACACCATCCGACAATAGCGAATTTGCAGAGCTCGAAGTTGAACTCTTGCCAAAATCCCTTGGACCTACCCTTTGCGAAAGTGTGCGTCGTCACCAGGAACTCTTTTTTGCTGAACCATTTCTTTCATCAGCTCTTCTACCAACCTTTCTGGAAGAAAGTGAAAAGACATACCCTCAACCTACTAACACATCAGTTGGGGTAGTTCCTCGCACTAATGCGCCGATTTTTAAAAATCTGCCTGTCACTCACCAACAACTGGACGCAAATTTTCAAAAAATGCAAAGGTCCATCTCCGTCACACACAGATCATTAGTTGATCTTCTGGATGACGTGAAATCTATTCCAGACCTTTGCAAAAAGGTCTCAGCTGCAATGAAATTCAATGCTTCTGCCTACCTCCTGGTTGCAGATCAACGATGCAAATCTATAGCTTGAGGCCTTCGAATTCAACACCTTTGCAATTTATATTCCTTCTAGAGATAATCCTGCAGATATCCTTTCTAGAACTCTTTCCCCATCTGAGGCTCTCAATCTGGATGCAGAATGGCAACTAAAACCAGCAATATTTCACAGTATTTGCACAAAATGGGATTTTGTTCCCTTTATAGATTGGTTTGCCAATTCTTTGAATGCTCAAACACATATTTTTGCCTCTCGATTTTTTGACCCCTTAGCCTCCCATATCGATGCCTTTAACTCCTTTTGGGGTTCTTCTAAAGGTTATTTTTTCCCTCCTTTTTGTATCCTACACAGGGTTATCGCCAAAATCATCCAAGAAAAATCCGAGGCTATCCTCATTCATCCAAAATGGCCCTCTCAGATTTGGTGGCCCCTGTTAATCCAACATCGTCAAGCCTCTCTGGATCTACCCAAGGCTGCAGAAAGTCTACATCTTCCTCAACACCCTCATCTCATACATCGTCTTCAAAACATGCCTCTTCAATCCTCTCTCTTTTTCCGACAGTGAAAGGAGCTTCTCAGGCAGTTCAACATACTATCGAGGCTTCCCTTTCACCTTCCACCATCAAACTCTACGATTCATTTGCTCGTCGCTTCGGAAAATTTCTTTTGGAAAAAAATATACATCTTGATGATGTAAATACCTTGACTATCCTTGAATTCCTCAGTCCATTTGCCTCTTCAAATTACTCCTTTTCCTATGTGCGCACTCTTCAAAGTTCTATACTCAGAGCCGTAACCCTCCGCCGTCCAGATTTTTCTCTGGACTCCATTCTCTTAAAACAATTCATGGCAGGCGCTAAAAACTCCTGCCGGTTCTTCACCCGCAAAGAGATCACTTGGGATGCGCAAGTTGTGATTGATTTTATCAATTCACAACCTTTTCCAAATTCTTGCGCCAGATTAGCCCAAGAAACCTTGACAATCTTAGCTCTTGCAACCGGAGCAAGAGTTGATGATCTCTGGAAGCTGGGAGCTGCAATTTTTCCTCAAGGTAGAGGTTTCTTTATTCCCTTCCTTGAACACCAAAAAACCTCTCGCTCCATACAAAATTCTCGTTCAGGAATTACTGTGACCTCCTTTCAGGTCAAGCGCATTTGTCCAATCCATTTGATCCAACAATATTTAAATCTTACTACTATCTTTCCCTCCCGATCCAATTTCCTTTTTGTTCGTTCTGACAATGGAGAAAGGGTTCAGAAAAGTACTCTCCGTTCTTGGCTCATTTCTACTCTTCTAAGAGCTGGGATCATAGCCTCCCCTGGCTCCACCAGAGCTGCCGCTGCAAGTTTTGCTGACGCCAATAACCTGTCATTTAATCAAATATCCCAAATGACAGGCTGGCTAAGGCAATCCACCTTTAGCACTCATTATAAAAGGACTATTGTCCCTAAAGGTGGAAACCTCATGTATAAAGGTCCTTGAATATATTATTATGCACTTGTATTTTATTCTTGGATATGTATTTTATTATCGTCTCGTGCATTGGTGTTGCCTTACCTCCTTTCGGGATTTTATATGTGATGGTTTATATATTATTGCATTGTTTATGCATATTGTATGTACAATATACATACTTTACTTACTCAGAGATCCCCTTTTTTCTTATTTCTCTGGATCTCTCATCTTCCCCGCTTGATACACATCAGTTGCTCAAGCTGGTTCTAAAGGATTCACGGAAAGAGAACCTTGAGCGTTTACTAACGGAGTCCCAGTCCAGCAAAGCGTTAGACTGGGATGTGTTAGTATTAGCGTAGAAGGTTCTCTTTACGTGAACCCCATCCCTCATACCACCCTGCTGATCTTTGACAGCTCTCGCATCTGTGTGGTTTTTTCTTAATACTGAGGCACATCCTCCTTTGGAGGATAGATGAAGTCAGGCCGCATTCACGTAAAGAGAACCTTCTACGCTAATACTAACACATCCCAGTCTAACGCTTTGCTGGACTGGGACTCCGTTTGCATTTGGTTTCAGTACTGTGTAATAACTTAATAAGCACATAAAAACCAGTATTTTCTAGAATTGGGTTTACAGCTACTTGCTGAAGTGAACGAAGGACAACTTCTATTGTCAGAGGGTTTTCCCAGTTGTGCGCAAAGTTGAAAGATTCCAACATAGATAAAAATTTGAAAAATTTTCTGAGCTGCAACTGCTTACATAGTTGAAAATGTCTAACATTGGTTTATTCCCCATGCTACAATTGCTTTATAAGTTACTGTACCAGTTTTTTTTTACTATTTTCCAGTGGAGGGCATGACGGGCAATGGGCAAACTTTTCCATTTTAACCAATGTTTTCTACTCATTCAACAGTGAACTGCAGCGAATTGGTCAAGACAGCTAAAAAATTGAGATTTTTTTTTCAGTTGGATACGACCTTTCTCACATATTGTGATATGGTTAAAAAAATTGGGATCATTATTAGTTTACAAAACATAAAAAATACGAAACTTTGCGGAGGTTGCAAATTCAAGGGGTTAATTTATAATTAAATATTTTATATCAGAAATTATTGCGGAACTATGATGAGAAGAGTCAACTTTCATCAAATACTTTTTCAACTCATTTTATAATGTACACTGAAAATACAAAAAAAAATCTGAAAAATTCCTCAAGTCTTGAAACTTCTTCGGAGAATTAATCCAATTTTTATCTGAATAATTGTTGCAGATATCGAACTGTGCGCATGAGTGGTAGAACACTTTCATTATAAAGAAAGCATATGATGGAAAATGTCGTCTTACCTTGTTGAGATACGGTAGACCCACGAATCGTGAGAGAGCACTCAACAACACCTGCTCCCGCTGATAAGTGAGAATAAGTATGGTGAATTGCTCGTGCGGCAGGTTTCCACCCAGCGCCTCACTCATCTCTTTCCCCGCGCCGCCTTGGCCACCGCCCAATGGCCTAAATCCAGCCCCGGAACCTCTAAATAGCGCTTCCGACAACAGCCAAGGATCACTAGGTCTTGCTGAGAATGTCCAATGAGGCTGGAACCAGTCGTTCCAAATGGCAGAAGAGTCCAACAGCAACTGGCTCACGTTGCGTGTGAATGTGACGGACGGAGTGGGCGGTTCGTGGGCCGGGCCCAACATCTCTTGCTCCTCTTCGGTTTCTCCACGCGGTGGCTCGAAAGTCAGCATCTGCGGGGTGAGATAAAACAATAAGAGTGGAAAACATTTTCAATTACTGACTACAATTAGTACTCTATAATTACCCTTTTCTAAGGATTATTCGTTCTAAAATTTTGACGAAAATTGCATTCCAAAGTAAGACACGCACCCTATTTTTAGTGACTCTAAAACTGAAATACAGTATTTCATAAATAAGAACATCCAATTTAGACATCAATTGAACCAGAATTCAACTAATTTTCAATTTTTTCCATAGAAATACGTTTTTATCATTTAATTGGTCAAAAATTTCCCAATTATCAAGCGCTGTAGAATATAAATATATAATGCACCCCTAAACCTCTAGAACTCTTTGGAAAATGTATACCCGCCTATGACGCGGACACCCTTTTTTCTTCTGGTACACAAGTAAATATGCCTCACATTATTCCCATCACTCACTGGATTTTTAACAGGATCATGCATCGGGGTATAAGCAACATCTGGCGCCGGTGGCGGCGGCAACAACAGCCGATGCCGCATGAGCCCCACCACGGCCCTCAGCACCCGAGCCGGACTACTAAAATAATTTCGCCACACGTGCCAGCCCTGCCGTCGCATAGCCAGCACGTCCGCGTCACCCAAACTGCGAAGCACAAAATGCAGCTCCGGCAGACGCGCCGGCGCCACTCGAACCACACACCGCCGCCAGTCAATCACCTCATCCAGCGGCAACCAACCCTCGTCAATATCCCGCGACCACAGCAATACAGGCACAGCACCTGCCCGCAAACACTCGACTAAGCGCACGTGCACTTGTGCTTGTTGCGACGGCAAAACGAAACAGAATGTCGACTCTTCCAAGATGCGACGTCGGGCTTGATCCCCCGAACACACTTGCCAAGCCCCGATACTGTCGTTCCAGGACGGAGGAAGAAATGACGCACCGGTCGTCAAAAGCCGCTCTCCGCATTCCCATTGGAGGAAAAACTTGTCAGTTTCCACCGAGTCAGCCGCCATGGCGTCCAACTGCTGCCTAAGAAACGTAGCCATTGCATCATCATCAGCAACCCCATGCGTCTTCTTGCTCCATTCGCCCTGCAGGGAATGCAAGCATAATTTTTAACGCACTGAAATTATCATTCTGAATTTGAGCAGAGATTTATTTTTGAAAAAATTAAAATATTGCGGGAAAATGCAGCTTATACACAGGTCAACCAAACACAGTACAAAATTTATGCATTCAAAATTGGAGAATAGCAGACTTCTTTCGAGGATAAGGCCTGATGAGAACATTGGACAGTTGAAAAACCCCAAGAAGAGGCAATTTAAAGGGTTGAAATAGGGCTTAGCGCTTGGGATTGTTAAATTTTATCGCAGATGCCATAACAATTTTAAAGATAAGCTTTAATCTGATTGCGGTGTGGCCTACACTCGAATATCGCCATTACAGGCCGCACCCGAATTTTATGGCGCAAATTTCTAAGGAAGTAAAATGAAATACACACACGCGTGAATGGGGCAATTCCCCAATGTTGTTTCGGATTACAGTATTTATAGCACAGCTTTGAGGCTTTTTCAAATAAATTAAATTTAAAAAATAATAGTAAATAATGATAATAATAATAATAATAATAATGATAATACTGTAGTTAAAAGATAATAGTGTTATAATATTTATAGCACAGCTTCGAGGCTTTCTCAAATAAATCAAATTTAAAAAATAATAAATAATCATAAATTTACCGTATTCAAAATTGAAGAATTTTTAATATTTTAAGATCAATTAATACTTTCAGTTTCAAAATGAATTGTAATAATCTGAGAAACGAAATAAATGAGCGGAATTAGAAGAACTACCTGGAATGACGCCAAGTATTTCCTCCTCGCCGGAGAGAATGCCGGCGGCAACTCTTCCCATTCTTCGTCGTCATTCGTTACAACAGCACGGGATTCTGCATGATCCAGATGGGGAATAGCAATATCGAAGCCTGGCCTGAATGTGCCCCTCGGGAACCCAGATGACACGATCATCATCGACTCGTCAGGTCGCCACGAACCGTTGTCCAATAGCAGCAGCAAGCAATTGACGCCATCTGGGCCACGACACGCTCCACTTTGCGTTGCATTATCAGCAACAACTAGTCTGAGACACGGTGGCTCGTGTTGGCTCTCGCTGCCACTGCTCCTGCGAATCGCCAACCCAGGTAACACAGACGTAGGATCATTTATGAGACGTTTCAGCCATGCTCTTCGCGATTGCTTGGTATCACCAACAGCCGTCAATACTGATAGGTCAAGGGTTAGATGAGGTGATGCAATAGAGCAACGGGAAAAGTCAAAGCAGGTGTCCACAGTACACGGGGAGTTTTGTTTGTCCCTAAACTCGGGCAAACGAAGAGGATCCGTGGACATTGAAAGCTTCGCAGGGAGCGACAACTTTGGTATCATTCTCTTCTCCACTGTTTCCCGGTATCTGCTCTCAGCCTTGAAATACCATAAAAATTATTAGAAAACGGATGAATTCATCGTCGTGGGGCGGGGCGCGGATGTAGTTCAACAATATGGAACTTGAATTTTAAAATTCATCGTTTCTCAAAAAGCTGAATGCAATTTATTTGTTTCAGCATCAAATATTCGGACATGCGAACATTCGCCACAGTGCAAATATTAGACTTGAAAATCCGACGTTTGCAAGACACTTTGAAATTATAATTGTAAATCTGGAATAAGCTAATTAACTAAAATCATTCTACACATGCAAAAAAAATAGCTTCTCGTATCAAGCGCATAAATTGGCCAAGATAAATACGGATGAGGACGGAATTCTTTCAACTACAGCAAAAGTTCAAAAATTAATAATTTAACTCCATACCTTGAATACGACTGCAGTATTGCACCTAAGGGCCCAAGATTTCTAGAATGGAGGATTAAACTGAGAAATGATTACCTGTTGCGTGGACAGCTGCAGCCGGGCCAGTTCGGCACGGATCCGGGAAACGGAGGCCTTGAGTCTGTCCAAATCTTCTTGGTTGTCGGCAATCTGCTTCCTCAAACTCGTTCGACGTGCTTCCAAATCGTTCAGTTCGTTTTTCACGGAGCCTGAAAGTCAACAAATTAAAAGTAAAAATAAGTGAAGCCCGACACAAGTGCTGTACAGTAGAGGTTTAGAGTGCATCGATTAGTTTACATGTCGAGTTCAAAGTAAGTACGGAGTCTGTTTACTTGAGTGCCGCAAGAATAACTACAGTATATACTGTACAATACATACGTGATCATTTAATATATATAGTTGATTCAGTATACATACAGCAGATATGGAATACAGTACTTACTTCGTATTGACAGCATGTCGAGGAGCCGAGTGCGTAGATCTGTCGCCACAAGGTAGTCGGGGTCCTCAAGCTTAACCGCAAGCAGGTCGAAGTGTCTTGCCCTAACCTCGTCTTCACCGCCATCACCCTCGACAATATTCAGCCCAAGTCCAACCTGGATTCAAAAAAGAAACGAGTTTTATAAATCTACAGCAAATGCGATATTTCCCTTTAAAAATTAGACATAACTTGAATAAAAGTCAAACATGCAGTATGTTTAGTTCCATCACTTGTCCAGGCACACGTTTTGGCATTAAGGAAGGTGGCACTAATCAAGGATATTGTATAAGAGGTGGTTTTGTTGAAGCTTTCGATTAAAAGCAAAATGTTTGCTTCTAGGTTTGTTAGGCCACGAAGTCTGTTTTATCAGAGAAAAAGAGCTATTACTTGAAGTTTTGTCTTATAAAAATTTCCATCATACAGGAAAGCCCCGAGGTTTCCAGGAAAATTTCCACTTTGTTTTGAACATTTGCAATAAAGGAATGTGTCATGCATCAACAAAAATATTTTCTACTATGTAAACTTAGGAATAAATATTCAATTATTTCTAATTTTGTGAGTATAAGTGATAACTGAAATATGCCCCTAAGAAAAAAACCGTAATTTCTTTTCTTCTGAATTTCTTCTCATTGTGGTCAAATTTTCGTACAGGACACCATTTTTGTCACACTAAGTGAGTTGGAACTAAATCATGGTTTTCCCAAAGAGCACAATGGAGAGAGATTCTTCCAGGAAAATCGGCGGTACTACGCAATGGTGGCACTCAAGAGGACAACTGGTATAATTTTCTCCAACCAATGCTGTGAAGCTTATTTTCAAGGCATGTTTGATGGAGTAGACAAGAACTTTCGTATACAGTTGGACTCCCTCTAAAACAAAATTCGAGGGACAAGACAAAAATTCAGTGTTTTTCGTAATAGAGAACCCTTATATAACATGGGGATAGAATAAAAAATAATATTGTATTCAGAGAAAATCGTTGTAGACAAGACCGTTGTACGGAGAGTCCACCTGTATCTTCATGAAGTCCACATTTACAAAGGAAGTGCGGAATTACAAAGAAGTGTACAAAAGTTTCATTTTTCCATAGATCATATTTCCGGGGAAATAGGGCATTTCAGTTACGACCAGACCGTGTTGAGTGCCCAGTGCATGACGAGCGCAACAAGCAGGACAGCAGCCAAAGTGAACACAAACAGGTGTTGGAGCTTAAGCGAGCAAAGAAACTGCCGAAAGCCGCTGTTAGTCTGCCTCCTGCTTTCCATCTTTCCAGCACGACGCCGCTCATCACTTCATTCATACACAAGCAAGCCACTCACTCATACCGTGTCACAGATATATCGTCTAAAAGAAATGAGGAAATGAGAGGTGATGAACGTTATGAAATTTTTCATGCATAAAATATGGGAATCGATTCGCGTCTGTTTCGTCAGATTCCCATCATCCATGACTGAATCTTTGATCCGCAGCTTGCTTTCGCTGGCCTGATTCACGAGCTATCCTTCACGGCTTTTCCATCGCTATTAAGTAAGTGTTTTCTGGTAAAACTGGGAATCGTTCATAAACAATTTCAATTGATGCAGATTCCTCATTTATATTTTAATCCAACTTATGCAGGATTAATATACATGACTGATTTAATTTTAAAAAGTTCCAGAAGTGAACTACGAAAGAATATGAAGTTGGTGTTTATACTGTATAAACCAATTTGAGGATGTAGCTGTGACTATAATACATTTTGAAATTCGGAAGCCATAAACGGCTTAAGCAAACTTTACAAATTGAAAATAATGAAATCCAAAAAAAATGGAGGGTACAGTGCTCGATCGATGACAGAGCAGACGTGATTGTGTAAGTTGAAACAGATTCGACTTATTCTTTACCGATTTCGTGACCATGCACTACCTTTTTCACAAATTATGAACATATTTTCAGCTGAAATCCTTGTCGGACATCAAACATTATAAAATTGCCTAAGATCAGGAAAAGAAAATTACTTATGAACGGGGAAATGAAATGGCAATTGATTTTTAAGGAGTAACCAGCGAGAAAACTTACCAAGTTACCGTATTTACTCGAGTACCACATGCCCTCAAGTACGACGCGAATTTCAATTTAGTAAAAGAAAAATGCTAAATATGCAATAAATATTCTAGTTTTGAAATTTGTTTTTTGGAATCCGTCAAATGTTTCCTTTTACAGTACCTGTTTAATCAAGTATGACGCATATCCAAGCTTTTACGAAGTCGACAGTAAATTTTTAAAATTTTACACCCGTTTGTAATGCGCACCCGCTTATGAATAAGTGGTAATCGCGTAAACACGGAGAATTTCTTCGCGCAAAAGCAATAGACGTACAACCAAGAGAGGCGCTAAAAACAAAAACCACAGAAAATCACGATATTTCATTTTGCTCAATTCGTATCGACTGCCATTCACAGGGCAAAGAAAATAAAGAGAAAAAACGCAAATCAGGCTTGACAGTGATGTGGCCAACGTGGAAAAGCAATGCAATCTTTGACGCTTGGTACGTCCAGCACCGACTGAAGATAACGCTCGAGGCCCAAACCAAATCCCGCAGTGGGCGCGTACCCATAACGTCGTAACTTCAAATACCATTGAAGGCCGGGGCATGGGCCCATTCGTCGTTTCAAAGCATCGACGTCGTTCTCACGCAATGACCCACCACAAATCTCTCCAACTCCAGGCACTAGCAGATCCACAGCTTGCACCTGCGCGAAAATGTATACGATGTACATACCAAAAAGGTTTAATCAAAATCCCCCGTCAGTCACTTATAAATCATTATTTTGAAATCAAGTGGTTCATTCACGGCACGTATGAAGGGTACATACGAAAATTTCGGATTTTTTTCAAACCAAGGTTAAAACTAGTCGTGAATCAGAAATTGAATCTACGGCTGAGTGCGTTATGCAGATAAAGATACTAGAATGGTGAAACAAGTTACATTATTAAAACTGCAATTTCTGAACAAAATTTAGGTAATTGCTTTCAGGGTGCTATTTTTCTCATATGGCACTACAGTACTCCATACGGAATGTCCCATCATTTTTTTAATTTTTTTTTATGGGAAATATACATTCAATATTCGTCGAACATCCCGGTTGGTTTGAAGGTGACTTGTAGGATTTCGAGCAAACCCTCGTACAACATGACACCACTAAAAATGTTCACATTATTCTCGGAAATTGGTTAATCTTCAAACGCACGTTTGAAAACTATCAAAAAGCATTATCCTCGTAGCTTTTTCGAGAATGGTATTCATGAAAACATCAGCAGAGGAATATTTTTCTCGGGATTGCTGACCCATTAATAACCAGACACAATTTATTAATTCAATAGGATTAACATCAGAGGGGGATTTGATGCTAGAATATTCAGGTCATAAATGAAGGGTTAAAGCTTAGAACAAGTTTAAAAAAAAAAAACAGTAGTTCTTATCTCATCTCATAATCTCACCAGACCACTGTCGCGACAGGTTCGGGCATAAAATGGCTTGGAGCCCGAGGGCCAGTCCGTCACGAACACGGGTCGACGACCGACCTGCTCGGCAACAACAAGCTCTTGTTGTCGGGACAATTGCATTCCATCCCCTCGCTCGTCCACAACCAACTTATTCGCCAAGGTCAGGGCATCAGAAAACTTCAGGCGTTCGAATTTTTCCACACTCATTCGCCGTAACTCTTCCTTAAAAAAAATAACTCATTTTAAAAATTACTAACAATGAATCAGCAAAGCTGCAAATGGCCGCGGTAGTAATTAGCATTACAATAACTCCCGAAAAAATTAGTCCAAAAAATATCAATGAAGACTCACGAGTTTTCTATTCGCTGCTTCAACAGGGCCATGAAAGGCTTCCTTGAAAGCCACGGGGTTTTCCAGAACCACTTTCTTCGTCAAGTGCTTCCAAAGAGCCTCGATGAGGTCCAAGAGCTGACTCAGATCATCACAGAATGCGACTTCTGCCTCCACCATCCAAAATTCGCTCAAATGCCGCGTTGATTGGCTGTTCTCTGCTCGGAATGCGGGTGTAATGGAATACACCTTTCCTAATCCACTTTTCAGCGTAAAAAGATTTTTTACTGAATAGTCTTCACGGGGTTTCCAGGAAAAAACTATGAAGCATTTTTGCTGATACAAAAGATGTTGAGTTTTAAGCTTTCAATTAATTAAAGAGAGCCCTACAAGACAATTCGGCACAGGTTTTGGCAAGATTTTCAGATCCCACCACGAAATATGGGTGTTCCACTGGCGCTCGGGCATCTCAGAATCAGCGATGGTGGGAAAATCAGGGGATTTAAAATAAAATATTGAAGTGTGCGGAAAAAAGAAAATTACTTTCAAATCATCTATTCTAGAGTTTCCCGACAATTATTACGAATTGTCTGGTCATTTAAGATTCTAAGCTGCCCGACTTTTACTTCTAATGCTATGCGGAGTGGGCGGAAAAAATGACACCCCTCGTAAAATCGGAACATTTCGTAGGGAATATAAAAGCGTTAGTTTTTCAAATTGAATGCCACACTCCTCGACTTTCGGGCTCAAAAACTGAAAACTAAGGGTATTTGAACACAAGGCACCAAGTAAACATCCCGTTTTTCTGAATTACTTGCTGCCATAACGGCTAGAAAAAATAAACGCTAATATAAACGCATCGCAACCAACAACTCCGCTGACAATTGCACGTGGAGTAAATTAAATCCGTACAACAAAAACATTTTAATAAGTTGAGTTTAGCCAAAAAAAATTGATCACAAATTATTTTTAAACGGATTTTTCCGTGAAACTCACCATGCTGCAGCCTCCAGGTGTAATTGGGACGACACACAGAGCGACGCTTCTTCTCCGAAATACACCGTTTCGTCACTCTTGACGGCATCTCCCCTCATTTCCTTGATTAACCCCATGCTTGCTGGCTGTTTCATGCGTCACAAAGCTTCACGGCCCACGTCAAATTTCGAAAATTAAACAGTAAAACTCCGGATAATCCGGGAAATAAAAAGTTAAGAACTGCGCGGAAGTCTCACGATTTTTCCCCTCATCATTTTCACCTGCCTGCGATTGACTACAGTATCTTCATGCGACAATCGGACTTCATTTCGATAATATTAAATACTCGGAATCTTGCATCTCCTCAATAAATTATTTTAAATCGATTATTCGTGTCACAGTATCAGATTACAGGGACAAGAATTATTTATTATACTCATTTTAAAAGCCCGGATTATCGGAGTTCTACAATACATTAAAAAGACGACACCTGCCTTGACGAGAAAGGATTCTCCGCCGCCTTCGCAGTCGTTCGTTGTAATAATCGGCGTGTGCACACAAGTAAAACCCTCTTCTCTGGCAAAGAAGTCGTGAATGGCTAGGGTGAGTTGGCTGCGAAGGCGCAGAAGGGCGGCAAAGGACGCCAGTCGAGGACGGAGATGCATCTTGCGTCTCGCCTGGTCGCTCCCGGGACTTAGCGGAGACGGTTTTGCGGAAAACCAGGCAATGTCCTCGACTTCCGGCTCGCATCGACCAACCACTTCCATCTTCAAACCAACAAAAAAATAATGCCTTCGATTATGGACACATTCAGGTGGATTCTAAAATAATACTCCTCGGGAATAAACATTTTAGAGAAGAGAAAATTGTTGGAAAAATTCTATAATAACTACTGTATTAAATTACATGCAGTTCAAATAGTGTAAACTACAGAAAACTTTTTAAATACTGCACCTAGATTGTAATGAATACAAATCAATACAGTACTTCTAAATCAGACAGATTCTCAACAAACAAACATACAAACAAGTATGAATTAGAATCAAGGCCTCGAAAATTCAGGAACAAAAAGCAGAATACAGGTTTGACCAAAATAGAAAGAACTATCAATGCCATTTCTTGAATTTTTTATTGTGAGCAGTAAAATTTCCAATTGAAGGTTATTCCATTTTACGTAAAAAGAAGCCGCATTCACCATTTCAGGAGGAATAATGTGATGAGCAGATGCAGTCAAATAAAAAATAATAATATTCCAAGTGCAAGGGTAGAAAAAGGTGTCCCATTAAAATGTCAGATTACAGACAGGTGACTAGAATTTTCAAACAAAAATGATTAGCTGTGCAATAAATTGCGAACGCCAAGATTAACATACCAGGGTGAAACTATAGGAGCTTTTTACTTAGTGAAGAGGAATTTTTTTTAATATGGAAAATGCAGCCGCTGTACATCATTTCAACTTGTTCTTGAACAAGATACAAAACTCGTTAGTCTACTAATTTTTTCATAAGCCTGAAGATCTTTGTAAAAGATGCAATGAACAAACTGAAAAAAAAGTGTGGATAGAATTTAAATTCAAAAGCTTGCATTTGTTTAGGAAAATTGTAAACATTCTCATCTATGGAATCGACTAAATCCCAGTGGAAAGAGTTTCAAAAATTTAACCAAGCATTTTTTCTGGTTCCCTCTTGTGCTACGGAGAAGATTTTAAAGATTCTTTTGATCGTTACATAGCTTGAACCTCAGCTGAACATCCCGCATAAACTGCCATCAGTAGGTAATTCACCTGTTCAACAATCAAATCCGTCGACATGGTAACAGAGCAGTCTCGTTGGCGGCGACTCGGCGCCACGCGGCCAGAAGCTCGGACAGCGCAACCCAAACGCAGGTCCTCTGGTTTCTCGGCTGACGAGAGAACAAGCTGCACACGCTTATGGCGGTCATCACCAGCAACAGTCACATCCACAAACGTTGTTTGCTTCAGTTTCCGCAAACCTGTCACCCAGCCCTGGTGGAAAAATGCATCGAAATTCCGTCGCGAAAATGTTTTTTACTTGTTTTGAATGGATATAAGGGAATTTACTGTAAATCGTTTGAGAAAAGTAAAATTATGTTCGTGCACAAAAGCCAGAAGTGAAATTCTTTCCTCGGAAATACTGTTTAAATAAAAATAATAATGCCGTATTCAGGAGTTGCATATATTGAGACACAAATTCAAGGAATGCTGAATTATGTTCGAGATTGACATTCACGGATACTCCCGTAAGATCCCAGGATGGTGAACGAAATACCGTGAACTCGAATTTAAAACAGCGTAAATCTCAACACACAAGAATTATCCATGTTCTGCTTGGGAGTAATTATTTCTGTCTTTCAAACGTTTTTTAAAAATTATACTGTTAATTTTCCGGATGATGTTTTAGGAATCCTGTATTTTTCACAGATCGGCAAGGCATTTTTCAAGATACTCTACAATGAGACGTGAGAACTTCATGATTAGGGTTTGAGTTTCACATTCATTTCAGTGGGCTGAAAACTTTTCAAAGGAGTTTCAAAATTTCAATTGCGTTGTTGTTTACAATATAATTTTTCTCACATATGAATTTTTTTGAATGATATTACTACCTATTTTTCTGTAAAAAAAAAAAGTGACCGGGGTATTTACCGTATTGCAGAACGAACAACGAAATTGTATCGGGCAATTATTCCAAAATATTTCACAATCCTTACTAATTAAAATCCCATTCCACCATGACTCCGATGGCAAAGACTTTTCTTCTTTCGAATCTCTCCTAAGAAACAAGCCAAAGCAAGTCGTTACCCATCGATTCTTTAAGAGAATTTTTTGGATACGACCTTCATATCGTGTTTTCTGTCACATGTTCGGATTTAGAAGCCGAGGATATGAGCTCAAGGAGAGAGCCTGCGAATAAATTCTTAAATGTTTCAAGGTGCCCATTCGTGAATTTTTGAGGAAGTACGAAGACTTCTGAAAGTACTTAGAAGTGTATTTCCTCAGCGCACCGAATGAAAAAAAACTGCAAATGTAATCTAAAACAAAATCAAAATCAGGACCCGACGTTCTTCCATTCAAAAGAACTCCAGAATTAAATATGGTTTACTGTACAATGAAGTAGAACGTCACTTACCCCCATTACCCATCAACCTATTTGTATTATCAGATTGGCGCATCAAAAAACGAACAAAGAAATATTTTACAAACAGCAATCCTCTCAACATGGATTGGCCATTAGACTTTCGTGGTTCCAAAAGGCACTGTTTCGGTTACTGTGTGCGCAATTCTTTCAGGTCATTCAAGTTTGCAGAATAACATTTTCGTGGGTTTTCGGTCATCGGTCTTAAATTATTCGACAAAAAATAACAGGTGTTCCGGAATGATCGTAGTTAATGAAATACTCACTTCAACCACCAATTGCTCATCGGAAACCAGCGCAGTTTTCACTGGACCCACACTGGCCACTCCCGAACATCGTCTCAAAGAAGATGCGAACAACTTTCGAGCAGATAGCAACCACATTTCTGCGAGTACAAAAAACGCAAGAGCCATTTTCTCATGGGAAAAATTCGTATTTTGTCAGGAGAAAAAAAGACGAGATCAATGGAAAACGAAATTTGTTCAGTTCTCCGGAATTTTCCGTTCTTCTGCGCGATTTATTTTTCGTGTGACCACCCGTCGGAATTCCTGCTTTCGAACCTCTTTTGTCCAGATATCGACTAAAGAAACAGGTTTCCTTTTTTCCGTGCTTTTCTTGCCAATGCGTCACACGCGCCAACACTTTTTTTCCATCAGATAATGCGTTACTCCATGAGGAGTCATGCATGCATTTTTCCAAAATGCAGCGAATACTCACAAAAAAGCCAACTCAAAAATCCCTTCTTTACGCGTTCAGAAAATAAAACGCAAATGAATAAAATAAATTGCTATATAAATCCAGTGCTTCAATCGCTAAAACTCCTCCAACCGCGACTATAACAAATCACAATCCGTAAGATCATTGCACTCAAAAGGACACAAACACGTTTTATACGAGGGTCTCATCAAAAGTAGTGAGTCTATTCTTGGAGGCAGTCAACAGGAGATTACTTTTTCTAAACTTTTTTCGAAGTTCTCCTGATAGCTTCTTCTTTCCCAAGATTGGGATTTGAAAAATAAATAAATAAATAATGCGATAAAATTTAGAGGCAAATCAGAAAATTCGTCAAAAACTACCATGGCACTCATTTTTCAAGCTGTTATCTTTTCAGGCATCAACCAAGGATTTTTGTCAAATGTCTACATTGCTCTTTACAACTCTTGCCATTCTCAGACACCTGATGCTGAACATAATTCAAAGGGGTTTCACAAATCAATCGCAGTTTCTTTTGCAAACACTAATATCAATAATTCATCACTTTTTGTTGTTGTACAGGGTTAGCTTGAAAAACGAGAGAGATCAGAGATCACTCCGTACAAAGTTGAAAATACGTACAATAACTCTGTGAGATTTACTTCAGTCTAATGATATTCTGCGTCTTATTTTCATTCATCATTGCCAGCTTCGCCCGAAAATGTAAAAATAGAGTACTCGTAATTGCTCAAACGAACGATGGGAAAGAAAAAATGCAACAGAATTTCCACTGATGAACAATCTTACAATGATCGCTTGAATTGGTGAACTTAATTTTTGAGAAGACCCTCGTACCTCCACAAACAGGAAATCAAATTGGCATTTGATATTTGCGCAGCGCAGCTCATCTCACTTTCAGTTGAAATTCTCGCTGCCACCGACTGCCAAAAACCGACGCGGCGGACGAACGATGGAAGCATGTTGAAATCAAAAAACCCTTCAAACCTTCACATCACGGAATGCAAGAATGGACACCAAAAAACAGAAGGTACCATAGGTGAAGAAAAGTATCGAAATTCCATTAGGTGAACGTTGAGTTTGCCACAATAGGGGGTATAGGGACAGGGCCAGAACCTGGACCCAAGTGTATAAATACTTGCTCCAACGATGCGTACGTTCCTGTGATAAATCCGAGGACGCCCAGGAGACTGATGGCCACGTTCTTGGTGACCCGCACCCAGGTCAGTTGCGACCAAAACACGACGCAGTCCAACATCGGCGGGAAAACCAAGGCAAGGAAAGAGGAACTCACCGCGCCGACGAGTGAAATGAAAAGACCCACATTCGGCACAAGTGCCGCAAGGGCAACTAGAAGAAAGAGAAAAATATCGAAAATATGATAACTCCAACAACATACAAAAATGTATTTTTTCTGTTTCAAGTAGGCCCGAGGGATTTCCCAACGTGAACATGCAGCTGCTTGAAAAACTGACTTACACATAACACGGCATACGGATTTAGGGTCAGCAAAGAACAGGAAAAAACCTGTACACGGTTCAATGTATGAAGAACCCATTCAGAATGATTCTAACCCTCGAGCCTAGAAATGATTATTAAAACATGAAAAAAAAACGGTGGGCTTTGTCATGATAATTACAGTATTGTAAGCAGAGCTTCTTTAGCATGAAATAAATACAAGATGGAGAATCTCTGCTAAAGCATGTACAAGTGGTCATTTATTCGCAGTGAAAAAAGTCATTTGAGGAACAGACAAGAAGGCGGAACTTCTGATGTCTTTAGTCGAGTGAAAATATCTAACGATATCATTTACGCACATCGAATATATTCGTTGTGCATTTATCAATTTAAGTGGACCAATAAATTTAAATTTGAATTTTATTTCAATTTTTTAATTAAATCTGAAATTGAATCTTTCACTGCCCAGCATGTTTTTAGACAACTTCTAATTCAGAAAATGACATACTGAATTCCAATTCCCCAATAGAAATGAAAAATCGGAATGATCGAATTATCCCATGACAGGAAAAGTGACACCCATGCTGTCGTGAAAACAAACATAGGGCCTCCGCTTTGTCGAACACGCGTCCTTTCCAGTGATAACAATTTTACATCGCAAGATCTGGAAATTTATAGATTTTCTTCTTCCAATACAGTACTTCAATTGCAGAGACTTACATGTCAGAAGAACGAGCCCGATCCGGAATGCGTAATCGGCCAAGATTTCGTAGCGCGTAGATGAGTAAGACAACGGCAAGGCATTTTTCACTTGCGGCCAGAGAATCTCGATAGGTACGTACATTTGCAGCGCATACGACAAAAATATGGCGACCGTCATGGCAATTTGTACTCCAGCTGCCCAGGGATCCCCAGCGGGCAAATTCAACGTAATACTGCCTTTTACGTCATCACCGTATTGCAAGTATCCAAAGAATCCCATGGCCGTGTACAGACACGTCACGAGCACCATCCCAGTATTAAGGACCCCTGTGCAGCCCACGAAGTCCGCAGGTCGTTTCATTTTGTTCTCCAACGGCAGGACGATCCCAATGCCCTCAAATGCGTAAATTGCTGTGCCGAAATACAGCGGCCATTGGCGCACAGGTGCCACCCATTTCCGACTCGACACTGGCTGCAAATCTCGCAGCAAGTAGTAGAAAATGACGGTTGTTCCTCCGGCTTGCAGTATATTAGCTGTCATCGAGATCGGCGACAATAACTTGAGATTACGCACTAGTGACAGCAGACAGAATGGCACGAACAGAACCATAAGCCAGGTGTGCACACTCCAACTATCACCAGTCAGCTGGAAAATGGAAAATTGAAAACTGCGAATTAAAGGGTGGACTCTAAAAAGAAAGGTGAAGTTTCAAAATATAAATTTTATAGGCAATCGAATCCTCCATTTCTGGCCAAAGAAGGGCCATCTGGAAGATCAAAACATTCCTAATATATCACCTCTTCTATGGACTCGCGATGTTTTCGGATTTCCTACAAGGTCTCACAGGAGTCAAGGACCACAAACCACGATCTTGACCAATTTTTTCTTAAACAATCAATGGTTTCCGATTAATATCGAAGGTTTCAAACTGAACATTTTGAGTCGGTAGGAGTGGACATTTTAAAAATCGGCGTTTGTGGAATGTTGCCAATTTTGGATCAAGAAAGCTCGGGGATTTGTTCCTATCGGAGTACAGTATGACTGTAGAATACTGTACGTCGAATTGTAAAAACAATGAAAATTGAATTGTCGAGCTGATGCTGGAACATTCTTTCTGAACTTCGCGAGGACACATTTTCATAATTCGAAAGTAGACGTTTTTCTAGGGAAGAAAAAATAAATAATAGAAGTCCTCACCGTTCTGAGATTTTCAGCCACATACACGTAATACACGCAGCAAAAGCCGATCTGCGTTAAGACAAGGAATGCATTGACGATGCGCCGACTGCATCGGGCCAGGTTGCGGAGCCGGTCAGGGCCGGCAGTTGTGCGGAAGCCGTGGTAGGCCACATCCGCATAGTCTAGCGTTGAGACCCGCAAGCGCGAGCACAATGTGTGGCAAGCCATCACAAGCATGTGCATACAGTGGATACACACCACACCCATGGCCACAACGCCGACGGAGCCGAGGACGAGGCCAGAGTTGGACAGCGCATCCGGCATGGCTTGCACGCCTGTCCCGATATTTCCCTTCAGCAGGTGAATCATGGTCTCCATGTTCCTGGAAGATATGCGATTTGAGAACGCCTCATTTAAAATGCCTGAAATGTCGTATTGACCCAATTACAACTTCTTTTAAAATAAAAAGAAAAGGTTTGGGCGTCGTAGGCAGAAAAAAAATTATTGCAAATTTTTAATTTTTGGTGTTGTATACTTAATTACAGCAATGAATTTTGAAAAAAAGGTTCAATAGAAAAAAAAAAACAAATAGAAAAAGATAGAAAATAAAAAAATTTAAAAGACAAATTGACAGCAATTCAAGACATAATGTAAATTCTGATGAGATTTCATTTTCAGAATACTGTACTGCATTTTCACCTCTAAAAAGGAGGGGCGCAACTGATTCAGGTACAGTATACATTTTTATCAATATTTTTAAAGCTAAAAAATGTTAGTGTGCATCTTACTTGACAGTGAATTTTGAGTAAAACGTGTATTTTGGATTGCTTACAGCAAAAACCAGAGAATAAAATAATTTAAATAACTCTGAAACATAGAACAGGTGGACTCTTACAACAAAATTCGCTGGACCAGAAAAAATGTGTTTTAGATATAAAATGTACTTCAATCAACTCAAGAAGTTTAGATGCTACGCAGTAATTTGTAATGGATACCAAAAACCAAATTTGAAATTACTGCATGTAAAAGGTAAAAACATTTTTCAAATTTTAAAAAATCTGAAAAATTACTACGCCCTAGATCTGACATTCATGCCACAAAGTATTACTCAGAATGCCTATCAATGCATTATGTTTCTGGAAAGTTGCGTTTGTTGAACACAATATGACCGCACTGTAGAGTTAAAGCGTCAAATAGTGAGCAAGCAGTTGCCCAAGTCAAGGCTGAAACGGAAGAAAATAAATGAAGGAAGGCGTCCTTGGAGTCAGAACGATACCACAATGGTTTTAAGGATTCTGACAAAGATTTTTGGTTACTAATTTTCACAAATTCACTCAAAAAATTGCCGAGTACAATAATGACAAAAAAATTCCAACAACCCTTATGTAAGAAAAATTCTTACGAAGTAGCATGCTGATGATTTCTCTCAGCTGGAGCTAGTCCATAAGTGGTATCAGCTTCCTTCGGATCGTCATTTTCTCGCTTGACATCACTGAAACTGCTGTCAACAATATTGCCAGATCGACTCGCCGCTCGAACATCTCCTTCCAACATTAATTCCGGGTAACCGCCAACCGAGTCCGGAGACAACAGCGGCTCCGTTTCGATCACTGCCCTTTTCTCGCTCATCTTTTTCCCCCTTCTTCTCTTCAACTTCCAACGCACATTACTTTTAACACGCCGCTAGACTAGAAAGCCTGTCTCACCAACCGAATCATTGGACTCCCCTTTTTCTGAAAAAAATCGGGACGACGTTTTCTTAGAAAATCTTTTGATGCTCATATTCACTTTCTAAAAAAAGAAAAAAAAAAGGAAACTTCGTTCAAAACAACGGTTGTCTTCCGTAACATGTGGAGGCCGAAAATATCAGGGATTGTTTACGACTTCTGGCATCTGCCAATGCGCTAAGGCTGGCGTTTGAAGTGCCCTCTTGTCCTGATGAAAAGAGATGGCGTAGATGGGAAAACACAAAAAGTTGATTTTTCCGGCATAAATAAAAAAGATTCATTTCGATGAGACTCCGCGCTATGAATCTAATCCGGCTGATGTTCGAAAATCAAAGCTTTGATTCGTGATCAGGTTCTCGTGACCAGGAAGAATCATTGAATCGTTTCAGCTGAAATGGAACATTCTAAAATTATTTTGTACGAGATGATTCATGCGTTCGAAACCCAGCCGAAGAAAATTTTCGCGAGTCTGGACAAAGTAAGATTTCCCCCTTTTTCGGTTGGCAAAAATGTCATAGGTTTACGCTCAAAATTTGCATGAATACTTGAATTGTCGCGGATGTCCAGGCGCGTGAATCAACTTGTACAGATGACGATTTTACTAAAGGGAAAAGAAATTTCGCTCAGTCAGAAGATTCCGTCAAGAGATGAACAGACATTGTAGGAAGAAACATTTAGCTTTCCTTGACAATTACCTCTTATTTTTTTTACAAGAAACAATCCGAGAACTTTCTGACCTCCTATCGCGTCATGGGTATACCAATTAAAAACTCAGCGTCAAGGTTTACGTGAAAACAACATGGCAGGTTGACTAGTCTCGAGAGGCGGAGGATGGGGCATTTCGCTTCCAGCGCCGTGCGTGAAAGTAGCGTCCGGTCTTCGGCACGAGGCACGCATATAGGAGCAATATGCACGCGGCGGCCGCGTCCAGGGCCAGCTGCCGGAACCGACCCGGCAGCCACAAAACGCGATATTCCACAACTTTTCCTTCGCCAGATTGTTCCGCGTTGAGCAGAACTCGCAGGTGGCCATAGCCCATTTCTTTCATCCCCATGCGGTAGGAGCAAGTGGGCACAATGATCCTTGGCAAAATCCGTTCAGTGTCGAACCGGAACACCGTCGTCTCATCAGGATCCTTCACCACAGACGCCAGGGCATCAGATGTCGCCTGATGCTTTGTCTTCGAGTCGGGCGTCTCTTTACGTCGGCTCCAAGTCACGGAGGAAATGTGCGTGTGAGCACCCACCTTCACGTCGCAGTGTTCATCTTCCGGATGCTGGAAAAAAAGGAAGAAATAATTGAAAGTATGAATGCTTCTCATGTAAGATTTTTCCTTTTTACAATGACTCACGGTCACGAATGGCAAATGCGTAGCAACGATACGGAACACAGAAAGCAACTGATCGTTGCCCTGAGCGTTCACGTCTCCTTCCTCGTCCATCGTACCGCCGAAGGGATCTCTGACGAGCATGAAAACACGGCCACGGTTTCTCACAATTGGTTTCCGAGTTCCAGGCCACACCGGGAATGCATCCCGGAATCGCTTCACTCGGTCAGGCATCACAGGATTGACTCCTTCGCCGCCCACATCGTTGTCTCCGGGCAAAAATACCGAAGCCTGGATTAAGTTCAAAATATAGTCCATTAACTCGTGAAACTGGGAGAAATAATTGTCACGAAATAAATCACTCACGAATTGGCCGTCGTGCGGATGGAAGATTGATGAGAAACGGCGCACGTAGCGGGCCCATTCCGCGTCGGTCGCCTTCTCGCCCTCGTCAATGAGGTCGCCGAGAAACACGACAGCATCGGGCTGTGTATGGGCGAGGGCAGCTTCGAACGTCCGCCTCAAGTATCTGAAGATGAGAGAATGTATACCAATTATATTTTAATTTGAAAATTGAAACATGAACTGGGCTATTTCAGATCGAATTCGAAAAGTACGGCAGAATTTCTTCAGTTTCAGGTGGTATCCATGAAACGAAGTACCTTAGCTCAGTGGAGCTCTAATTTTGCTATCGCAAAAATCATCGTCATACCTGTCACAGTCCCAGCGAAACACTGAGCCGACGGGCCAGGACGGTTCATCCTGTTCGCCCACAATTTGTGGGTCTGCAACCAGTAGGATGGACACCGCACGGTCTGAACTAACTTCCTCCAGCCGAGGCCATCTGTCATACGCTGCATGATAAGTGGCGTACTCGGAGTAGAACACCACACCTACAGCGGCCAGCAGCAGCGAGTGCACCAGCAACCACCTGCAACAAATCACACGCATCCAAATATTGTCATAACCATGTACTTTTCTCAAATTCAGAATGGCGTCGGAAACAAAACGAACAGAAATTCAATCGACGAAAATTTAGAATAGATTTGATCAGTCATTCAGAAAGAAAAAAGCGCAAGGAAGGAATAAAGGCTAAGGAAAAACAGACTACGGTATTTTCCGAAAGAAGTAGTAGAACTCCATGAAAATTTATTCAAGAAAATGTATTTACAGCATTGAACATTTTGTAATCACGCACAAAATTCGTAATTTTCCCAAACAGAATCATTTAAACATCCTCTGGAAAATTAATTTTGAAATTTCAATCAACAGTATCGAAAATGCTGCTCAATCCCTATATCACCTTGAAAATTAACCATCCCCGCAATTGATAGTTCGTTCAGATTTTTTAATTCGAAAAAACTACTCCTTAGCGTGTTGATCACGTAAAATTAATCAGAAGTTTAAAATTCTTTGGTTCATGTTTGAAATATAGTATATGAGTGTTAGTTACATCTACCAAGACTAAAGCAATCTGAGTGATGGGCAAAGTCTAAAAATGCATCGCGTGAATTAAAAATGTGACACTGCAGATTTTCAAAGCAACTTGTCGCATAAATAGTTTTATATAGAGCCAGGCATTTTTTTTTCAAACGCATCGGTCAAGAAATGATCAAAATAAATAGAATCTTGGCATGCTCACGCAAAGAAAAAAAATGTCAAGCACAAATCTAAATTCTTCATGAACTTAATCAATATCAGAAAAAAAGCTCCGTAATATATTTTACTTTCCTCCAACCAAAATTCCAAACAATGACACGGATTTATTATCATTTTGAAAAAGCACAAAAGCATTTCATTTCGTGTTAGGTAAAGGGAAAGGCTTTCTCAGGACAACTACACACCGGGTTAGATGAAAACGCTTGTCCCGCCCGCTCAACTCACCTACAACGTATCATTCCACGCAGAGGGGCACGGGCACAGGCACACTTCACTCTGGGTAGACACTCACATCTTCGCATTCCATTATTTCTATGGATTAGACAAAACAAAAGCATTAGCGTCTCCGTCGCTTTCGTACCAACCTCTCGGAATAAAATATAGCCTCCGAAGCATCGCGGATGCGAGGGGAGGAAAAATGAACACATTAAATGAACGTAAAACTGATGCGCAGCGAGCAGCAGTAGACTGGCAAACGGCGAAGAGGGGACAAAAAGTAGCCGGAAACCATTTCCGACTTTTCCTCTTTCTGCCTCATAAAACGTCTGCTGCTGCTTCTCTATATACAGTACACGGATCTAGGGTAGTGGTTGGAATATTTATCCTGCGTTGCTACGCGATGAGACCCAGTGACTTGCGTTGGGCATCCGTGAGCCCGTGCCGCAAGGTTCGTCGCTCTACCGGCGGCCTCCTACCAGCACTGTGGTTACTCGACGGAGTCTCACTCAACAACTGTTTGAGAGCACACGAGGCTCGGCCATTTGACGTCGTGGCGGTGGCAGCGGCTGCCGCTTCTCCTGCCCCGGCATTACAACGGGACCGCGGCGGACGTCGCCTATTTGTTCTACACGCGGTAGCAGATGCTTCGGCGGCTCGGAGGACTTGTCTCAGCTCCTGGTCGTGCAAAACCTCGTCTTTATCATTTGTACCTGGCCCTGGTCCTCCTACACGACGACGACGAAAGCGCTTCTGCTCCTGATTAGGCTCCGGAGAAGGAGCAGTTGTCGTGATCATTTTTCCGCGAGTTCTGTTCCGTTGCTTGTAGAGTCTCTTCTTTTCCATCTGCAGCAGGACCCGTTCCCGCGTCGTGCGATATTCGAGAGCGAATTCTGAGATGACCTTGCACATGTGATTAACGTGTCGGCCATCAACAGACTGATTTTGGAGATCCCCGGGACTGACGCCTAGCCATGCGACGAAGTCGTGATAGCGACGCATGACGCGTCTGTGCACAATGTCCAGAAGCACGATCCTTTCTGCACTGTCGGCAAGAAATTCGCTAAGTTTTGCTTTTAGTGCAGGCGGTGTGTCGTGCTTTGCGACGGCCTTGAGGTGGTTCCATGATGAGCGGCAATCGGCACGAAGTCGGGCCAAACACAGGGCCAGCTCGTCGAAGTCCACTTTGGAGGCACGCGTGAGCGGGCCCAGTTCGGAATACAAGTCCGAACTACCGGGGAATGAGTCGACCATCATCTGACACACGTGGTATAGCAATGTATGCTTGTGCACCGTGTCTTTTACTTCAGGTACCTTCAAAAATGAGCAATGGCATTACATTTAAAATTGTTTTGGAAAATGCTTCGTCGAATGAAAATCTATCCCGTTTTCAAAGAGATTCAGAAAAAACTACTAAATGACTCGTTGCGCAAGGTAAGCAATTTTTTACCTTTTTTTCTTTCGAAGTTTCGAGAAACGAAGCGTTTCGAATATTTACTTGACCTCCTTTAGTAAAGCCGCTGGATCATCAATCGTTTGAAAATTTTATTGCGGGTGCCAAAACCATTAAATTTTAAATTATTGGGTCAATAATGCTGAGAAAAGTGTAGAAATCATTAGAAAATACGAAAAAAACTCAGTATTTTAAAATTACATTAAAAATGGCTATATATTTTTTTTAATCTACCCCTTATTCTGCAATCAAATATCAAAGCACTGATAAATGTGTTAAAATGTTCGGAAAAAAATGCGTATCATGCAACTTCTACTAGGAACGCATGAAAATGATGAGCACCCCATAAATGTAAAGATATAAAACTCTTGAAATAACAAAATTAGACGGCTTTCATTTTTCGGAAAAAGCTCAACTCGTTACAAGAGATGGTAAATACTCACTTTGCGCAGATAATCGACGTGGAAACCTCGTACAGTATGACCATTCAAGTAACTTCCAACTGAGAGTAATACACCCATAACTCGCTTGAAAGTTTCATTTCGTTGCAGAGATTCCATGCCCTGCTTCAGATCCATCAGAGGCTCCGCAATCTCTCGCTCTGCACCATCGAACTCAAGCCTAATTCACAACAGTGTGGTTGAAGTTTAAGCATGTGGATTTTAAATTGCGCGGTATTTCAACAAGCACAAATGAAACGAAAAATCGCAGGATAAATGACTAAAACATTTACGTTACTCAGTTAAATATTTCCAATCGAAATATGGAATTCAAATGAAAACTTCCTCGTCTTGGAAAAAAACCCGAGTGTCATACCGAAATATTGGAAGTCAAAATCCTTCGGGAAATCCTCCCACCCCAAAACATTCGATGGAGTAGTCATTCAAGAAATGATACCATGATACCCCATGGTATGCGTAAATTGTTCCTTTTGAAAAAAAAAAGTCTTCCCCTCAAGACTGAGAGAAACGAACGAATTTCCGCTGACTTAGCCCGATCGAAAATAATCCGACACATTGGCCTGTGAATGTAAGGGAGTAACTTCGTGGTAAAAAAAATTTTTGCCAGAAAAATATCCGGTTGACGAATAATCGGTTTCCTTCTAAATCACCGCAAATTGAAACCCAGTAGGAAGAGGGATCTTCATGATGAAAGAACTTTTCACAAAATAGTGCGTCTTCTTTCATGGTAAATATACATGTCACATTACGGGGAATCATGGAACTGTACTGTACCTATAGGCCCAGAGACGTAGGCGGGCCTCCACTTCCGAAATTGAGGCCAGTGTCAGCAGAAACTGCTCAGCAGGACCAAGTGGCACATCCGGCTGCATCATCTGCGCTTCCGTGATCTTCTGGCGTTCTTCTTCCGTCGGCAAAAGCTGAAGAATCTTCTCGATACCGTCTTTACTCACGATCGTTGCATCCATCTTCAAGATTCCAGCTCGGATCGTTCGCGGCGGCGGAAGCTTCGTCAGCGCGATATTTATAGCATTTGATCTCTTTGCATTCAATACTACCAACTCTTTGCAAAGTTTCGCATCCATTTGCTGCTTTTGCTTGCCTAAAACATCTTGTCCAGCTCGCTTCTCGAACAAGAATTCGAGCCAGGCGCCATCAACTGCCACTGGGGGAACTTCGTCCCACAGCGATTCACTCTTCTGCTTCGACGTGTGCTTCTGCGCATCCTCCCGAATTTCTTGCCAGAACAATTTCACCGTTTTCTTGCTTTTGGGTATGCTTGACAAAGGCGGTGGTGGCGGCGGGGGTTGTCTGGCTAGAACAACGCCGCAACTGCTGGGCGGCGGCGGAGGGGCAGGAGGAAGTTTCTCGAGTCCTATCGTTTTAGTAGTAGAGTAAAAGCTTTTTACATTACGGTGCAAACGAATATTCGAGTTTTTGGAATGAAATAATCAAACGAGAATTCAATTTCTTTGCAAATGAGCCTTCAGGACCAAGAAAACATTTTCCGGATCCATCACAGCGATTGAATACAGGTGGATAACGATCTTATCTACTACGATTTGCTCAGTAGTGTAGAACGATTTTCCACCATCGGGTTCTCCCCATTCGTTGTAGAGAGAGTCAACCTTCATAAATCGAAAAAAGAGTACAACAGCTGCGCGTGCTTATGAAGACACTGGTGCAAAAACGGTAGAAAAACGTAGGTCAAAATTATTTTTATATAATTTATTTTCTGCATCATCTTTTCTCGCCACAATTTTACCTTAAAAAGTTCTTCAATTTAAAAATTGTCATGCTAGAAAAGGAAACGCTTCATCTGTCTTTTCACTTTTAATCCTTTTTCTTAATTCTGCAGTACCTAATAAAAGCATGCATTCTTTTTTGCATACAAAAACAAAAAGTTTATGATTTAAGTTGTTTCCCCTTCTCCAGAGTTATTTTTACGTGTCATTTCAAATATGGGAACGGTAAAACAATGAATTAACAACAAAAGTACTCGGGGAAAAGAAGAGATGAAAATAATGAAAATTAAAACGTTTATAGTGATGCATTTATGCGCAATATTGCTTTGTCAAGTTTTTTTTTTAGGCAGCATCAGTTTTTAAAAATTAAAGATCCAATTGACGTTGCAATTTCATTCTCTCGCTGTGATAACTTTTACGGCACTTCAAATATCACCTGTTGATCGAATATCTTTGATGTTATTCCGATCGATCATATTCGTTTTGCTTTCGCCATCCAAATCTGCTCGTTCCTTTTCCCCATTCTTCTCACTGTCACTATCGCCATCCGTTGCCAGATCAGTGAAATCCAAGTCACAAAGTTTCAGGGGTCGATCAAGGCTTTGAGCAAGCAGGTCCCATTGTAGATCCGCCGATTTGTTCCTCAACAAGGGAGAAATGAATGGTTGATCTTGTTGACTTCCATCAGTGGGCAAATCACACGTCGTCACAGATTTGATCAGCTCAGGTCGAGACTTGCACCTATTCAGACTCTCCTTAGCACGTGACACTACCCCTGACAAATCTTCTGTCAAGTCCCTGTTAGAAGCCACTTGAAGTTCATCCGCTGACCCTCGTTCTTCACCCTCCTCGCCCGCTCCCGTGGAGCCCTTCGAAGAATCTTTAGAAAACATCATACCCAATAGCCAGGATTTCCTCATAGAACAACTTTCCCCACGGGCGAGTGCGTGGGGACTGAATGTGCTGCACGTCATCAGCTTGTGGCCTGAAGGAGGCCTCTTTGGAGGACTTTCAACACCTGCAGGCACCAACGGATGCAACTGCTTCTCTAGTAGCTTCAAAACATTACCGGAGCTTTTGCTGATGCTTCCGGGCACCAGATTCCGGGAACTACGACCACGAAACAACAACACAGGTTTTTGCTCTTCTGGCGACTCGAACAGAAGACTCTTCCGCTTTGGCGCGGTTGTTACGAGAAGTTTACCCTCAACCACGTCCGCTGCGGATGTATCAACAGATACACACGCTTTCTCTTCCTCCTTCGCAAAATATATGGGTTTTGTCGCGACCCGTTCCACGCCGGCAACCGAAAACTTCGTAGAAACAATATTATCTTCAATATTCTCCAACTTCTGCTCAGCCACCACTGAAAGTTCATCCTTCACTGATGAATCGTCTGATTCGGAGCCGGAAGAACTAGTGTCTCCGGATGACGCACTGCTCGAAGATGAAGAGCTACTGGAAGACGACCGAGTCTTCGAACGATTGTCAATATGTGTCACAGACTTTTTCAAATCATTACCAATTATCAAATCGTCAGGGAAATGTACACTGGTACGGGTTTTGGTAATTGGTGCCAGTGGGACGATGTCCACAGAATTCTTCCTCGATTCCTCCGACGAATCGGTTTTGTCTTGTAAAGAAGCACTCACGCACAGAAACGATTCTAAAGTATCACTCAAGGCATTCGTTGCCCAATCAGCGACAAAACTATTCACAGCCTGTGGCTCTTCGTCATCAACTTCCGACGAATCCTCGACGCTGTAAACATTTCGGCGTTTTATTCTCGTCTGATACATGGTTAATTGCTGCATAAGACCTGGATTCAGATCATTCAGTGTCAGGAAGGACTTCACGAGCTCATCCATGCCGAGCGTGTTCAAATGTTTCACTTGCGCACAAAACAAATCCCTGTCAATGATTTCTTGAATCGTGTTGTTCACTAACTTCATGGCGAACGTAAGAAGTTCCCAATCCGAACAATCGCCATCGGCCAACAGACCCACTATGTTGAACCACGGAGTCACACCTCGTTCAACGTCTACATTTCGAATGCCTTGCACGAGTCGCAAACAATTAGTTTCCGTGTATTCAACGAATACCAGTAAAAGTTTGATGGCAGTTTTCACAACGAGGCGAAATTTGGAAGCAATTAACATGTACAGCCACTGCACTGTTTCGTTGTGCTCCATGATTCCGTTCATACCGTCCACGTAAATCATGACTTGTCCTAAAGCGCGTAAAATATAGTTCTGATAGTTTTGATCCATTTCAGAACCGATTTTTATCAGGCACTCTAATCCATTGTTCTCCACAAATCCGTGAACTAAATCCTTGTCATCCTGGAAGATTTGCTTCAACGAAAATAGTGCCCTGCTAAGCTCCTTTCCATTCGAATTGATGAGTTTCTCCAAAATCAAATGAACTCGGACAGATAGCTGAGTTCGCAGGATCAACGCATTGCGCGGATTATCACCGAAGTTGTCGAACTCTTCGAGCTGTTCGTTGAGAGTTGCTTCTGTTTCCAGGTAGTTTCCGAAGTCTCCGTCTTTGTATAATTGCAGAGTGGCGTCACTGATGTTGTGCGGCGCTCTAAGCATGCGTATCAGCGACGGAATTTGTGCAATTAAGGGAATTTCGATATTGAATGTGAAAACAGGTGGATCAAGCGGCTCAGGCGATGCAACGCCATGAGAAAACGGATCCAAGTCATTGAGAAACTGCACACGAGTCACGAGGTTAGAACCAACGAAATGCTTCATGACCTGAACACCTGCGTTTCGATAGCACCTGCAGGTACGATAACGAAGAAAATCAGAATTATCGATGCGATTACCAGGCTTTTCCTTCACATTTCTCGAGAAAAATGCTTTTTATTTTAGATAAGGGTAACTGTAAACTCTCGAACAGGAAAACCGAAAAAACACTTCCACAATTTTGAAATCCACGGGATTTTCGTACCCGGTGAAATTTTTGGTGGGGCCTCTTTCTCGGTTAGGCCTAAGGGATTATCAGACCCACGAGATTTTCGAGCCGCGGATTTTCCCTTCTCACGGGATTTTCTCCTGCAACCGGTCCGAAGTAAAATACAAAATTTCAGGTCGAGAAATTCACTGCATCACCGAATTTGAGCAGCTTGAACAGTGCAGTATTTCTTCCCGGCACTACAGTACTTTATTTTTGGACTGCATACGACGCGGAAATTCCCAATAACTCTTGGAAAGTTAAAATCGAGCAAATTAAATTAAATGCAAATTTACCAAGAAAATAAAAAAACGAGTTTGAGTTATCACTTGAATCGCTCACTGGAATGTCTGTAGCTTCAAATGGCAGAATAATCCTCACACAAAGCGAATTTCCTGTTTGAGAAGCTTAGGGTGATATCGGATTCCAGCCTCCTATGGTTAGAAAGAAAAGGAAATGTTCCAGGACAGGGAAAAGAGTTCGAGTTCCGCAATTACTGCGCACTTCAATGGGCATGAAATTAGACGGTTCGAGAATCATCGGCATCTTCGTTGTTCTTGTTTCGTTCTTCGCAGTATTACTCATGATTCTGCTGCTCCAGGAACGCACTGGTCGGCTTGTGGTCAGAGGCAGCCATTTCTCTGTTGATCTAGGTGCATATGCGATATTGGATGAATGAGGTCTTCATAGATGTGACATCTATTGCAGGGGTGGTAAGAAATCTGACCAATACGCTGTGCAGTACTGTAATTAATCAGTGATTCTCTTGTATTTTGGGAGTGCCTTCCCCATGATTTTTTTTTTTTACACGGAAATACAGTATGAAATCGAACATTATTCAAAAAATACTAAAAGAGGAACGGTTGGGGAGATAAAAAGCGGGTCATAAACTATGTAGGAGGACGCTGTTTTGTGGGGTGGTGCTGATCGTGATCCTACGGCGCATGTTTTAGATTTCTTTGACTCATATGATGGCTTTGAAGGCTTCTAAAGTTTTTCAAAGTAACGCATACGGATTATTGAAACAAAAAAACAGATCCTGAAACATCTGTGTCTTGGATTCCCGCCACCGTGCATAGTTCTTTTTCTGCTAAAATCTCACAGGAGTAAGGCCTGCTCTGGGACTGAACAATCGGTGAAGATGGCGGCGTTTCTGTGCTCCATGTCTTGTTTCGTATTCGCAATTGATCCGCTCAGCTGGGGGTCGATGTCGTGAATTCGAGTAATGTGACTCTGCGGGAGTCGCTACCGTTATGTTCTTACTGAACTTTTGTGTGAATGATGAATTTCTTCCGTGATTTATTGCAAGGTGTAATATAGTTTTTCGTCATCGAGTTTCGTATGGAAAATCATTAGTCGACGGTGATTCTGTCAGACTGATAGCGAATGAGAGCGGAATTATTTTCCTGATCAGGGTTCGAGCATGGGTTTAGATTCGTTTCCCCGTCAAGGAGCTTGTTTTCCGAAATCATGATTAAGAATTTTGATTATTCTCTTCTACGTCTCCGTCTATTTTCTTTTAGTGAAAGAATTGTAAAAACAAAAACGTCTCAATATTTTTTTGAATTTCACAAGGATTCCTGGAATTGGAGGTCAACGAAGTGACCGTGCGCGAAGATTTCAAAACTGATGATTCAGTTGTAATACGCTTTGTGTTTTTTTGATTATTTTTTCGTGCAGGTTATACGCATGAGGTATGGCATATGAATTCAACGCGGAAGGGAACCAGTGATGGAATTGAAGCCTCCGGAGAGGCGATGTGACTTGCCACCACAAGTATGCGGTCTGTGTGCGCAAGTCTTCTTTTCGCCGTACGATTTCTCCATCCATTTAAAGTCACATAATGTGCCTGGCCTTAGTATCCCTGGCGCTTCGAGTAACCTGAGCACTTCGGGGCCCGTTTTCCCTTCAACTGCTGGGTGAGTAGTTCTGTGTAGTGAGTTTGATGCTTTCTTCTAGATTCTCAACTTACAGTCCCTCAGAGGTTTGATGTGAAAATTCAATTTAACTTGGTGTAAAGGTGGGTGTCGAATTCGTGGATTGCCATTCTGGCTGATCCCTCAGTTTTTGTGAATACTCTTACGATGCATTCTAAAATTTGCACGCATGTAATTTGTCAGATGCAGTAGACCGGTTCTTCGTTATTCGATCTCACGTGTGTCTATGAAAGATTTTAATTCCCAAGTTTTCAGGTTAAGAAGATATAAGAAGTAAAAAAACCAAGAGCGTTTTACTGATACCCCTAATTATCTTTTTATTCCTCACTAGATACATTTTTTAATGGCTCAGGTGTTTTTCTCGCAAAAGCCAAATGAGATTTAAGGGATTTTATGTTGCAGGCCTATCAAACGAAGAGTGAGCAAAGATCGGGGATCGCATTCGAAAAGTGACGGTGGGGGCTACTGCGAACTGTGCAAAAAGTTTTTTTCTCGGAAGGACCATGTCCGCAGACACCTTGTGACCGTCCACAAGCTCGGCGCCGAATTTGCCGAAAACGACTCATTGGTACGGATCGGCGAGCCGCCCCCGCCGGCGCCACCACCACCCAAGAAGAAGGAGAAAGTCGAAGTGGTGCGGTCGCACGAACGCGGAGACCCGTGGTGTCGCATCTGCAGCAAGTTCTTTTCGCGAAAGGACCACTTGAAGCGGCATTTGAAAAATGTACACGGGGTGAGTGCGGAGGAGGCGGACCAGTTGTGCTTGCCTTTCAACCCGCTGGCTGCCCAAGCCTCGCCTCAGGGCTCTTGCTGACGGTATTTTCCCCTGCCCAAAATTGCTTTCGTTTTTGGTTGAAGAAATGAGAAGAAAGAAAGAGTGAGGAAGGAGAGCGAGCGGAACAACAAACTCAGTGCGTTAATTCAACACGCTGTTCGCTGCATTTCTGCGGAAGTGCGACATCATATCCATTACGTACTTCCAATTGGTATTGAAGAGTTTCTCGGCAATTAATTTTGAATTTCTATTTAAAATGAGTTTCTGTTATATTCCGGATAGTCACATTTCCATGACCTTTCTATTTCATAGTTTCAGCTTGTATTTTGTTCTTAGGTTATGTCTTGTCCGAGATTGTTGCGACGCATGTCTGACGTTCAAAAAACGAGAATTGGGAGCAGTATATAAAAGTACTGTACGGTGCTGGAATTAGTTAAATTTTTTATGTTACTGTTGATATCCTTGCATCTTCCATCATACCTGTTAAAAACAGAAGGCTTCAGTTTCTATCGTAATTTCAACACGTCAGTTGCCTCCTGGAATCTCTTGCTATGTGTTTTAATGCGGGCAGTTGCGCTCAATACAAGAATATTGTACCATTTTGGACGACAAAAATTCCTATTCTCAGTATGCAAAAGAAGCGAGTTCGTATTTCGAGAGCCTGACTTTCCGTTGTGAGAAATATGCAGCAGAATTTGATGATCGCAGCCCCGCATATCGCACTGATTAAAACCGAGACTCTGCTGAACTTCTTTTCCATAGTTCGCATTCACGTTCGTGTTGGCTTGTGTAAACGTTCTAGCTGCATACATGGGTGTTTTTTTCTGACAGAAAAGCTTGCGATCGGCGTGTTGAACGAGTACAAATAGTAAAATGCATTCGTCTTTCCTTCACTTATCCATGTGGGCATTTCACACACACTAATCTTAGCTGTTACCCGCCAGGCATGGTATTCTGCTGCGACAAATTAGTAGTATTGTTCTTATGAATCCGTGTTATATTCTTGTGTACGAATCTTCCGATTTTCTGTGCCATACGCGAAAAATTGTTCGTCGGAGATTCGCTTTTTATTTCCATTTTTCCTTTCGAATGTTTCTTCGCGGAAATTTTTCAACACGGTGTTGCCCACGCATTTTTTTATTGATGTCGACGTTCATGTGTACACTTTGTTGATTATTGTGTGACGTGTTTGTTGTGGCCCGCATTCCCCTTTTTTTACAACTTGGGTGAAAGAAAAAAGGGGTCGGGTTGCTTAATATTTTGAGCACGAGAGGATGTGTTTTTTTATTTGATCAAAGAAGAAGAAAGTGGAACTGAGCGCGCTGGTTTGAATGAGAAGTTCGATGGCATCTTGCTTGGATCTATGTTTCTGTGTCGAAGATCTGTGTCTTGATTTGTACTTCATCGTTTCTCCTGGTGTTCTATTCATTTCCTACACTGTGATACGGGTTTTGAGGGACATGATTTTCTAAGGATATCTAACTTACTCCAGAAATGCATCACATCTACTCGCTTAATTTAAATCAACATAACGACAAAAATTGCTGTCAAGTAACTCGTAAAAAAAATGTTCTGTGAATTCAAAATTAATTCCTAATTGTATAGGATTCATGGTGATCGAAATTTTGGTGCGGAAAATTCTCACGGGATTGCTCTAAATTAAGTTTTCTTTGCAAACGTTCTTTTAGTAAAAATGTATTATTTTCTGGATTTAAGCAATGGCTGTCCTTTTTTTAATAAAAATGTTTCGCGAACGTTCGCTGAACATGGGACAGTTTATTGGCAGTCCGTTTCGAAAAAGGCACGAGTAAGATGCAGTTCGATTTTGCCTTAATCATGTGTCAACATGGATGGACTCACGATTCTATTATCAGATCACGCATTTTAGGAAGACCTACATGGTACCTTGAAATTTGTTGTCCCTTAGAAACACAGTGCACAGAAAAGTTTTCGAGTCGATTTTGAATGATCCCGACTTTTATCAATTTTTTTCTTCTAGGAGATGTGAGCATCCTCTGAATTGAATACTTCGGTGTACGTATCGAAAAAAAGTGGAGTGTCAAGTCGTTCATTGTTACGCCCGAATAATCGCGTTCAAGATTTTCCTGGAATGTGTTGTTTTACTGGAGTATTTTGGTCCATGTAAAACGTTAGATCGCTGTCATATTGTTCGGGAGCTCTGATACTTGTGCTGTATTTTTTTATTCATAAATTTAAAAGGGATGGAATTTTATTTTTAGGTATAATTTATTACTTTTAGTGTAGACATACGTAATTATTCCTGCGAACAATTCGTTCCGTGGCAATAATAAAAAAAACTACCAATTTTACATGATAATTTTTATGATACCAGTTGCACTTGAAGTCGAACTTCAAGGTCACAGCAAGGAAGTAAGTGTTGGCATTTCAATTTTAAAAATATTTTTAGCAGGGTATAGAGATTTACGAGAAACACAAATGTGTTATCTTCTGGGGCCTAAATTGCAGAATGAATGAGTTGACTGGATGCTGAACTTAGAGGAAAGGATTGATTTTCCCAATGAGTCACTCCCTTCTTTTTTCAGCATTATCAATGCTTTTTTTTTCTTTCCTGAGTGACCAGTATAATTTACCAAAGGGCCATAGAAGTTTGAGTTATGGAGGTTTTATTGGAAAGTCTTTGACTTAGGGAGGGTAATATTTATTTTTCTTAGGGGAATTCAAACAGAGTCCTGAAAAATTCCGAATAGGGTAGTTCTGACTTCGGGAGGTTTGATTTATGACGGTCCAACTTCTTTCTTTTTTTTTTTCCCGAAGGCGTTTTAGTCGGCCTTTGGGGGGAGGGGCCAGGAGGAGTGAACTACCAAAAAGCAAAACGCATAATAAAACGTCCGGCGAGGAAAGAAATATAAAGAGCGTCAAGTGTAATTCAGCGCGAATGTGTGCAGAGTGACGGCGGTTAAGAGAACATTTCCTTGAAGCATGTCCCGCTGGGAAGGCAATGTTTGGAACTACGGGATGCAGCAGGGGTTTGGCGGGTTCGCAGCTGGTGGTGGCGGGGCAGTAGCTGTTGCTGCGGCCGCAGCGGCTGCTGGCCCAACTGCCACTGCTACGGGCCCAAATGGAGAAGCCTACATGTTGGCACAACTGCCTCCTGGTCTGGCTGTGCAAAACCATCTGCAGAACGGTGTCGTATTGCTCAAGGCGAGTTCTTTCCCCTACGAGGTATTTTATTTTTCTCAGCGATCGTTCTTATTTTTGAAGTAGAGTACGGTACTGTACCCTTTTACTACTCCTGTAATTTGTGCATGGTATCTTGGAGAATTTGAAGCTATGGTATTTTAGAATCACTGTATTCGGAAAACATTGCTTTGGAGACGCATAACCGATAGTTGCTGAGTTGTAAGAAGTGGAAGAAAGTCTTACACCATCTCAGCACCCGTTTCTTCATTTCAGTCCAAGATCGTGGAGATCTTATAAAATGCGTGTGCTTGTACTCGTAGAGTATAAACATTCGTAAACTATTCCACTTTCACTTGAGTCGGAATTCAGAGTTACGTTTTTTAATTTCCGCCATTTAAAAACTTCCTGAGAATTTTGTGGACGTACCCTATAGAAGTCTTACATTTGTATCATGTCACTGTATTTTGTCTTCCGTTATGAGAGAATTAAACTCAAAATTTGAACTGAAACTGCCCCGTGTCCGAGCGTGAGAGCTTTTAACTGACGTGCACTGAAAACAGAACTAATACAGAACGGTTTCTCCAATTCAGACGAAAATTGTATTAGCTTGGGTACCATAAGCACCATTCTGATTTCAGCTTGAAAATATATTCTAATGAAGATGCATGTGATTAGGCCTTTGTCTGTAATTGCCGATGTATTACTGGTACTGTTCTTCACTATTTCAAGTGTTGTTAATTTGCTTGCTTCGTTTTCTGCCTGCATTTTACTTTTCGCTTCGGTACACACATTTTCTATACGCACCGTTTTCTGTATGCGCCTTTTGAGGCGTGCGGTTTTAGGACACGTTGAACTATCCCGACACTAACGAAAATTCAGATTCGCATATACTGCACTATGACTATTCTCTGTTATTCGTGTTTAATACATTACTCATTTCTGCAATATTTAACTTCGCTGTTGTTGCATTTTTGTTTTTATTAAATTTGGTGTCCAACAAATTTCCGACAATATAATTGTATTTACCCTGCATCTTCTTTGTACAGTATTTGATTTCAAAGGTTTGAGCACTTCAACTGGATTTTTTCAAACAATCGCATATCTCAGGGAAAACAATGCCCAGTAAATTTAGTTTTATAATTTTGAATACAAATACTGTACAGTATCTCCGCGAGAAAAATGCGTTAATTGAAGTGCGGCTAAATGTCGATTGTCAGTATTGTCATTCGTAAAGCTGAATAAGAATACATTTTTAACGTCATTAGCGGAGATCAAATTTTGCCATTCGGGGTTAATCCGGAAAGGAGAGATTTGTTGAATAAATCCAGGAGCCAGAAATTTACAAAAGTTTGGCCGGTCGACTCAGAAATATCACTCAACTTTAACGATTATTGTAGAATTGTGTGTCTTTGGATTGTCTCGAACTTCTAAGATTCATCGCAATCAAAAATCCTAGCTCCAGTAATTGAGTTTTATTTGTCATTCCCCTTTCAAATTTTTATAATTTTGGATTTCGTTACTTTTTGGTACAAATGGAACAAACTGTAAACGGAAAAAAAATCGCTTGGAACTTTGCAACTGTAATACTGACATTCCACTATCTTTTTTCTCTCTTACTACATTTCGTGACTTAGAAGTCAGATAAATCTGTACATTTTGATCGTGCTTCTGTACCAATGAAATATCCTAAAACATAGAATTCGACATCAGGTTCCCTAAAAACTTTAGAAAGAGATTGTTTAGGTAAATTTTAGACCCTTGTTATTCAGATTATTTTGTTCATAAGAATTATGATCTCGCCCTTTCATGAAATAGCGTTCAAGACGCACCCTTACTTTTTTGAACCGATTCTAATGAAAAAGATGGGTCTTATGTACTTCATTGAAATCAGATTAAAAAAGGGTCGCTGAGAAAGATAGAGATTAAGAAGATCGGGCTTTTGCGGATTACTGAATTTTAAAATCCAATCATGTCTTCAAACCAAGAATACTTTGAATATTCTATTGGGATTCCCATTGTGACCTGATTTACCCCGGCTATGACGGTGAAGTAATGCGCGATACTGTATCATTATGCATATTTTTAGGCGGAAGATCAGAAAAGTTTAGCCCAGGGAACTTATCAACACCATCCACACTCTGTGGCGAATGCAGCAACACAGGTGCAGACGATAGTGACCTCGCATAACGGTGTTCACCCGCACCAGCATCAACAACAAGCTGGGTTGGTATACCACAGCTTCCAGCCGATTGTTGCTCATCAACCATGGCCTCAGGCGATTCAGCAGCAGAACGCGGCACCGCAAACGGCCGTGCAGATGACCAAGAAAGATGAAGTCGAGGCAGATGTGAAACCCGCTGTTGTTAAGAAACGTGAGTTCTTTTATTTGGTACCCTTTTAGTTTACCTGCTTTGGGGAAGTGGGTGAACATTCAGAGAGTACTGTAATTCGTTCCTGTCAAATTTTCTCGACAAAATTTAAATTTTGTTTCATGAATATCCGAAGAAGAAAAATTTCTCAATAGGAAACTCTAGATTCCAAACGACGATTTTCTTTTGATCCCATTAAAGGAATTTCAATTATAAATGCTTCAGGGAAGTTGGTGAGCAATCAAAGATTCATTCATTCCTGTCAAGACATTTTCTCGACAAATTATAATTTTTCTTCTTCAAAATCCGAAGAAAATATGTCTTCCCGAACGACGATTTTCCTCTGATCCCATCAAACCAATCCATGTTCTAGTAGCTTCTCAAGAACGAAATTTTATTTATACAGAATCCTTTTTTCATCATCGTCTTTTCACAAATTTTGAAAAATATCATTCCAGCACGAGCGAGAAAGAAGAAGGCTTCTGCGAACGCCAACAACGAGAACGTGCAGAAAACCTCCGGGACACAAACGAGCGCAGCATCGACCCCAGGGGACGGAACGAAGCCCTTTTTCCCGGGACGTCGTCTGCCGTCTTTGGCCACTATAGCGAAAGAGTGCGAGAATGGGAAGACCAAGACGCATTTTTGCGACCACTGTCATCGCGGGTTCAGTTCGGCATATCATTTGTCTCGTCACTGGCGGATCCACGATGGGGATTACCCGGCCACGTGTTCCGAGTGCGGCAAGACGTTCAGAGACGCGAGTTCTCTGAAACGACACAATTTCGTGCACACGAGGGACTCGCCGCATGAGTGCCCAGTGTGTCAGAAGCGTTTTGGGGAGATTGCGAGGTGAAAGAGCAAGGCTTTGATTTCTTCTTTTTTTTTCTCCTGTTGGCAAGAATAAGAAAATTCTGTCCCTGGTTTGAAACGGAAATAATGTGCAGTGGTGATCCGCCATCAAAATTTCAAAATGGTTCCAACTCTTTTAGTCCCGTGAAACGCTCTTGAAGCTCTTCTTTTTCCTTTAGGCTCTAGCGTGAAAATAAATTACTGAATTTGCTCCAAAGCATGAAACATTTCCAAAATATCGTAACGCGCGAAAATTGTCCGAATTAAAAAAGAATAGGATGATAACGCCCCTGGCAATTCGTTTACGGCAACGCCCTTCGGGAGATAAGTTGAGCTTTTTTAATGCGTTATTCAAATCTTCGGTCTCCTTTCCTTTTTGCCGATCCTTCAAAAAATCGATAATTTGTTTATATCGTCTTTTAAATTTTTCCCTGATTATCATCTTTTCAGGGTGTATTTACCGTAAGGCAGCTGAAAACGCATGAAGCTTGAACGTAACAAAATGAATACGGGAAGGGTTTAAATATTTTCAGAGAAGATCATGGTAAAACATGGGCATAATTTTTTATGCAGGGGAGATCCGTTTTATCACGCGTGTCAAAGGCGTTTTTCTTCAATTGAACAAATGTCATGAACAGCCTAGGCATATTTATAGAAGTAGTACTAGCAAGAAATATGAAAACAAGGCACCCAGAACTCGTAGCGACGTAATTGTTCATGGGTCTCGTGTCAACCCGACCGTGCTTCAGTCTTCCTCATGAATTTAATTTTTTTTATTTTAGTGACAAAATCACAGTTTTGTCGGTGATTCAATCGGCGAGAGCTCGAAAAGTCTATTTAGATTTTCGTAATCGCATTTCACTCGACGTCAGCCAACCAAGAAAAAAGCTGAGGGTAACAGATCAAACTTAGGCTTAGAATGGATTTTAATGGCATTTTCTGATTTTTGCCCACATGTGGTCTTCTGTAGACTTCACTACTCAGTGTGGCCAAATTTCTTGAAAAATTGGCCACTTCGAGTGTTGAAAATTTATCTCCTGTAAACTTCTCTACTCAGTGTGGCCAAAATTCTTGAAAAATTTGCCACTTCGAGTGTTCGAAGTTTCTTTTCATCAGAATTCTTCTCTATTTTTGGTCACCAGATAGAAATCACGTGTATTATTTTTGAATAAATTGATTCCCGCAGCAAAACGATCTCTATAAATATTGCTCAAGAAGCGCAGTTATCTGCTGAAGGTTACTAATTTCAGTTCATCATCTGCAGATTGGCACGCCATGTTCGGATTCATTCCGGAGAGTACGCGCACAAGTGTGACACTTGCGACAAAGGGTTCCATGATACCTACGCTCTGAGTCGTCACCAACGGTCTCATACTGGTGACCGACCATATCGTTGTCATCTCTGTTCCAAGGGTTTCGTCACCGGCTCCTACCTCAAGAAGCATCTTCGCACTCACGTATCGATTTTCAACGTCGGCAACGTCAGCTCAAGTAAGCCCAGAGCCAAGAAAAAAGCAGATAAGCAACAGCAGCAGCCACAGCAGCAACAACAACAACAACAACAACAAAGTAGTCAAGACAGTCGGCAGCAGCAGCAGCAGGTGACCGAAGAAGCGCAGAGGCAAACCCAGAGTGTCATGGCGCCAATGATTTTGTCTGATGGCGCCGTGAACGAAGTGGTGTTTGTGAATGGGGCTATGGCCATGGTGGCTCCACCTGGCGGAAGCTTGCATCCTCTGACAACTCAACAGCAGCGATAATTTATTTTTTCTTGCCCGTCATAAACGCTGACAATCCACTTATATACGTAGATATGCTTCATTGGATGGAAAATAACTTCACTGCTTAGTGTAATTTCATCAGTCTCTATTGAACTCAGACAATCGAGATAAATACTGTATGTTGGTCTACAAATATCAGATACTGCATAGAAGGGGATCAAGGAAAGTGAACTCATTGAACATCGCTGTACAAAGGGAAAAACATTTCTTATGGAGATTGAGACCTCAGGTGTTTTCAGTTGGACCTTTGTCACGAATTCAAGTGGATGGGAGCCGAAACTTAGAATAATAAGCCATTGTTACAGAATGGGGCATTTCAAAGGTTTTTTACTTTATTCTAGTTTTCGGATGTAAAAAAAAAATCAATAGATGCCTGTTGTGATCAGGCGAAATGATCTTGGTTTGGACATTTGTAATTGTTTTTTTATTCAATGAATTTTTTCTTGAGAATACTGTGCCTTGTCTTGGAGCTAACGACGAAACTTTTGACTGTTAGGGTTGGCAGAGCAATCAGTCAAATCATCAATCGAGGGTTCCAATGTTCGACATTTCCGCGTATCTCGTTCAGGCAAAGTGAGAGTGGGATGTGAATCTAGTCAACTCTCAATGCTGAAGTCTTAGCTTCTCCAAGATAAGATCTGGAAAATTGTTTTTCGTTCTTCACAAAAAGAGAATGTGGAAAAGGTGGACACGGGAGAAAATCATATGCCGCGTGCGGACAGGTTTTTTTTTTTCTTTTTCCAGGGCGGCTTGTTTCTGTGCAAAAAAATGTTGAGAATCCCTAATTTATCGTCCACTTCTTTCCGGGTATTTTGTGATGTACATATTTCTGTGTAAAAAGAAAACATGTGGTTCCTGTTGGGCTTGGAAACGAAGAATTGTTCTCGCGCAAATTGGCATTGGTTCGCGTTGTCTTTTGTACTGTGAGCGATCTCAGAAGAAACATTTCCTTCTGGAAAGAATGAGGGCACTTTTGAAACCTCCACTGCTTGTAAGAATCTTTTTTTTTTTTTTCAAGAGACCAAGGTTTTTATTAGACTTTTTGCATGAGAGAATGTTTACTGTTATGTTTCTACTGTGGTGAGACTTTTTCACTTTCAGACGAAAAAAGTTTGGTCGAATGAAATTCAAAACGCTGAAATGTTGTTTTTATTCCTTTGCGTCCGACTCTTCCAAAATTTCCCGTGATTACTATTCAAATACTGCACTTGATCAACGCCTGTTACATGAGAGCTTTTTTCTGAAAACGTAAGTGAAAAGCTCAGTACACTCTTAAGGGAAAAAATGCGCTAGAGTGACGATCTTCATGATAGGCATTTACAAATTTGATACTACAGTACAGTATGGCATTTTTTCTGATTTCTCAGCTGCAAAAACTAGACAGTGGGTCTAGTTTTCAGCAGCATAACTTTGGATATACTGTACAGTATTTGTTCCGTGATGAAGTTTGTTGGTTCAAGTAATAGCACATCTTAAATTTTTCTTCAGCTGCCTCTTTCATATTTTGCAAGGTAAAATTTGATGACCAGCAAATTCAGAAGTTAGAATCCAAACTACTGTACTACATAGAATTTGCATGTTCTTTGCTCCAAAGATTGTGTTAACAGAAGAGAAGCCTGGAATGGATCAAATTGTACAATCATGTCAGATCAAAAGATAGCCACAAATTACATCACTAAGAAACAGCTTTCCTTTGAGGTAATGTACACTGGGCGAATTTTGTGAACTCTATCATGAGCACAGGTCTTTTCTGATGATCGATTACTAATCTTATAAGTTCATTTTGTGAAATGGATGTGGGTTCACATCTTTTAATGACAATGTGTGCAACCATGATTTTCCCAACCATGTCAAATCCCACAGGAGCTGGCAATGTTTTCATCTGAGCAGCATGGTTGCCAAGCGCTAATCAGTGCATGAAGTTCGCGGGACAAGCCGAAACAAAATTATACCTTCTTCCCCAACCCGGTTTAAAGGAATGCACAACCATTCTGAAAAATAGCTTTATTTGACGCAACCGGGACGGAGTAACTGTACAAATAAGAAACTTCGTTCGTCTAATTTCCTTTCATACCCACCTATACAGGAAGTCGAGTTTCAACGATCTGCTCTCCTGCCCCGAACACTAATGGGTCCTACGTAAGGCACATAACGAAGACCGAATGCGCCTCGATGAATCATAAGGTGCTACAAGAGCAATCTCGATCGAAACCGGCAACATACTCAGCTTTCTATTCTGCCGAAGCAATTTCTGATTCCTCAATCGTCTCGCACCCTAAATCACACGAGCCTTAATCTTACTTCTGGTGGCTCTATCTTTTCAGCTAACAATTTAATCAGTTTTCCTTGTTTTCAAGGCGAGATCATGGAAGTGGGAGAACTAGGAATGCAACTTTTCCTAGTTCAAGGGAAGCCTCACTTCAGCAAGAATGCAATAATTTCCATCTAATATAACCATAATAAAAAATCATTCTGGCATAAGTTACTGTCGTATGATTGAGCAAAATACAGTACTGTAGTCTATAGAACCTCCTATCCGGTAAAAACAAAATGCCTTCTTGCAGATGATCAGAAATAGAATAAAATCAGGAAGTCACAAATCGTTTCTTTAAAAATTATAAATTCTATCATTTAATCCACTTTTAAAGGGCAACATAATTTTCATACTTATTTTCCTAGCGATCAAAACAATCATGAAAAACTGCGATCAGTGAAATTTGCTGTAGGTATGCATCTTTGTCAAAACTTCAGGGGAAAATTCATGAGCAGACATTAGTCTTCATAATTCGTCTTACATAATGAAGCTGGGTTTCACAAAAACTAAGGTTCTAGGATCGAAGGATGGTAGAAGGTGCTTCAAAAAATCCAGACAATTTCAGTTACAGAATTCGATTTAATTTGCATGGGTTAATCAATGGACTTTTTTCAGGCAAAATTATAAACTGTTAAATGTTCATGCATGTCCAACCTGAAGGAAGAGAGTCATTTTGTGGCAAGCATGAGTAGAAATAAATCTTGGTTTTCTGGACCAAGTATTAAATAAGCCACCCTTTATTATAAGGCTTTACAATTGGAATAAGGAATTTGACCGAACAAGTTTTGAGTTATTGAGGTTTAAATTATATTTGACTTGGTGAAAGATTTTCTCAGGGATTTACATAAAATTTGAATCCCAACTTGTGTCAGTGTCAGTTGTGACATTCTTTTGAACTGGTTTCCAGCATGGGGGCCAAAAACAACAAACCATTCCCACATTTGTCAAACTGAATTCATCCAGATGCTCCTCAAGTTAATTGGAATATTTTGCAGTACTTCAGCTTCATTAGAATGCACTGAACATGGCAGTGTTGCGGGTAAACCCTATTCACAATAATGAGAAGCAGGTCCAAACTGATCTTTGGGTCTCTTGAAATTGGGTGAGCAAACTCACGATTTCTATTTGGGGAAGATCAAACCTTGGACAGTAAAAATCAAATCCACCTCCATCCATAAGAAGCACAAGACTACGCGAACCAACTGAAGTACAGTACTTGATACAATAATTACCACTCAAAAGCTTCTTTAAACTTTTGCCTTAAAATTGGCATCGCTGCATTTGAAAGCCTTTCCAAAGTCTATTCGGCGTACCTTTGCTTCACTTCCATTATTTCGTCCCAAAGCCATCAATTTACGCTCATATTCGTAATTCTGCAGTTTCTCAGCAAAGCTTCCACGCCATTTTATTACGATTCTGATTCTTGAAACAAGGGCAGAAAACCCCGAGCTTAGAAAAACGACAAATACGCACAAGAAATGCTTGGACACAAACTTGGAAGAAGTCGATGGAACTGGCTGCAGCAATCGTAGAACTGTCAGCAAAATTCAAACCCCAGGACACTTCCCGATGTACAAACTCGGCCAAAGACAGTTATGCAAATTACATACCACGAACGACACCCTTCCAACAAATATTATTCTCTCGCGCCATTCTTAATTCGACACAGAATCGACTCGCACTTTTTCTGGATTAGAGTACTTCCAAAATTTCGAACGCACAAGAATCTTCACGCAGCTGTGATTCAATAAATGAAAAATTCATTTTTATACTGAGTCTACCACAAGGCACGAGTCTACGAAAGCGGAACACGTTTAAATGCATGGAATGCTGAACAAGGATATGCCTCATCGTTTCTTCAAAGCTCCAAAAGATTCCAAAACGGACATTCCGACGAATTACATCAGGTCAGCAAATCCTGGAAAAAAAGGAATCACGTGATGTCGCGAACAAACCGAAAATGAAGAGGCTATGTCCACCCTAAATATAAATGGAATGCGAGCACATGACAAATTGCCTATAGACTGTTCTACAATCGTACACACAAGCAAGCTACGCTGATGACGAAAGCATATGGTGAAAACACGAACTTTTTTAATTGAATGCAGTCAACTTCATCATCATCATCCACGCAAGTTAATCCCGGGATGTCCAAAATTATCGCTCAATTCGTTCCGAAAACGATCCTATACTTCCTAAAATTTCCAAAAAACATACTATACAGGATCGGACAACACGTTCTGAAATCTCAAGAACATTTTACCACACCTTCAATTCCAATTCTTTCGGTACAGAAGTTTCTGAGACAGAATTTTCGAAACGTCTGCATTATCAACATTGTCTTATTTTAATAGTCCAAACATGTTTACAGAACTTCTTCAGGGAAATTAAAAAAAAATTATTCTGAAGAATTAATATTTATCACGGTTGATGTAATACGATCTCGATTCCAGAAGCAAAAAACTGATACAATTTATCAACAAACTTTGTATCTACACTAGAACACGGATACACAAAAATAATCGGTGTGAGGCACAACTATATGAAAAACAAATCAGTAATCTTTTCGAGGACAGTTTTATATCGATCACTCAACTATTTCATACAGACCATGCCGAAAATTTGATACAACGAGACGTGAGTTATTCATACGCAACTTCGCCGAATCCAAGAATAAAATTTTCTCCGTCAAGTGTCAACATTCACAGCCAATCGCAAAAATAATGTATATCTATTTCTCTTCTAGTCATCACATATCATGCACAACGGTACAATCAGGTGTATTCTCTCTCAATATAGTGATGTCCACGTAATTATAGATACAAACAAAAGTCAAACGAACAACAACCACCAATCATATTATAACAATTTATATACTGACCGAGTACATTCTAGGATGCCGAAAGTAGTTTTACGAAATTCAATATTTGTGCAATACTGAGGCATATTTTTCAATATTCAAACCCAGACGAAAATAAGTCATTGTGACATCAAATGGCAAGTTGGAATAAAAATGATATGAAGGTTTACGTAAATTCCACGAACTATATTGTTTTGAAAACGCAGGTACATTAAATTCTGGTGTGAACTTCAAACGCTGATGAACAGGTAGAATTTTCCAACATGCACATTCATTTTTCTTCGTAATCACTGAGAGTAGGAAAGTCATTAAATTTCCGAATTTGTGTAACTTTTTATCAATGACGAATAATTTATACTTTCGGCATACCTACAATCTCAAAAATACGGTATTAACAGTCACGAAACATCCAAAAAACTTTTAAATCTAATTGAGCACGTAGCTCAGGATGTGCGACACTCACCATCCTTGCTACTGAATATCTTGGCTCCTTTTTTGCGCCCACTCTGGCGCTGCAACAACATATCCCCGTCAGACTCGGGAACAAGACCATCACCATGGTCCCAAGCTGGTTGTGCTGCTTCTGTGCTGCCAGGCACTGATGAGTATTTACTGTCAACAGTCAGTCCCGAAACACCCATCCCGACCCCTCCGAGAACATTGGCAACTTTCGAGAGGAGAGAGCGTTCTTTTGGACGTGGCAGGGTTTCGTTTACCAGCATGAAAGTGGTGCCCGATCCGCAACCAATTGAAACAGCTGCTTCTTTCAGAGATTGTGGAATAATGGTGGGAGATAAGATGTTCGAGGATTCCCGCAAGCCGCAAGTCCCATGCTCGTTCCAGCCCCAGACTGCAACTGCTCCCGTGTCTGCATCGAGACATTTTTTGAACATGAATCAATTTTCTAAATGATGATCCACGTACAGTACAGATGAAATCCAGTTATCCAAGCTCTGAGTCATTGCGTAAAATGTTTGAATCTTTAAAATTTCAAAAAGCGGCTCACACACACCATTGAATTAATTTGCAATCATCAACCGCCGTGAGCTTTCTCGGTATGTGAATGATGAAGTAATGCAATACGTTCCAGGTCCTTGTTGTGATACCATATTTACTCGAGTACCACGCGCCATAAAAAAAACGCGCACCAGAATTTTTCAGTTGAAAATTTTGATGAAATTGCTTCACCAAGTAAGACGCGCAAACCATTTTCAATGACTCTAAATCCTCAAACTTTGAAAATAAGAATGCCCAAAATCAAATCTAGACAAGAATGCACCTGGATTCAACTAACTTTCAATTGTTTCCAGTAAAATAAGTTTTGAAGTTAAAATTGGTTCAATATCTACTGTTAGAATCGAGTATAATGCTCACCAAAATTTCAAAAAAATTATAAAGAATGTTTGCCTGCACATGACGCGCACCCCTTTTTTCTTCTCAAATGTGAGAAAAAAGGTTCATGTGGTACTTGAGTAAATAAGATATTGCACTTGGTTTCATCTTCACTGTCGAGCGTTTTTGAATATACCGCAGGTTATTTTGAAATTGATTCATCATTGCTGAGGCAACTAGTCATGAGCCTGAATACTGTAATCGCCATTCTATTGCAGTTGCATCTGGCTGTGATTGCGACATTTTTCGAAAAATATAACCTATTCATCATGTAAAGTCTCAGAATCCCTTTCTGAACATTAAAAAAAGCCTCAGGCACGAACAAAAGTTATATTTTTATTATCAAATGGGGTCATCTGAACTAAATTTTCAAAAGCCACCGACAGATTAGTTATGCAAGCAGTAAGGATTCTGGATTATAGCCTTCATCACCCTTCCCTGCATTCTAAAATCTGGAGACTTAGACGGAAACTTCCGAGTTAACCAGACAGAAATTATCCTGGAAAAAAAGCGCTAGCGCAATTTTCATTTTTCCGCCTTTGATTTACGGGAAAAAGAGTAGTTGATCACAATACTGTACAGTAGTTTCAAATGGAAGGCTGGAATCCTTGTTTACCCAAAAGCGAAACACAGTGCTCGGCTCCAACTGCAACTGCCACAGCCAAACCAGGCAACTTCACTTGAACCGGTTTGGGATCACATTCCGAGTTAATTCCTCTTCCAAGCTGCCCGTAATCCCCGCGGCCCCACGTAAATAAATGACCTGATTCCGTGTGAGCAACACAGTGCGTCCATCCCACGAATATCTCCATCAACTTCCCTTTACCCAGCCATGAGGTTTCACTCACAGGACACGGACTGTTCACTTGAGTGCAATGTAAAGGCAAGGACAGCTGTCCTTTCTTGTTCTGGCCAAAAACGAACACTTGGCCATTCCTGCATTGCACTACGGTGTGGTATTGTCCACAACAAACTTTCACAGCCTCTTCTTTGCACGGAACTGGAAAAAGCGAAGTGGAAAGTTACATATACACACTTCTTGATTCTTATTTGAATGCGATTCTCGGTTATATCATATCTCGAATTTATTTTTGAAAAGAGTTGAAAACATAGGGTGTCAATACATGTAGACGGGCTTTTCCTACATCGACATACAAGAGACAATAAGCACAAATCGTCAAAACTTTTCTGATAATTTGCATGTTCCATATAATTAGTGTGCTACCCAAAAAATTCGAAATGAAAATAAAATACGCCTTGACAGCCTTTTGAGTTGTGAAGTAAGCAAAATAAATTAAAAATTATGCTTCGAAAGCATACGAGAGTTCACCACAGTATTAGTATGATTACGGGATTTATTGCTGCCTTCAACACTCAAATAAGAACCGGGGGCAAGAAGAATTCACGGTTCTACAATAAATTCGTCTTCCCATCATTTAAATTAAATAACGTGTGCTCCACAAAAATTCAGAACGACAAAAGTTCACAATTCTTCGCATTGAATATGACTTGAACGCGAGCATTTCTGGAGGAACCATTCTCAGGAGAGTCGTTCGATTTTTAGGGTAAGACTACCACGACCAGGAACAAATTAGCTACATACGAAGTGTCGATGTAGATGATATATTCTCTCTCTGATGAAATACCGAATATAAAGACCGCAACGTAGTTATAGAAAACTACTCACTGATACAGGGTTTTTCTATTTCTGCCAGAGGTTCTCCATCACTTGTCAAACCAAGCTGCCCTTGTCGCCCAGAACCCCATACATAAACTTTCCCGGTATCATCCACAATTGCGCTATGCCGTAGACCGGCAGACACTGAGACAACCACACAAGCAAGCTCAACTTCTGAAGGCTCCACAGTGTGCGACGGCACCTGGCAGAAAATGAAACTCCTCATTTTCGAAGAAGAGATCTTTCTTCAAAAGACACCTTACTCTGGTTTTAGGAATGCCAAGTTGATGGAAAGAATTCGATCCCCAACTAAAAAGCTTTCCGGCACCGGTAACTGCAATGGAATGATCCCATCCGCAAGCGATGCGAGTAACTCTCATGTCTTTCAGTTTCTCAACGCAGCGGAACTCCTTCTGTTCTAATTTATTAGTGACATATCCAAGTTGACCCTGAACAGATCCATTCTCAATATCATCCTATGATTGAATTAACAAAGGTGCATTCTGATGACTTACTTTACTGTTCCATCCCGCAGAATAAAGGACGCCATCGTGAGTTAAGAGAAGAGTGTGACCTCCGCCACCAACGATTGCACGCACGGAAGTTAAATTCTCTTGTATTTCAGGAGGAAGCACTTTAACTTCCGTTGGTACTCGACACTCGTCATTGCAGAGACCTAGTCCCAGCTGGCCATGGGAGTTCGCCCCCTAGAATTTCATGCATTAAATAACATGAAGCAAGACTTAGCTAGATGAAATGTGGAAAAAAAACTGTGAAACCGACTCTAGGCTTCACATACGTCCTGCAAATAATATGCAGTCGTCAATGTTCATAAACGTAATTTTGAACAAAAAGAATTAGTTCAGGGCCGTTACCAAGGCTGTGGAATAATAAGAGGTTTTTACCAATGCATGCTTGTCTGAACTAATGATTTACAGAAATTTAACCAAATCATATTCCTGATATGGCGTGCACAGGTAAAATAAATACTGCATCTTACTCACCCACGCGTACAGCTTCATCCTATCCACAGAAAAATAACATCACTCCTCATTCCCCGAGCATTACCTTCGAAAACAAGGAAATGAATCATACAGCGTGATCAGTCTGAACATGCAGTTCTTTCAAAAATATCACAAACCCAGAAAGAATAATGACCAGGACACGTCAAGTTGTTCTCAGTGAACACTGACGGACACACGACAAGTCAACTACTCCAGAATGCTGAACTCCGCATAAACAATACAATTCAATCCACAGTACTTGAAGGTACTGTACTATCATAGGTAAAGCTGTACCCATCCACCATACGATTCGACATCTTCGGCGCACGAATATATGGTACTAGAAGCTTAGGGCAAGCACTGTAAATGAAAAGGACTGTTCGGAAGCTGTGCAGGTGCCAACTATGCCCTCTCCCAACTTGATGGCAGTTAAGTGCGGAAGTCGTTATCCAGGAATACAAAGGTTGAATACCTTGTCAAGTTTTCATCTATTACTTCAGGATTAATCATTTTGTGCCTTTTTATATGCTGCTTTAGATTTTAGCGACATCTATGTTAAAATCTTTGAAATTTACGGAGTGGCGCCCTTCAGAGTTTAGATTATCAACGGTGGTGCGCTGGAAATCGTTCGGTAGTTCCGGAATCTGTCATCTCCGCATTACTTACAAAGAAGCCAATATTGTGAAGAATTCAATCATATTTATGGTCAGTACGTGTGTGAGACTCAGTTTTCGAGGCATTTCTCATCTATTGCAATTCTGTCAGAGTCTAGAAATTTTCCTGAATCCCCTGCTTTTGCACCTACAGGTATCATGTTCTCTGTCGTAATCCGTCGTAGCTGCAAGGTTTACCGTCAGTTGGTCCGGTGGAGCTCAGATCATCATGATTTTCACAGAGCAAGTTCTGCTCGAAAACCCTCAAATCTTGAGAAGCGAATGCTTGTTCTGGAAGGGTACTATAAACGCGTTGCGGACATCCCCGAAGAAGTTCCCAGAGCCACCCTAATACGTATGTGGGAAAGGTTCCGAATTGGCGTTAACATCGTGGCGATTGGTTGTGTACTTGCTGCTTCTTACTGGATGATTTTGTTGGGAAGAAAAGATTCGTCGGAGGGGAAATCCCACGAGAAAGCCATCCTTGAGTGGCATAAGGAATTGCGGGAGGAGCACGAGAAGAAATCTCCCAAGTCGGACTGAGCTGTATTAGCTGTACCGTTCCCTAAATAGTGAGAAAACTTCTAGATTCTGATGTAGCATTGAGCTCCTCTCCCTTTCGTAGATAGGCGTGATTTCGGAATATTTCCTCCGGTTGAAAATGAGATGTAGAAACGGGGAAAATCTTCCCGTCTAGTCGTCTCGCGAAGGCTGTGTTATTAAAAATGTTGGGATGACCCATGTTTTATTCGAGAACTCACCATCGATACTCTTTTAATATCTGACAAATTATATTCCGTTGTGCGTGTCTCTCACGCAAGTACTCCATTCAATTGCAAGGCAAATCTCGCGCTACTGAACAGGCGGAGAATATTTGAGGGAGTTCTGCATCCATGATGGATTTGTGACGAAGAAATGTCGATCAGTGTGACACAGTAATTAAGGAAAATTGTCGTCATCGGGATAATGGCCGATTTGCTCACAAAAGGAAAAGGGACAATTTTCAGTGTTCTCCAACACTTGGATCGCCTCTTTAAAACCGCTATACTTAAGTTACACTATCAGAATGATTAATCTGAAATTTTATGAGTATACATTACAGGCATGATGCGTTCGGCGCTGTACAAGTGCCAAGTTTTTTTCCCTTCTTTTTTTAAGAACTGAACTGTTCAAATTTTGTTTAGAATAGGCTTGTTCGTGAAGCAATACTGATTTAGCAGAAACTACATACCGTATTCCGATTAACTCTAAAATATCGGTGTATTTCGACCGGAAAAGCTGGTCCGACCCCACTCTACTCATCCAGCAACCCTTCATTTCTTTCTTTTTGGGGACAATCTGGTTCAAGCATTGTCAAATGAAGAAAAGCAATGAGTTGAATGCTTTGTTCAAGGATGAAATTGCTCGGCGTTGGTTGCTTTTCTTCGGGTTATACAAAAAATGACTTCATTTTTTGTTATTTTAAGTTAATTCTTTATTTGTCAGGTTAGCCACTTATCAACTTCATCACATATACAATGCATTTATGTGTAAACAATAATAACTTACGGCTTTGATGTGCGTTGCTTCTTCGATGTACTGTACTGAGCACTATGTCCAATAATACGAACGAACAAGCAAAAATACCTTGGGTCCCATGATCCTGCATAACCGAACTGTTATAATCCTTCCAGTGGTGAGTTTGTTTTGGTAAATGTTGCCAGTAAGAAAGATTAAAATATTTCCTGAATTTTATAAAAAATAGTTGCAAATCGACTCATTAAATTTATGTAATATTTTCTGCATAAATATTCACTGGATAACATAAAATTTGTTTATTTTCTGTTGGAGAGATTTACGGCTTGTCTTGAGGAAATTTTGATAATCGGTTTATATATACAAGTACTGTACTGTACTGTATAACATGCAGCAGGAATTCTTGTTCTATTATCGGGGTTATAATACCCACCAAAATTATTTTTTTATTTTCTCTTTTGAAAAAGACTTCCTCATTATCCTGGAGATGCCTGTATTTTTCATTTTCATATGTTACTTATCTAGTTTTGTCAAATGTTTCAATTTTCAAAAATTCTTCAATAATTGCGCATTTCATCCGAATATTCCGAAAATCACGTCAAGTTTTCTCAGTAAGAAATTATGTTAACTGATAGTTGCACAAATCACTTCATTTGCAATCATGGACACACTGCAGTATGAATATGTTAGAATGCGATTAAGGAATTGCGTGCCGAGAAAATTTTCTGGAAGTAGAATCATGTGTAGTACTATACTGTATACTGTACTACGATAGACGCATGAACTGGAGCACACGTGACATCTATGTGTCAGTATGTTTATCTCTAAATGAACGTTCAATTCGTGTAATCAGAAATTCTTCCCGCTTTTTTGGGTCCGTGCGTGTGCCATTGGCTACGAGAAGAATGAGTTCGAGGTCATTCGACTGCTGTTACGCATACGGAAGGCGTGAAGTCGTATAGGTATAGGTTGAGTCATGTGGTGTCCCACAAAATTGTATACTGTATATTTTCTCGAATCTTTTATCTATAAGCTGGAGGGTGGAGCATACCAATTGAAGTTTACTGGATTTCATGAATTCGGAAAATCCCCCACTTATCTGTACTCACGTGATCAAGTCGGCAAGCGTTTACTGCGGAACGTAGTTTTTGTGGTTTTTGGTGATCCCGCCGGATTTGAGAAGTTACGATTAGTGTTGAATGGTCCGCGGTTACTCTCTTAGCGCATGTGAATTTTAACGCTCCGTAGTATAACTCCTTTTATCCCGCTGTTCATCTTAGTTAGCCATTCAATCAGAAACATAACAGGATCGAAGTCGTTCTGGTTTCGTGTTATCACTGGATGTCCTTGTATTCCGCTTCCTCATCCATGTTTCCCGGATTTTCCTGGCGTACACGTGACATCGCGGGAAGTCGTTCCCATCATTGCGGCTGGGACGTTGTATGTCGAGATTTTTATAGAGCGGAGAAGTCGGTGAACTTGATTAGTTTTGATAGATTATTATTGGTGAAATAGTTGTCCCGCTGTACTCTTGTGTTGATCTAGTTTTAGCATTTATTTAAAAGAATTGATTTTTCATATGCATAATTTATGCTTTCTGTTTTGAAGGTAACCTATCCCTTGTTACTCTCTGTACGGCCTCGAAGTGGCCCCAGTTTTTAATCCCAACTTCTGTGAGATCGTGTTGTTACCCGCGCGACTTCTAGTTCAAGATTTGAGGAAGTTAGGATGAAAATCTGGACTAGTGAGCACGTGTTCAATCACTCATGGGAAACAGTTGCTCAGGCTGCTTGGCGCAAGTACCCTAATCCAATCAACCCCGCAGTCTGGGGTACCGACGTCGTCGATCGCCACGTCGATCCGCGAGACGGAGCTCTGATCACACATCGCATCATTAGCTCACAATGGGGTCTACCCTCGTGGGCAGCATCTATCCTCGGTAACCCGTCTGCCTGTTATGCATCAGAAGTGTCCCGAGTGAACGCAAGCACCCGCAATTTCCAACTAGATACCCAAAATTTAACTTTTGGATCGCACATAGCAGTGGATGAGAAGCTAATATACTTGCCGCACCCAGATGACCCTATGAACAAAACCTTATTGAGGCAAGAAGCCGTGGTAACCGTAAGCGGAGTACCATTGACGAGCTATATGGAAAGTGTGCTCACGAACACGATCTCGTCAAATGCCGGCAAAGGCCGGGCAGCCATGGAATGGGTAATCGAGAAAGTGAATCAAGGACTACGTTCCATGGACGATCTTTCCCACGCTGCTAGGAAGTCATTGGAATTCGACGCAGTTTGACAGCGGCCTCCGCTTCCGAAACTCTCGTACTGCAAGTGGGATGATGATTCGCAGGAAACATGAGGAAGCACCTGATGGATGACCTCTTCCGCACAACTTATTTGAGTTGTTTTTCGTCATTCTTGTTGCAAAATTTAGTCTTTGATACGTCAGTGCGCTTGATGGATTCCGCCAATTTTTCTTTTTTGCTCAAAAATCTTGCAATATTCATGGTTTTCCGGAGGTCCCCCATGCTTTGATTTGTATGCTCCTATTCAGTGCGTCGTCTCAGTTGTCGAGTAAGTCATTCTAATGACTCGGCGGCAAGGAAGATTGTGCAATGATCGAACTGTCAGAAAAGTAGTTCGGGTATCAGCAAGTTTCCAAAGCAGCTTTCCTGCCAAATGAGGCAAGGAATGCGTTTTCAATGTGTGGAAAATTTTTCGACGAAGAGAGATACATTTCGTTTGATGGAATCGGTAGCATCGCTGGCATTCCTTCTTTTTTTCATTCGGCTGAAGGTGATCTTTTAGGTAACGATTCAATTCTTGATTCGTGTCCTTCGCAGAAGAAAAAAAAAAACCCTCGAAGATGTGTAGTATTCACGCTCGATTGTGGAGGTGAGCTTCCACATCGTTTTCGAGAGCCAATTCTTCCGTCAATGGCAATGGTTTCTTTCTCCAGAGCTTTTTCTGCTCATGGAGTTGATCAAGTCTTGCTTTAATTTGTGAAACTGAGTCTGGTATGGCCTTATTTTCTTCGTGCCCTCGTTCCAATCCCTTCTCCGTTTCTGGTAACTAGCGATTTTTATTTTATTTATTTTACCCTCTAATTTAGAATTTGCCTGGGTTGCTCCATTTCAGCTGTCCTCTTGCGACGTGTATTTTTACTGATGTTGCCGTCTCCAGCAGTTTGAGAAAAACTAGTTCTTTTAAATTTGTTCAATTTTACGCATTTACTACAGGCTTAGCTGTTTCAAACATGAGAAGAGAGGATTTCCGTAGTCGAGTAGAGGAGAACGATGGTTCCGACATGAAAAAGTTATTTTAGATTAAGCTCAATCTGGAATTTTTCAATCCGGTTTTCATGGATTCCGAATGAGTTATCTTTTGACGTTGATATCCTCTGTTAAGTTTTCGCGAAGGCAGTTGGTAATGATACATATGACTGAAGTCGTTACGTGCTGATGGTGCTTGATTCGAAATTGACATTGAAGAACCAGAAACATCTTCAATACACTAACGATGCATAAAGGTAGTCTCTTCACTGGAAGATTGCAGGAATTGATCAGCTCATTTTATCCTTTTTCTGTCCTGTAGAAGTTACTTAGTGAACAAGTCCAATGGCGACTCCATCCTTTTGTTCGAGCAACTCTCCAGTATTTACCAAAGACGCCATGGTTTTGTTTAAGCTTTTTCTTGAAGTTCTTGTTTCTCACGAAGGGGCCGCAAAATCAGCGATTATTTTTTGCCGTTTTCTACGTCTTTCCGTAGGTTCAAGAGTTCATTCGTTCTTGCATGTAATGCTGATATCTGATCTGTTCCCAGTTTATCATACATCGCAGCCCAATGGATCCCGCACATGGAGCGCACGATAAGAAATAATCTGTTTTTAATTGCGTCTGAAGATCGATCTGATGTGAGCTCTTCCGCACGATGAGCTAACAGATATAAGCTAGGATGTGACGACAAAGTTGATCACGCACACGTCGGTCTGTCAAACTGAAGCAATTTTGGTAGCTGTACTGTATACTTGTCATGAAAGTTTCAACAATTGTCTGGCAAGGTTTCTAAAAAAAATCCCCTGGAAAACTTCTGGCGTTAATTTTGAACCAGTTATGCGACAACTCGCCAACGAAGGGGATCAGTAAAGCAAATATGGGTCCAACCTACTTGGGCTAATCTTTTCTTGGATCCCGACCATCGCTGATCAATTGCTCATTTCTGCGATGCCGCAGCTGAGGAACTGAAGGATCCTAAGTGTGGAAAGTACATGAGACTGTTTTCCGATAGTTTCTTCAAAAATTCCCTTGCAGAAATTCAGATAAGAACGCTTCCTCCTGATGTGATGGCTGATCATTCAAAATTCCGCATGAACTGAACGCTGCAGTATCAACCTTCGCGGCGTTCTTCGCAACTAATCCTAAGATTCTCGAGGCATTTCATCAGCAAATGTAGAAGGATAAAAAAATGTACCTAACATACTTCTCAATAATTTACTTTCAGAGTTAATTAAGATCTCTCATAAGCTGAACGTCTTGTCCAGTACTTCATGATATCCCTGTATGAGGAGTGAGAGTGATGTATTGCAAGACATGATTCGCTGTTTCAATCATGGTATTTCATCGATTTGAAACATACGGTGATTCGCGCTAGTATTACTACTCTCATCTCTCTTTTTCTATATCTCAATTGAAAATTTTGGACAAAGAGTGATGGTACTGTATAGAGAAGTATAGTCCATTTCAATAACACCGTCGCAACTGCCCTTCACTGATAACATTTTCGAAGGATTGTTGCTTCCTTTGAAACAACCATTTCGGCAAAAATCATTGAATTTAGAGCCGTCGTAAAATCAGAGATCGTTCGACCGCGGATATAAGGGCATCTTTTGAGAGTTGACGTTTCTTTCCACTAAAATGATGAGTTACTTGAAATCGTTCGAGACATCTTCCAGTTGTACCACCATTGAAATTGTTTTTGCCTTCCCCAGAATTAATAAAAGTATAGTATAACTTAATTGTTATTGAATGATTCCAGAATGTTAAAATGTTCAGCTGAAAAAGGGAAAATCATAGCGAGTTCAGAATAATGAACTTCAATGAAAATTAACAGTCATTATGCGTGAGTGGTTATGTCGGAGTAGTTGAAAATAGTTACAGAAACCCTTGATGTCACCTCTCTGATGGTTTCTGGTAAGTGCAGTACAGTATACAGTATCATTGCATCATCCTGCTTTACTGCCCTATTTATGCAATATTGGAAGAGTATTCTGGATTTTTGAGCAGCTACGTACGAGCCACAAATGAAGTACTGCACAGTATTTTCAATTGAAGCGCTGTACAATGCAAAGCGTTTTGGTGGGTTTTTCTAAAAGAAAAAAAACGAGGAAACCCCTTAGAAGTACATATAGAGTACTGTGTTCGAAAAAATCATTTGTCTTGTTGCATTATGTATTTTAACCATGGATTGTTTTTGCCCGGGTCATTGCTGCGTCTCCTGGTTGTTCCTTTGGTGGCACGGTCCGTGCGACTTAATTCTGGCATCGGTAACGATCAACATTTCCTAAATTTATAGAACTTACAGTTAAGCATTATTTTAACGATCGGGGCACATGAATAGGCTGCATTGGAATCGACCGGTAAACGGAACTGACCCCTTCAATAACAATACACTGCGTCGCTGAATCGTGCAATAATCTGCAGTGCCGTACAGTGTGTACGGAAAAAAACGGCTGTATAAGTGTAATCCTGCCTACCCTTTTTTCCTGCGTAAAAGGCTTTCATGGGAGTTCCATCGGTCAATTCGTAGTGATTCGGAAGGAGCTATTAATCTTCTAATCCCTTGCCATTGAACGCTGTAGTAGTCGCAGCGGAGCTATTTTGGTTGCACTGGTACATTCGTGTTTCACTTGAACAGGTTTCGTCTTGCATTTTTCAGGATTAGAACCTTCTTTAATCTTGGTGGCCTAGTCGCTGCCTCAGCATTTAATCCAGGCTTTTATTCGGTGTGGTACGTGGGCTTGAATATTTACTGCCTTCCAAATTTCATGAAGCTAGGATGAAAGTCTGGACAAGTGAGCACGTTTTCAACCATCCGTGGGAAACAATCGCGCAAGCCGCCTGGCGCAAGTATCCGAATCCGATGAACCCTGCAGTATGGGGCACAGATGTGTTAGACCGTTGCGTAGATCCCACCGATGGAGCACTCGTCACTCATCGTATCATAAGTTCTCGATGGGGCTTGCCTTCATGGGCATCCCCGATTCTTGGAGATCCGTCAGCTTGTTATGCTTCAGAGGTGTCTCGGGTTAATCCCAGGGAACGGGTGTTCCGACTTGAGACGCAGAATTTGACGTTTGGGTCACATATAGCAGTGGATGAAAGACTGGTGTATCTGCCGCATCCGGATGATCCAGAGAATAAAACCATTTTGCGTCAAGAAGCTGTTGTGACCGTCCGCGGAGTACCGGTAACGAATTTCATGGAAAGCTTTCTCACGAATACCATCTCGTCAAACGCTGGCAAAGGCCGGGCAGCGATGGAATGGGTAATTAATCAAGTCATCAAAGGGCTTAGTTCGATGGATGATTTATCTGCGCAAAACAGAACATCTCTCGAGTATGATGCTGTTTGACGTCAGCCCCACTTGCCGCATAATTCCTCCTGCAAATGGAGTGATGACGGAGAAGATAGATGAAGAAGTACTGGTATGATTATCGCATGTTTTGTTGAGACAAGTTCTCTTAATAATTCTCAATCTCATGCATTGTAAGATGCTCTGTCGGCGAAGTGGCGTTGATTGATGTCACCATGGACGTCTTTATGGATCCACGCGGAAAAATTCTGTCATGAACCTGGAGCTTTTGGAAGTGGTTAGTCACACAGCGGAATTTTTACCGGCTGGCGCCTTTTCAAGTTCAGCATTGTCTGAAATCTTGCCAGTTTTATGGCGAGGGATTTTGTGCGATTGCCGTGGAGAGCAAGAAGTTTTGTTCGAACGTTATTGCTACAAGTTCTGCGGCATATTATTCGGAAGATTGATGGAAAAAGTTACCGGTGAAGGCGTGATTGTTGAGCTGCCTTTTTGTGGTATTCGATTCTCCGCAGAGGGAAGTACCTGGACCAGAAATGAGAAGCCGGGATGAAAGCCTAAATTTTCACTGGATTAAAATTTATGTACAGTATTTGTAATTTATCTCGTTTTCTTAATCATGACGCGATCTCGGGTAGTAAATTCCATTTGAACGCTCATCACGAATATTCGTTCATAAAAAGTCTGCTCCTTGCTTTTTGGGATTTCTGAAAATATTCATTATGTAGCCTGTTTTATGTACTGTATAAAGAGTCTTGTTCAAAGTATTATACAGTACATTACTGTACTGTACTTTAAAAACCATGCGATAACCAAGAGAACTTAACTTTTAAATCGGAAGAAAATTAATAGAGAACTGTTTTTCCATTTTCATTTTGGTTTGTTACTTTTTGTCTGGGTGCTTTCTTCTTGCCACCATATGTGTCATGATTTACTTCATAAACGAGTAGTGCATCTTTTGTTTCCTGCAGGTATTTAATAAAAATTTTCGTGCGTTGGATCATGTGGTCGACTTCGTAGAGCTTATGATTTCTGAAGAGTTGATTTTCTGAGAGATCGTCAACTGCAGCCGGAGCGATTCTTTTTCAAGTATTACGTGTGTGATACATGGCGACAATTGAAGAAATTGACAGTGGAATGGAGTCATTGAGAGGAGACAGCAAGTCTGTTTCGCCTGAACTTCCCCCTGGAGCAAAATGGGCTCACGAAGCTGACGATCTCGATGACGAAGTGAGTTCATCTTCATGTTGGCTACAGTTTTATAGTGTTTTCGATGAGTCAATGCCCGGCTTTCTGGGAACGAAAGAACCCCAATCCCCTTCAAGCTCTGCAATTCGGAGCAGATATCGAATAGTATCGGAAGGATTTCTTCAAGGGATCTCTTCCCGGATGTTTATGAAAACTTCTCAGTAGGGAAGCCATGGTCCGGAAAGGCTCTGGATTTCCCATTAATCGAGGTACCACTGCCATAAATTATGATAAAAATTCGCCGTCGAACCAGTACACCTCGTGATTCCTTCTAACTGTCGTGAAGTTAAAATTCCCACAAGGATCTTCAATTCTGATCTTTACCATCGTGATACCTTAATTGCTTGCTTGCGGTCAAATAATATCAAAAATTAAATGTGCTTCGTTGTCATACCCCATGGAACCATCACCGCTCTCACTTCAAATCACAGGAAGGGTGATTGAGCTGAAAGAAGTGTTTTAAGACTAAGAGTACCAATGATCTCGATGATTATCTTGGGAATCTCGGGCATTTGGAGTAATACACGGCGGCTGTTACGTTGTGAGTACAATAAAGTACTTGACTATTAACGGATACTGAGAATATTAACTGAATACTACTAAAAAGGCTTTCGTGAAGGGATCGTTTGACGCATTGTTGTAATGGTGAACTTTTCGAATAGGACCTGGATGAAACACTGACCGAACGGCTCGTAGGACTTTCTGAAATGTTTCCGGAAAGTGTTCGAACGGGGAGCGTGAAACTCGCTTCCTGGTCTGCGCAAGCTGTCAAGAGCCTATACGGGTTCAGTCGCAACGCTGTTTGGGTCGTCTTTAGTTCTTCCATAATCCTCTTCGCCCCCGTGGTTTTCGAAATTGAACGAGCAAAAGTGATTGAAAGTCAACGACAACATCAAAGACAGGTTTGTATGATCTGGTGTTTTCATTTGTTTAGAAATGCTGTCAGCTTTTAAGAGTGGTTTGGATTCTGACGGGGTTCGCGATATGTCCGCAGGTCAAGTGGAAATTTTCTTGGATGAATTTCGATGTGCACTAGAATCCTTTGGATTCGGCAAAATACACGTAAAATATGTGTTGGATGAATAACGAAGCCTCCAGGTGGAAAATGCTCTTGTTTTTAGACGGTTTGCGGTCATCGGTTCTACAGTAACTTTTAGTTTCCAGATTTTTCTGTCTCAGACCGGCAAGTTGAATTGTTATCCTTCTACGACTAGTTCACGCGTTTCTTTGAACTTGAAATGAATAGATGGGGACGTTCCGTGAGTGAGTGAGATATTCATCGTTGTAGTGGGTGTATGCCTCTGAACACCCAATATACAGAACTTTTATTATCTTCTCATATGCAGAACTCACTCTTATTTTATGTCTCTTTTCAAGTTCATCTCCTGTCTGGAGGTTTTAATGTTGATTTTCGTTGCATGACAGGTTTTACTTGGACCCGGTGCCGCAATGGGAGGATCTTCTCCACCAGGAACGGGCATGCCGATGGGGATGGGTGTTCCACCACCGGTTCGATGAGATAGTGTTATATGTGCCAAAGCTGTCGTAAGACTCGAAAATGCAATCTTGCGACAGCTTATTCTTTGGAAGCAAGTACTGTAGTGATTTTTGATGTTGGTGCATGCCGCGTGTTGCGTTGAAAACCTGCTTCTCGTTTTATATTTCCGCGTTCTCTTTGTCTTCGAAATTGAATTGTTCTTTTTTCGGTACGAAGGTATAGGAATGTTTTTTTTTTTCGTCGACGTGCAAGCAACAGTTCTCTTGATCTTGAATTTCGAGTTGTAATGTTTTTTCCGTCAAGCTTTCGAACGCGTTGTATGCGTCTGTTGAATTTTGAAACGGTGGGTGTTCTCAACAACGAAACTTTTGACGTGGTCTTGCGCGTATTTCAATCAAGGTGCCGGTTCAAGGCCGTGTTCGGGTTGAGCATCGCAAAAAGGTGCCAAGGTGAAGGGCGGGGCACTAAAAGCTGCAGGGCGAGTCCAAAAGCAAAGGGTCCACACAACAGGGGAAGTAGCGCTTCTTTCTGGCACAACTAATCGCTTCGGGTAAATTCTCATAAGAAATACATTAATTTCATGTCATTGTGATCGCGAAAGGAACATGTTTTGAAGGTTTACCCTCAGAAGTATCTCCGGTTTTTTCCCGTTTTTTTTTTTTCAAATAGGTTGATTGATTTGACAGTGATGTGTAATGGAAGATGTACTCTGTATACTGTAATTGTTCAATATGCACAGCACCCCCAATCCTGTCATTCTATGGACAAGAACAATTTTCAAGTTTATTATTTATCAAATCTCTCTTCACATTACGTCGAAAAAAATGTTGAAAAGGTTTCAATGCCATTTACCTGCACCTTAGGACTAGAGACCTTAGGACTGTGTGTGATTTGGCTGAGGGCTAGTATAGAATTTTGTCTCACCTTCCACACAACCTTGCATTTACTGTACTGAATTTATTGAAGGAATCGGTCTGTACTTACCTGTGCGAGTGAAACACATCACAGGCAAAAAAAATTTCCTGACAGGGCTCCATGACACATTTTTGAAATCTTTTGATACGAAGAACATTTGTGAAAGATCTTCTTTGGACATACGTAGTATAAAAGGGGAATTAGTGATAGAAAAAATAAATAAATAAACTGAAGAGCATTCTACTGCTGAAATTGAAACGGAAACAAATCCACAAACACCACCTTACATTTACTTATTGAATAAATAACCAGAATGTTGCTTAAAAAATTCCAAACCTTACTTCTAACGTTGTCTTCACATCCTTACCAGAACACAAAAACTCCATGAAATACTGTACAACATAATGAGAAAATCTTGACAAATTTTAGAACCAAGCGAAAAGGATGCAATCACTGTATTATTCAAAACAAATTATTAAGCCTAAAATTTACGGTGCACGTATAAAAAAGCTACACAAAAGCTCAGATCACCATCATATAAACCAACGAATAATTTCATAATAGTCGAACAAATGCAGGAATGAATTTTTTTCAAGCATGAACCGACGGAAGTTTGATGAAAATGTGCAGAACCAATCCATCTACTGTACTTTCTTTCGAGTGCAGCAGAAGAAATATGTAACTGTTCCATGCACTGGAATTCGCATGCGAAACACGCATCTCCGAAGTTGAAAAATCTTCTTAATTTGTTTAACTGCCTCTCAGCAGGCTTCCTCACTCATACAGCATGAGCTGACAAGTCAGGAATTTTACTGAACTTAGTGTGCATCGAATTTTCCGATAAACCGACTACAAGTGAAAATATTTGTTTGCTGTATCAGAATACTGTACTGTATACGTCCCTTTAAAATCTCCGTCGAAACGAACATCCGCGGAATGACCGGCCGCGGAGGTATACATGGCGGAAGCGCTTTCACGGGAAAGTTCACCGTGGAAGTCCCATTCGCGGTTATTGGACTGCTCCACAGTTCAAGGATGTTCAAGTTCAGTCCGAGCTGTTCGTTGAAGAAGAGTGTGTGAGGTGGATCCGTGAATTGGAACAACTTGAATCGAAAATTCAGATATTTATGGGGTTGGAGAGATTCCTTCTATAAAAAGCATTGTGTATCACCACATTTCTTCGGCGGTGGTTGACCTCCGATGACCTCAATTTTTCAGTCTCGTCGGATGAGGGTATCAGATGTGTCCACTCTTGAGGAGTAGTTTCTGACGGTTCAACATGAGAACTCAATCAGATGAGTGTGTTTTATGAGGGACGTGTAATATATCCGGGCAGAGAAACCGTGCGTTCCATTCACTCCCTTCCTCATTCTTTCGTTGACAATTTCAGAGTCGGTATGGCCGAGGTTAAAAAGCTTTTGTGTATAAAATATCCGGGCTTGGTTGAGAACTCGGAAAAAGCCATCGAAACGCTCGGTGGCTTGGAGAAAATAGCGGATACGTACTTTTTGGATCATCGCCAATCGCGTCTGGAATTGAAATTCCGACCAGGAAATGCGTTTTGTAAGCCTGTATGCGGCGAACGAGTGGAACGAAAGGGTATCCTACTCAAGGTGAAACGCCGCAAGTCATCGTCGGATGTTCGAAATGATCCATGCCACGCAGAAGTGCTCGGTTATGTTACCACTGTGTTCCGTTTCGAAGCTTTGTGTGATTTCCAGTATCTGCCGATGACGACTCATTTCGACGGTCGTCGTCCGACTTTGTTCAATGAAGAAATCGGCCTGAAGAAGTGGCGGAACGTCGATTATTTCAAAGAAGACCTAGCTGATCCGTATTATCTGCCGCCCTTCTGTTTTTCGAGATTCGATAGACCAGTGGGTTATAATTTCAAAGACAGATTCACGACTTCCCTTCAAGAGCCCACGGAGAAAGAGCGTGAAATTATCGACGAACCCCTTCGTCAGCGATCAATTGGTTCACAACTCTTGCAGTATTCCGTGCGCCAAATCCCGGCGGTCCCTACTCTAGGGACGCTGGAGAACTATGAGAATCTTCCTGAATCTATGAAATCAAGTGTGAACGTTTTGCGCGATCTGTTCGAGAAAAGACCGGTGTGGTCGAAGATTGCGATCAGTGACGAATCGCAATTGCCAGAAAAAATCCTAAAAAATCTCCTCCCCATGGTTGCGTATTATTTTTTATCTGGACCGTGGCGTTACTGCTGGTTACGATTGGGATATGATCCCAGAATTGACCCAAATTCCCGAAAGTATCAAGTGATCGATTTCCGTGTGCGCAAACCCATTCGGCAGAAGGCCGGTTTTCAGCGATCTGCGTTTTCTCACCTCGCAGCCCCAGTGTATAAAAAAAGTCAGGGCGATTCTTTGAAGTCCGAACAGCGTGAAGGGGGTTTCGAGCTTGGGAAAGTAGAAAAACGGTCCGTTGTCACGGAAATGGGTATTTATCTGAAACATGTTCAAGTGATGTATCAGATTTGTGACCTACATATCGAGCCTGCTTTCGATGCCTTGAAACTTCCCGTAGAAGAAGATTGCAGCGATTCCGATGGATATTTCCCGAAAGGCACTGTTGCCTCATTGAGGGAAAGGATGAATGAGCACGTTGATCGCTTGTTGCTTCAGCATTGTTCTAAAATTGATGCAACTGAAGAAGATGTATCCGAAGAGGATGAAGAAATGGACGCGTAAATTATTGCTTTAGAATTTCATTCCTGGAAGTCTTCTTTATGTTACTAATACCTCTTGACTTGACTTCGCTGAATTTTTATACCGTTGTACCTGGCTGATCGCAGAATACTATCTTCAGTTGCTTTTTGTGGTTTAGTCTGTCCGCAATAATTGCCATCAATAATCTGAAAATATCATCCTTTGGGGTTAAGGGCATTTTAGGTAAATTGCTGTCTGAGCTCTGGCCAAACCCTTGCGTCTGTGATCCAGTAGGCAGTCAACTAAATTAGTAGGCTAATGACTGAGTGCCTCTGTTCAGATTATGAGTTATCACAAGTCACAACTGATTTTATCTTTTTGATCTCCCTACCCTTTCTACCAACATTCCCGAATGCTGTACTTTATCCTAGTCCCTGGGGCTAAAAGTTCGTTGATTGGAGGAGAATAAATAAGTTATAGTGTTGATAAGAAAGTATGGGTGCTGATTTTTTTAATACGCAAAAAATCGCTACAATTAATGGATTCAAAATCTTCTGAATTTTACATCTTTTATCCGACTCTTGAAATGAATAAATGCTGGTGTATGATTTTACAATGAAGTGGATCACGTATGTTTTTAGACTCCTTAATTAATTTTTTATATTGGTTGCACCAATATTTTGATTTTAAAAAATTTATGTCAATGTACTTTATATGGATCTCCTCTGCAGTAATATTCCCCTTGCAAGAACTCGATTTTTGGTACGCTGATCACTGCCTTGTAGAATCTATTTGTTTAACATCGCAATAGTTGTTCGCATTGCTAATGTTTTGTCGCGTAATTCTAGCAACATAGTATTTTTCAATTGCGTTTTCCCCGGTCAGAATATGGAGTTGCAAAGCCAAGCGACTCGAGTGGGAATCGATGTGGTGTGTTCGGCAAGTGGGTTATGATCGGCTGTGGTATCTGGTGCTCGTTGGTCGCTGCGTTCAATGGTGCCGTCGTGCAATATGCTCGGAAAGTCTAGGATTGCTTTAGAAGAAACGAGACGAACAATGACTCTCCTCTTTATGTTGGTTGCGTTCCTCGGGATCATTTCATTGGCGACATGTGAGTATTCGAAAGCTGGGTTTTATTTCGATAATTTAAGATTTATCATTGTGGAAGTGATCGAAACCGTAATTAAAGCAGATGGAGTGGAAGCTCAGCTTACTGTGGTTAAATTACGATGAACCTCATCACGACTCAGTTGATGAATGCCGTCAGACTGATGTTTTTAGAATGCCATTTTTTCTGCATTATGAGGCATCAACAAATTGAAACTCAGGAGAAAAGAAATGTTATCACATTGAGCTTCCCATAAGCTAGATGGGTTTTTATTAGTAAAATAATTGTTGTCTGACCTACTCTACAAGGTTATCTTGCGAAATGTTGCTCAATACTTCGGATTCTGGGTTGCGAGAACTTATGGAACTATTCGGGTTATGAAATATTTTGAAAGGTCAGATTCAGGAAAATTTTGACGGATTGGCAATGTTGGTTGATCTCCAAATAACTTGTAGTTTACCCACTTGACCAATGAATACTAATCCTGTTCACAATGCCTATATGCGAAGGGTAAACCAGAAAAAGTAGATCGACAGTGATTGATATATCCTGGGCGGTTGGAGCGATTCCTTTGAACAAAATATTTAAAAAAGCAGTCCAAAAAATTATCTTCCCGTGATCTTATGATGGTTATTGAAAAAAAAGTGCCTATGAGAAACGTAGATGTACTTTTTTTTTATACAAATTTTGCAATTTGATCCTGTTTTTACCTTTTATAAAAATTGACGAGGATAGGGAAACTTGTTCCCACTTGGCTCCATTCGATATTCTTTTCACTACCGTTCGCTGTTTTTTTTTCGATTTAAACGGCGCATGAACCTGAGGAGCAGGACCGTTCTTCCTGTGCAACAGTGACATATTGAGAAGATGTCATGAAATTTGAAAATGTTGGCTCATAGAACTTATTGATGAAGATATAATAACATTTGTCAATACTTCGCAGTAGGCCTAGGGGAGAAATTGTTTTAGTGATTTCATAGAGCTTTGAAATTCAAGTGACCAATGATAAGCGTGGTACATATTCTTAATTTTCATCGTAGATGACATGCGACTGAGTTGAAAGCCATGGGTACTATCTGAACCCCTTGCCCAAAAGCGCAATTATTCAAAACAGAATCCTAACCTCGAAGAATAAAAGCTCGAAGATTTTATCATAGGACATCTGATTTTGTAGGTTTTTTAATGCCCGTGATGCACTTGACAACTTTTAGAACCAGAATCCAAGTTCCAGTCAGAATAGTTGTAAGACTTTGGAACCACGAAGTGCAAGGTTTTGGCGATAACCGTTCAGGAGACATGACGTAGAATCTTTTTTGATCATGATTTAGAAATTTTTCAGAAATTTAAACTTGGATATCGATTACTTGCGCATGTAGGTTCACCAGTGGGAGAACCCAGTGATGGGAACAAAATAGATGAACCAGACGATGATTCGTGGCCCTGGAACTTGATAAAAGATGCAGAATTCTGGTCAAATCCAGAGGCAGGATTCAAGCAGCTGGACTTCAAATTAAGTCCCGTGACGGACACAATTCCGCAATTCAATGTGAACAAAATTAATTTCACCGCGATCCGGCTGGAAATCGACGAATTCCTAGACGACTTCAATTCTCGTCGAGGCAAATCTCTGGATTTGGGCTCTGTGACTCAGCTCCCGAAATTTCTCAGCACGACGCTCAAGTACGTTGACTTGAAGCAAGTCGTTTACGAAGTGGAGACTTCGTTGTTGAGCTCTGTGTCGTGCACGGCGTGTAAAGCCGGGGTCGGACTACTGCAACACTACATCAAAACTGGGAAAACGCGGCAAGAAATTGCCCATGCCGCCATCAAGCTTTGCATCAATTTGAAACTCGAATCGAAGCGTGTTTGCGTCGGTATCATTTACCTCTTTGTGGTGAGTTTATTCCCGTATACATTTTTTGTTGAGAAAAAACCAAAACCAAAAAGCTCACTTGAAAAAAAAAGGTTGTGCATTTGATACGGCGTTCGGGAAGAAATTGTGATTGAAGATTAACCCGAGGATCCGTTCTGTTCTTCGATTATGGAATTGACTCACAATTCGGATTTACATTCACAAAAGTCGTTGAATTCTGTCCAACAACTTCTACTTCTGAATCTCATTTACTTCATCTATACCGCTAAAATAGTTCATAATTTTTTTGTCGTTCGAAATCACTGGGGTCGACTTTCGTACTGAGAGTTTTTAACACGAGGTTGTTTTGTTTGGCCGTAATATCCAAGAATTCTTCATGTGTATATAACGGTATGAGCCTTTCATTGAGACACATGGATGTCAAGAGATGTTTCGTACCCAAGAAAACGAAATTTCATCGGTAGCTTTAATTATGAGAGTATTACCATAATACTGCATGAGTCTTTACCACCATAAAATGTACTTTGTACTCTGTTTTGACCACGTGCAACTTCACACTTAGCAGAATTTTGTGTGAAATTATACGCTGAAATGTTATCATAAGCAGGGATAAAACAATCTGCCGGAAAGCTTACGTCGGGCGAGGAAAAAATAGTAGGCTTTGTTGCAGGAAAAACTCGGAAACATATTCCATATTAAAATTGACAATCTTTATAACGATTGTTTCTGTTATTTCCACCGCAATCAATTCTCTGCGTCGTGATATTTTTAGGCTGCCATCGTTTTTCAAGTTCGGCCGCCTTTTCGTGGTAGCGCAGATTTATCTTTTTAACGTCTTTTGAGCTTTCTGTGCTGTACATGCTTGTTTAAACTTTCAAATTAGGTGAAGCCGATGCATAATCCTAAGCGTATTATGAGAATACATTTCTTGAAAGTATGAGGCTTGACCAGAAGAATAATACACTAATCCTTTTTCTAGTAAAAAGCAGTGTTCTGTATTCTCTTTGTCACGCATACATAATTGTGACAGGTTATTCTTAAGCCGCTGAAGTTATGTTTTTTTACAGTCGGCCTCTTATATTTTGCATATGTTATGCATATGTTGATCCTTAAGAATAACGTAGGGATAAGCTGGTTGGAAATCATGCCTAACCGGCCTAGTACAACCTCATGGTTCGAATTACCAGGTAATCCCTTGTGTCTCTCCTTAAGTCCAATGCAATTTTAACCTACCTCCATCACTGGAATCTTTTTGGATCAACCCTCCCCCCTAGTCGAAATTTTAAGGCCCTTTTGTGATTGAATTGTGGCTAAATCCATTTGTTCCAAATGAACAAAATTAAAATTGTTGGCGTTAAACGAGGGATTAAGTCTCTTCCTGCAATGAAGCAATACTGTACGGTACTGTATATGCATGATAGACAGTTCTGATAATTAGGCCAGAAAATACTGTATTTTCCACTTGACCAAATTACGTTTAAATGACTTGGAGATGTCCAACTGGAAATAAATATTTTGATTGAAAGACACCTTGAGCTTTCTGCACTCTCGGCTGGCTTACATTTTTGAAATCAGAAAAGCTAATGAGTATTATTCCTGAGCATATTACAGTATTAATTGTGTGCTGTAGGATGAGGTGTTGCACATTCTGGAGAGACTGGTTCTGGAGCCGGAAGAGGTGTGCGGCATAATTATCGGCGACGGGTGTTCGGTGCCCTACATCCCGTGGCACGACTGGAATGTCACTTTCCCGCCCATTCCGAAGCCACTGGACAACCCGTCGGGCCCGAAGCCGACGCAGGCCCAGGCGAGCGCGGCGGCGGCGCCGGGTGGGAAGGCGACGCTCAAGGTCCTGCATCTGTCCGACAACCACTATGACCCATATTACTTGGCTGGTTCGAACGCCGAATGCGGCGAACCGCTGTGTTGCCGGGCCACGGACGGGCTGCCCGCTCAGCCCAGTGCCGCCGCGGGAGTCTGGGGCGACTACCGCCACTGCGACACTCCCAGGCGGACCATCGAGAATCTCTATGAGCACATTGTCAAAACTCATCCCGTGAGTGTCTCTCTCTCTCTTCCATTCACGTCACATACTTGAAAAAGATGTCTCCTATTCCCATCTCGTCTTTTTTTTTAAGCGCTGAAAAATGTAGCCTTTTTCCCCTGCCAACATTTTAGCACTTTTCGAAGGTTTTTTATTTTTCCTGGGATGTGATTGTCCGTAAAAAAGGGAGGTACAGTACTGTACATTAATTTAGTCCTGTTCATCTTCTCTCTTACTCGGCTTACGGCTTGTCTCGAGTATGGGGTTTTTAAAATTTATGTTTTATACGCGTCACTTCGATTTTTAACATTTGCAGGTGTACTCTTTCTGCAACGAAATTGAAGGGACTAAAAAAAATTCGTTGTAGAGAGCCCCTATGACATGAGGAGAGAGCCCTATGAGAAAACAAAAACATTTCGTTTTACGGAGAAAATCATTGTAGATGAGATCATCTTAGAAAGAGAGTCCACCTGCATTATTGTACCTTATTTTGAATTTATGTTGGGTTGGTCGTTGAATTAGGCTAGGGTGAATCAACGACCAAGATGTTGATGTTGATTTCAATTGAGTGCGATCGCATTTCCGGAAGATACAAATAAGAGCACCAAAATTATACGTGGCTATATTTTAAATTTAGGCTAGGTGTTGTAACCTTGAGTCAGTTTGGGCAATGCTTGGCGAGTCCTGACATTTTGGCGACATCTGTAAGTTTATCTTGAGAAGCTAAGTCTGCAAACTATTTTCGGGAAGCTAAGTTTGAGGTTACATGTACTGTAGTCCACCACATGAGATTGGTTCCAGTCCTTCTCGTCTTATTATTTTCAACGGGAAAGGCTGAAGTCGCGAAGATAAATCAAGAGCAAAAACCGCATAATTAGTTTATTGACGGAATTTAATTTCATGATCGGTGCATTGCACTTGAAACGGGCAGATTGGATAGATCTCAGGTACTTCATAAGTGTATATGAAGGTTGATCAGGTTCAGCGCTACCTGATCAACCCTCTCTTACGACGGGTACAATCTAATTTCCCTTTTACGCATTAGGAAGTACTGTAATTTCCCTTTTTTCCTGACCGCATTCGTTCCTCAAACCAGCCACTGCACGATCTGGAAAGGCTCAGCATTTTTTGAATGGTAATATTTAAAAATCGCAAAAGTTTTGACCTAATAAATATAAATACCATATCTTCCTATGATGAAAAAATGAAGTAGAATTTCTTACGATCTGACTGGCTTCTTGCGATTTTTTCCGCTTGGCGAACGTAGAAAACGGTTCGATCATTCAACGAGTGGTGTTTTCTCTCGATATGAGAAATAAACTCAGACTGTCTCGTTGATTGTCGGGGGAAGAGCGCAAATATTTTTTTTCGAGTGAATTCCTTTTTTGAAGTACAGTAATACTTCTTATTTCAGCAAAATTATTTTGAAAATTCGGGACGAAAAATATCGACTGTTTTCAATGCAGTACAAGCATTTTTCTTCAAAAGTGGTTGTCCATGAGTTAGGAACTTCAAGACTTCTCGAAATTCGTGTTCTCCATACAATTCCTTCAATTTAAAATTATACCTATATTTAAGAGTCAATTCGTTTGTTATGTCAGAAAAAAATTCCAATTTATTTTCAAAAATGAAAAACCCAGTGGAGAGTTGTCAAAACTCTGACTACCCTTCACGCTTTGAGAACTTCAATAAATTTTAGTTTATCCAAAAAATTTGAAAAGATTACCGAAATTGCGGTAAAATTGAATAGATGCCTTCTCCGTCCTCTAAAATTCTTTATTTTATCCCAGTAATCAGTGTTATTCGTGGTAAAACTTCGGTCCCATTATTTTGGTCCCAAACTTCATGAAATGCTTTTTCAATCTTAATTTTAAAGAATTGGTTATTCCCTTGGTAATCGTAGTTTATTTTCTTTCGGGAGTGGCTATCGTCTGATATTGCCCCGGGGTTCTTGTTCGTGAGGCCGACGTCAGAAAAAAACGGTTTTTTTATCGTTATGGTAATTCTCGGTGCAAACTGGAGTCGGGAAGAAAAATTAGAAGCACGTTCGACCTAATTTTGTTTTACTTCCAAAAAGATCGGTTGATGAATGCTGGACACCCTGAGGATAGATACTGATCGAATATTCAAAGGCTCTTGTACTGTATCCGAGAAAGATGCATGAGCTTGGCTTCATTCAATTCGTGTTTCCCAGTTTTCCGAATCCTCTTCGAGGGCTACGAATACATAAGTTGGCGCCCATTATGCGTTTTTCCAGAAACTGGTCTTTTGAAGCCCCTCCTTGGAATGCAGTGTATATTTCTTGCGAGCGCTTTTATGCCATGATAGGAACAGTACATACATCATCACCATTTAGGTTATGATTTATTATATTTTATTTTTCGAAGGACTTGGACTACATCATTTGGACTGGAGATTTGCCGCCTCACGATGTGTGGAATCAGACGCGCGAAGATCAGCTTCACGTTTTGCGGGAAACAGTGGATCAGCTGGCCAGATACTTTCCCAATATCCCTATTTTTCCTGCACTTGGAAACCACGAGTCCACTCCGGTCAATAGCTTCCCTCCACCTCAGGTAAAGTATCTGAATAAATATTTATTTCTTACAAATGCAGTACAGTGTACAAGATTAGCGACATGTTACATCTCAATCGGATTAAATTCGACGCTTGACATTGCGCAACATTCTTGCAATTGTTTTCTTGCTAGGAAAGGGGGAAAACTGCCTTTTCTGGAATATTTTTAGTTATTCTGCGTTTTTGCGTGGACTTGATATTCCTTTCTCAATTTTCTCAACGAAAATAGTGAACTCACTATTTTCGTTGAACGATTTTCTCGCTATTATACAAAAAAAATATGGCAAAATGCAGAATTTGAATCAATATCTGACGAATTGAATCGCGGTTGCCCACTTCGTATTTATGAAATCCATATACATCTTCGTCTTTTTTGATTGATTAGTGGGTTCTGGGGTACGACTCAAATTCTGTAGCCCCTCATGGAGAAAGAAAAATGTTTGCTGAAAAATCTAAGACACACGTTCATTTTCTACGCGGAACGCCAGAAATTATTATTTTAATTCGTGGAAATAGTCGTGGAATTTGGTCTAATTTAATTCGCGAAGAGACGCCTCTTAAATACACAATTGGGAACTTGGAAATCATAAATTGCCAATAATTATTTTTCGAAATTTTAATCATTTTTGCAGGTTACAATTCCAGCATTCAGCATCCAGTGGCTCTACAATGAACTAGACGCTCAGTGGCGACGTTGGTTGCCGGAAGCCACGTCGCAAACGGTGCGCTACGGGGCCTACTATTCGGTCGCCGTGAGGCCCGGCTTCAGGATCATTTCCCTCAACATGAACTATTGTCACAACAAGAACTGGTGGCTCTTGATGAATACCACTGACCCGGCGCAGGAGCTCCAGTGGCTTATTTATGAACTGCAGGCGGCCGAGTTGTCCGGGGATATGGTGCATATCCTCGGGCACATTCCGCCGGGCCACGCGGATTGTTTGAAAACCTGGTCCAAAAACTTTTATAAGGTATATAAAAACTATATACTGTATATATATATACGGTATATGTATATATATATATATATATATATCATGCACGACTTTCGGTTAAATTCTTGCTGAAAGAGTCTTTGATTTTATCTAGTTGAGGGATATCTCGAATGTATTCCTTGTGATTTTTTGTGGGTGTCAATTCTTATGATTGGTAACCCACACGTAAGAACGTTATGGCACTTCGTTGTTTTCCCGATTTGCACTTCTCGAAAAAAAAGAAGAAAAAAAAAGGATTTCGCGAATGGTATCCCTATGGATTTAGGTCATCAATCGTTGAAATTTTTAAATTGTTCAGCAGTTTGATTTGCGCATCCTTATGCTAGCTACATTTTAATTCTGTAAATGTGTGTCAGCGGGAAACGTAACTAGGAACATGACAGCGTGACACGGAGTATGACTGATCGAAAGGAAATTCTCTTCAATAGTCTTAAATCCCAGTGCAGTACTGATGTTTTTGTTTTATTAGCTTGTGTTTTTCAGTGAGGGGTACGATAGTTACTAGATTCGGGAGATGCGGAATGTTGGGAAGGTAACACCGTAAAAAGAATGAACGTGTGGAATTTTTTGTTTCACGTGGTGATATTTCACGATTTAAAGTATAATTTAAATTGCTCCCGAATGAATGGAGCTGTTATAAACTTATAATGCAATGCTTAGATGGCTTCAATTCTCATGGAAACGAATCCGGCCCATCTCGAAAAAAACAAAACAAAATCAAATCAGGACGCCTATTGTTCCGCGCATTGTGGCTCTGTTGTGTAACTGTCAGAAAGAAAATGTTCCTTCTATGTTTTCTGGGCGCAGGTCATCAGTCGTTACGAGAAGACAGTCGCGGCACAGTTTTACGGCCACACGCATTTCGACGAGTTCAGCTTGTTTTATGACGAGGCGATGCCGACGAGGGCTGTTAGCATAGCCTACATTGGACCCTCCGTTACTCCGTATTACGACTTGAACCCAGGCTACAGGTTCGTCGGTTTTTTTCTTCGTTTTTTTTTTGTTTTGTTTTGTTTTTTTTTTTGTGGGCAGCTTGATGCGAATGGGTAACAGATTGGGCGTCTGAATGCATGATCGAATTGCGTCTGCGAACGTTCACGGAGCAGGTTTGATTTTCATTACTGATACGCCGTGTATACAAGTTTTTTTATAATGAAACGGATGCAATTATCCACTTCAACTTCTCGACCTTCCTGATGCTGCCTCCCTTCTTAATTTGATGTCCGTAAATATCGAATCCTTCGAGTTTTATTAAGCGAAACGGGACATTTGAAACGAATAAACAACGTATTACATTTTATTTTATGCATTTTATTACATTAGTGAAGCGGGATTTCGTTGAAAATTTGTGCTTTACCGAAATCAATTCCTTCAAATCTTGATCCGTGATCCCTCAGGACCCTGAAAATGAACACGTGCTCTGAATGAACTGATAAATCTGGAAAAATTCAAGTGTATATGCGAATTCTAGAGGGTAAGTTTTGTATGGTATGGTTAAGTGTCTTTTCAAGAACAAGTTGGCGCATTTGATGCTTTTGAATGAACGATCGACTTGAAACTTTAGATTTTCTTTAATGAACATGTGTCTTCTGCAGCGAGATTGATTACTTTTTGATCAATTTTTTTTATTCATTGGTTTTTAACTACTGTACAATGTTTTTAAGCGCTTGCTTCGTGCTTCGACTAGAGTTCGAATCGTGCGCATTCTGTCAAAATAAGTAAAGAGTTTTTCTTTCAATTTCACGCCCAGTTATCTCAAGTTCCATCTGCCTCTGGTTCACTCCGTGTGTTCACGTCGATTATACAGTGCATGAACGTTTGATTATTTTCCAATATTAATTTTAAAAGAAATGATCACCTTTTCTCTTTTTGAAATTTTCATCGTCACTTGAGATGCCCTTACTGCGTGTGTTTCTTAAATTTGTTATACGCCAACAATGCTGACTTTTCTATAGTACAGTATTTCTTTTCGGATACCCGTTCATAAATTGCATAACTTATTTTTTATTTCCTCCTTTTAGGGTTTATACCATAGATGGTGACAGGGAAGGTTCTACGAGACAAGTATTAGACCACGAAAACTGGTACATGGACCTGAAGGAGGCGAATTTGTACAATAGACCGCGTTGGAGAAAGTTGTATTCAGCTTTGCAAGCGTATGGCATGAAGGGTGCCACTCCGAAGGACTGGGATACGTTGGTCCACAAGCTTACCTACAACGACAATTTGTTCCAGGTGAGTTGAAATTTGGGGCCTCGAAATAAGCCCAGGGTTTTTTTTTTCTTATTTAACGACGATCCTTCTAAACTTAAAAAAATACCTGTTAAAACTCGCGCCTAATGCAGCTTTTTTTATTTACATTAGGTCAGAGGAAGGAATTTTGTAAAGAGGAAACGTGCTCTAAGTCGAATCGATATAATTCTTCGAACGGTACCTGGTTAATAAAGGCGAACGTTTTTAATGTGCTATGTTCGAATTACTGTCCTTGAGATTTCGGAAGGAAGCCCTTCGTAGGTTAATGCGGCGTTGGTGAAATTGTTTCTGAGAATCTGGATCAATTTTTTTAGTTCATCGCTAAATATCGGGGAAGTTTGCAAAACTGTACTCATCTTATGAATATCGGTATCAGTATTCATTTTATCTTCATTAAAATTGTAAATCATCCTGTTTTGTAAAATATCGTAAAACTTCGCCAAAAACTGCGAATTTTTTCCACGTTATTCCTCGTGTTCTTTGTTGGTCAACATTGAATGGCTTTCATATAATTTTTGATCGTATTTCATCTTCATAATGCATTTTAATTCAGTGAATTATTTCCACGTGAATACAAATATTTAAGATTAACAATCAGATTTAATGTACTTGCTTGGAAACACGTCTGGTGACTTCGAGAAAGAGCTTGTTGAATTGTCAAGTTGAACTGGAGAACTTCATAATTTCATTCATTTTGAGGATTGGTTTGCTTTCGCCATTTTCTACTGTTTTTTGAAAGGTTCGCCTCTTCGTTAACTATTTTACGTTCAGTTCATATCCGACTGATTGAAATCGTGTATTTCGAAGTTGCATTAATATAAAACATGTTCTATTCATCATTTTTGCGCAGATGTATTACAAGTTTTATTGGAAAGCGTCGCCGGTGCGTCCACAATGTGATGAGGAGTGTAAAAAGCGTCTGTTATGTGATCTCGTCTCTGGACGATCACACGACCGGAAACAGACTTGCGTGGTCATCGAACAACGCATGGATGAGCAGACCGGAGGATGGAAAACATGGCTCGTTAACGGCCTAACCATTACGTATGAAAGCTTCCGGTTCCAATTCTTAAATATTGTATATCCTTCGATTTCTGTTCTACTCTTCTTGTTAATACGTAGTTCGCATGAAATGAAGGAAACTTCAAGCCGAAATTTTGACACGAGCTGGAAGCAAATTGAGATATTAACATTTTCACACGTTTTCTTCGCTCTAAGAGAAGCGAAGAGAAAATTACTGATTGGCTGACGAATTAAGCGCAAAAACTGAGCATCAGCGAGTAGATCCTATAGTAATTCCTCATCAGATAAACGTAGAGATGCGCTGTAATAATTACTTTGGAAAGGTGTGAAAGCCGTTTATGATACTTTCTTTTAATAATTTTCAGCCATTTTCTATCTTTTCAAACATTTTCCCGTCAACCTTGCGAAGTGTACGGATTCCTCGATAAAGATAGAAATGTTGCGGCCAAGAAAATTGTCCTCAGGTGTCGAAGGAAGATTTATGTTCGAATAGTTCCTACGCGAAAAATTCTGATGGTACATTTGCTGACGGTATAATTTTAGGCATAAACTGGTGCTTTTAAAAGGGGCCTGTCTGTAAAAAGGCTCTAAATAAATTTTCAGACATAGTTTTTCGGATAAGCCTATGAGAATATCATAAAAATTTAGTGTGAGTGAGAGATCTTGTCCGAAGTGGAATTCAGCGCGCAAGATATTACGGAAACAACATTCGTTCACTTGTGATTGATTGACTTCCGAGAACAAGGATTTCAGCATGAAATATAGCTTTTCCGCATTCTTAACTCTTCCAGTTTTTCGATGTCAAAATGAAAACAAAATGTCAAGTTCTCCGCGTACTTGTGCTGGAAAGGAAAGCTATTCGGTTTATTATTTGTAGGAATCAGAAGATCTTCATCAAAGAGACGAAAGAAAGTTAATTGAAATCCGGTCCAGTTATGATGTACAAAAAGGAAAGTTGAAGTTGAAAATATTAACGGGTTTGGTAAGTTTTGATCTTAGAGTTGTTGCGGTGACGGATTTTTTCTTTAGGTTCCTCTTAGTGGGCCTTTACCTGGCAATGGAGTTGATCGCTTACTTGAGATCAACCCAGGTGAAGCATTCTAATCGACAGATGAACGTCATGGCAAGCATGGATACTTCCAAGTGGCGAACTTCCCCTTCCGAGAACAGCAGAACTCCCCGGAATCATCGGAATCAAGTTAACATGATTCTTTGATTGTATCTGTCTGCATGCATTGGCTTCTTCACTTTCCTGAATACTTCATGTGCCTGTCTAACCAACTTTCTCCGCGTCTGTGTTTCTGAAGTGCTTGTCGAAATGTTCGCTCGCGTGGCACTTCTTTCTTCGTCATGCTTCCAAGCAAAAGTATGTATTTACATGGGAATGAAAATTTTGATTGTCTGACCATTTTTGATGACGAAGCTGCAGTAGACTTTTAGTCTATTTTTTTCTTTGAATCCCAATGAAAAAAATATGTGTTCAGTTCGTTTCTAGTCAGTCGAGGAGCATGTTGCGAAGATCTTAGTTTTATTTATTTATTGAATATCAAAAAATGCAAAGCTTCCGAACTTTTCGTATTTTAAGCCAGTTTCAAGGTTCGCATTCGTGTCAGAAACATTTCAGTTCGCGTTTGGCGTTCCTGCTTTTAAAGCTCCACTTGACAATTTGATGGATTTTTGTATGTGAATACGTGTGCTTTTTCTTCTGAAATTTCTGCGAAGTAAGAATGGAGAAAATTATTTGGGGATTCGGAATTCGATTCGTAAAAAATTGTTGGAAAATGTTTTACTCAAGCCTGCTCATTTACAATGCATGTGTTCCGACGATCGAGTTCTTCTCTTTGAATGTGCATGTTTTGTGCTGGAATGAGATAAGGACTGCTTTTACACAATTTCCTTGATTCCGCTCAAATTGTAGTCTAGAGCGTTCATTTGATTAACGGGATTTTGTCTTTTCAGAGGAGCAGTTTTGCTGTTCTTGCCTCTTGGGTTCCAAATCCCAAGCGTGTTTGGCTGAAACTTCGGTTGTTGAACCGAAACGCGATTGGTGCGGGAAGAGGAGTTGTTTCGAATGAACAGGAACGGATGAACGTGTTAATCTGAGCGGCTAACGAGAATGTACAAGTTTTGGTGCGGTAGTAGCACCGTTGTTATTTATTTTTGCGTACGGGAGTTTCAGTCAGAACTCTGTGACTTTAGCTCCATCAAAAGTGCGGGCGGGTGTTATATTTTTGTGTAAAGGCGAAGAGAAATTACGTTTGTGATTATTGTCGTCCTAGTATGGCAAATGTGGAGTGTTTGTTCAAGTCAGTGTGCTTCGTTCCCTGACGGTTTTTAAGTTTTGGTTTAGAAACGAACATTCCCTAAGATTGGGTCATTCTGGACTTGCAGCTAACGAAGATATAGTATCATGTGATGACGTCATTGTTCTGTGGAAATCTGGTGCATTCAAACTCCGAAGTTTTCTCGAAGTTCTTGACATTTATTTTTGTTGTTGTTGTAAGAGGCTAGTGAATGCATTGCGCAGTTGCTTTGTTGGTCGTGAGGGATGGCAATATTCTGTTGGATTAAGTACGTTTTCAGAGCTTAGGTTTAATGTATCCGCCTCGTAGGAAATCTGTTTCTGTGATGCTGTGCATTTTCACACGCGCGACTGACCGTCTAACTGTACGCGTTCATCCCTGAATCCTGCTAGAAGAACCGATTCTGTCCGCCTTTTTTTTCAACTCATGTCAACGGGATGAGTTTTACTGAAATTGAGTGCAACAGTCGCAATGAATTTGTTAAATAGCAAGTGTTTTATTTTATTTTGTTTGAAATGAAACAAGTTATTTGAAACGCTTTCTATCTTCTACTTTTGTTTGAATTGGCAGAAATTGGGAAATCTCCGAAGTTCATTTCCATGTTGCTTCCACGTTTTTCAACGGATGGTTGTAAGCAAACCACCAGGTGTGGTTCTCTTATTTGAATTAAGCCAGGATTGTGAGCTGTCTACCCATAGAAATGCGAATCTGAGGGGAAAGTGTTGGAGACGTGACCAAGGATAAGTGTGATCAACGGAGGAATATCAAACACAATGCCCTGCAGTTCATGGAAATTCAAATACTATAAGTATGAGTGATAAACGTGAGTCAACCTAGAATTCGATTTGAAGCTTCATTCATTAGTACAGTACGTATTGGTACAGAGTTGAAGCAATGTTGAGGAAACTCTTTTGTCTTCGAAGCGTTACAGTGCCCGAAAACTTCGAAACGCACAGCTCAAAAGTGGCCTACATTGCTTAAGCTACGGAAATTTTAGTCGCACTGTATAGGTACAATACTTGAATTCAAAACGAACTTCGATCAGTTCACGAACTTAAGCTAGTTCTGAGATAGAAGGGCAGGTTTATGCATTAAATTTTTATTCATGAATATGTCATTTCATTTAATTCTTATTGAAAAAATAAAGAATATTTTTCGCACCCTCGCGCAGTTTGAAATCACCTGTAGATATCGAGTGTGAAAGTCAAAATCTGGATTATCATGCTTTCCCAGCAGTACGCCCACACGCACGAACACACCAAAGCTAGACAAATGATTACAAACGATACTGTGCCCTATACATGCGCTTTCGAATGCCTCATGGTTAGTGAAACCATTCCCGAAACCCATCGGATTGGTGCAGTTTTTATCTCACCCCGCACGTTAGTATCGGAACATAAAACGCTTCATAGGATTAACATCCTACATGGCTTCATTGTACATCGTGCCTGTGTCTGTCAGTGGATGAATGAAGTGGCTTGTTTACTACGACGTTGGCGAGTTCATTGGTTTGGATGGCAGAAAATCCGTCTAGCACCAGACCACTGGAGTTAAATCATAGAAACTTCGTAGAACTAGGTATTAAAGGCGCCAGCAGATTTGAAAATGGCTGGGAGACTACATCACTAATGGCCTGCTGCCTCTGCGGAGACGATTAGGAAATTTGATATCTACGTTAAGAATCATGAGCAAATCACTGTACTGTAGTAGAAAACGCGAAGGGATTTTGTGCGGTGATCGCTGTGCCGGGCTATTTTTCATCATGCATGATTATTATTAAACAGAATATTGAAACTTTTAAAAATTGGGAAAGAAAATAGTTCCCGGCCGGTTTTCTGCCATTTCTGGATTGTATTGTGCACCATGCAAAAATATTATAGAAAAATTCTGGGCAGCGGCGAAGAAAGGATCTCTTATACCGCGGATATTAATGAGACATGGGATGCTGCTCTGAAGACCACTGTGGAATTTTTTCTCAGAATACAAAGTTATCCGTAAAGCTTTTATACCAGTGTGAATTTGAAGAGAAACATGCGAGTGCTGTGCATGCTGCAGCCAGTCCGACTTAGTGATTCAAAACATTCAAGAATGAAAAAAGAAAAGGAATAGAAATTCAGTGATAGGCATAAAGTTAGATCTCTCACCCACGATTTTTGGAAACACCATCGGCTGCGTAAATGAAGGAAACGATTTTTTTAGCGTAGCGTTCAATATTTTCGTTTATTTTCATGCAAATTATTGGTATTTCTACGGAGTTCCGGGTTTTCGGTGTTATTTCGCGTTATCGCTTGAACGGCTTGCGCAGATTCGTATCTTAATCTTTATGCTTATTAATCCCGAACATTTAATACATTGTTCGAACAACCAGATCCCGGATGCTAAACGTTTTAAGAACTCAGAATTGAGACATGACATCGTCAGTTGGCTGTATAGCCGCGTGTAGGGTTCCTTCGGGAACGCACCGTGCTGCAGCGGCTTTCACTGCTTTGAGAAGCCCAATTGACTGTCGAGCATCGTCGTATGCAACGTTTACACCGGAAGATATTTACGCAATTAACCCTAAGTCAAACGTAGTTTCTTGCAAAGTGCCAGCCAATCTTCCAAAAAATTTCCCTCGTTTTACTGATTTCCTTTTCGAGAAAACCGAACGTTTTTCTGATCGTGATGTATTGGTGAGTACAATATTGTATAATCCCGATTCTCATTGAGGTTCTTATATTGCGTCGATGTTATGAAATTTAGGTGTGTTCCCAGAGCGGAAGAAAATTGAGCCACTCTCAACTGCGCCATGAAGCAAGAGCTTTTGGATCTCGTCTAGTCGAGCGAGAAATTCTGAAGAATAAGAATGACTCTCTTTCGATTGTGTGCCCTAACAGCATCGAGTTTGCCATCAGTTTTTTTGGAACCATTGCTGCTGGCGGCGTGATTTCTCCAACGAACCCAGTGTACGTGAAAGGTAGGGTTATACTTACTTAACTTTTCGGTGATTTTGAACCGAATGCAAAGGAGCCGAGAAATTTTCCTTTTTTTACGTGTTTTCTGTAAGCATTGGTTTCGATTACCTTTTCAACTAGAATGTGAGGTTCCTTTTTGTTATGGATGGGCCCAGCAAGATCAATGTGCGTTTGGGATTCGCGGGCAAAACGCTGAAATGCTTCTGACCAAAATAATCTGCACAGTAACATTTTTATAACTTTCAAGTATAGGAACTTACTGTTATTTTCAGTTCAAGAGCGTGAGATTTCCAATCCTAGGATTTTTTTTTTCAAGGGTTTCGAGAGGATTAAATCGAAATCTGAACTATAAGTAAAATCACGCTACTTCATAGGAATGCGTCTTACATTCTCGGCAAAATTTGTTCTGATTCGATACCCAGAAATTTTCTGATCCGTCTTTCAAATTATGACGCCTCACGTTGAAGAATCGGCTTTGTTCCAGCAGAGTATTTTTGATCATCGATCAAATTGTTTCAATTTTTTCAGATGAATTGGCGCATAATTTTCACCTTGCTGAACCCAAAGGCGTAGTTACTACTTCAGCGCAATTAGATGCAGTTCTAGAAGCAATCGATTTGCTTGGATCCAAAAACACCATTGGAAGCGTCATTGTTACCGACATCGCGACTGAACGCGATCTGAAACACAAGTTCAGAATTCCGCAGGGAGTGAAAATTCTTCCATGGGGAGAGTTTAATGGTCAGACATCTTCGAACGCCATGGTCAAAGGAGCGGATTCGTTTTCCCAGGACGACCTAGTTGTTCTTCCTTTCTCGAGTGGAACTACTGGTTTAGCAAAGGGGGTAATTTTGGCATTCGAGATCCCTTTTCCTACTACTGTGCATGGCTATTTTTTTTTTCTCATTCTTAGGTTCATTTGAGTCACAAATCCTTAGCAGCGAATATTCTGCAAATGTCATGCCCGGGGATGTCAAATATTCAAGAGCACGAAATATTGGTCGGTCTACTTCCTTTTTTTCATATATATGGGATGAACGCGATCTTGGGCTTTGGAATTTATCACGGTGGAACGAACATTCTCCTAGAAAAATTCGAACCTTCAGCTCTTCTGAACTTACTACTGAAGTATGAGGTCAGATTCTGGAAATTTTCTCGTGCGTTATCTTCCGATTAAAATTATGAATGTTGATTTCCTTTTCTCAGCCAACGCTCTTCCATTTGGTTCCCCCAATCCTGAATTTCTTGGCCAGAAGTCCGGACGTGAAAGAAGAACATTTGGCCTCACTAAAGACCATCACATGCGGCGCAGCGCCGGCACCTGTCACCGTTATAAACGAATTGATAAAAAAATTCCCAGGAATGACGGCATCTTTCCAAGAAGGTATGTATTGCCGTACGCTAGGACAATTCTGCGCCAGCTTGAAGAATGCTTTAATATCACGAACGTATAGGGCGGTAAATGAAGAAGCATCGGGGGCCTGACTGAACACATTTTCTGTGCGATTGTGCAAATTAACATAAACTTTAAATAGACTCACCGTGCCAGGTAATTTGTTCCGCCATCCGTTAGACGTTCCTCTGCGCTGAACTCACACTGTTCACTCAGAATCGAACTCTATAGCACCTTCATTCACGGACAGATGTTGAGAAATGAATTCCGATGAGAAGGAAATACATCGAGGATTATTTTGTGATCTGTAATTGAGTAGTGAGGTAAGAGAAAAAAAAAACAAGTTGAGTCATTTCAATTTTAATCCCGTTGTCCTTGGTATTTCGGAGAAATTTTCAAACATTTTCCTTACCATGGCTGGGGTTTCCTTTTGTCGGAAAAGTCAGGAATTCGCATTCTTCGTCAAAATATTTTACTGGCCTTGAGCGGAAACGCGTCTGGAAGATTTCAGGAATGAATGGGATTATATTTTTGTCGAAATTGCATTTGATGAGAATGATTCCGTTTATCTTCTACAGCGAAAGGTGCTTTCATTCATCCCTGAAATACAGTACCTTGTTTTCACGATTATGAACAGTCTCCCGATTCGTGAAGCTGTTTTTGAAGGGATATTCCGCAGACAAATTCCAAAAGAAAACGTTAAGACGATTCGGCCGATGCCCAATGAAGACAGTGATTGCATTTGGTCTGTGAAAAGTCACAGAAACTCAAACTCACGAATTGTCTAAAGAATACTGCATGAAGAATGTATCTGATGCGAAAATACTTCAGCCTAACATAGCAAGAGGAAATTTCCTAAGAAAACATTTCGAGCATGCTTTTCCGTCGGAGAATTTCTTCTGGCTTTTTTCGAACGACTAGATCTCTTTCCATCCTCATGATCTCCGGTAAAGGCTGCGTTTTCCAATTCTTGCTGAGTATCTTTGAAGATTTTTGTATTAGGCCTCGCCCGAATTTATTTACCGTTTTATATTTATTCCTTAGGCTACGGAATGACTGAAGCTTCCCCCGTAACCCATTGGATCCCGTATGGATGCAAAAATTTTGGTTCTTGCGGTGGTCCGTTACCGGATACACGATCAGCTATTAGAGATGTTTCGACCGACAAGTTTTTAGGTTCGAACAAAAACGGAGAAATCGTAGTTCAAGGTCCGCAAGTCATGATATGCTATCATAAAAATCCATCTGCAACTGCCGATACATTAACGGAAGATCGATGGCTCAAAACCGGAGATATTGGTTACTACGACGACAAAGGATTCTTCTACGTGGTCGATCGCGTGAAAGAATTGATAAAAGTCAAGGGGCTGCAGGTATGAATCCTTGGCAATATTTTCTCCTGAATCCAAATTATTAGTGATCATTTTGGCTGAATATAAAAAGCAGCGATCGGACGATTTTTCAAGAGAAAATAAAAAGTGGAGAATTTTTAGGGACCCAAATCTTGGAATTCCTATGATCAATAAGGTGAAGAAGGTTGAAAAATTTCTGAACATTTTTATATTTTGTGGATACCAAGCAATTTATGGATACGTGAGATGAGCTCATAATTTCGGTTTTCCAGACTATGAAAAATATAATGTACTTTATTCACCCCGGTTTATTCCATTTTAAATCACGGATGACGTGAACGAACTCTTGAGATGGAATTTTTATGACTTCTGATAGATCGTTTTTTTCACTCGGTCAAACCTTATAATTGAGATGCATGGGTATGGTCCGGGAACTGTAGAGCAGTATTAAAACCACTGAACAGTTTTCTTAGCATACGCCGAAATTCATCTGATTCTCAATTTCAATTGTGTTGGATTTCTTGCCCTTGTTTTACAAGCGTTTAATAAAAAATTCCAGGTAGCTCCCGCGGAGTTGGAGGATATTTTGCACAAGCATCCGTCACTCTCTGATGCCGCTGTGGTTGGAATCCCGCATGACAAACTTGGCGAGGCCCCGCGAGCGTTTGTTGTGCCAAAAATGGGTTCCGATGGGAAACCCGTGGATGTGGATCCCGTAAATGTCCAGAAGATGGTCGAAGAACATGTTTCTGAGCACAAATACTTGGCCGGTGGGGTAGAAGTTGTGGAAAGCTTACCCAAAAGCCTGACAGGAAAAATTTTGCGACGGCAGCTCAAGGCTGATTACCTGAAGAAATTGGAAGGCAAAGATTGAATCCAGTAATACTGTCGAAATTTAATATAATCCAGGGGAAGACTCGACAAGAAATTTCTGATACCGGAAAACTTGTGTACATATCCTACCGATTAGCATTATTCAATGTGGTGGTTATTGAAATCTTTGGCCAGAATGTATTCTCCGGGTTTAGCGATTAACAGTATGTGCGAAACTGAGCTTCCAAAACCCGAGGCAGATATTTGATTCGGGAACGCAAAACCGCGAAATTTTCCGAAGTGCTTGTATGTAGTTCGACTCTTGTATATTTTTTTTTTTTTCTGGACAAAATGTGCTCAATTTTTTTTTTCTATTATCCAGAGGATCATTCGGAGGCTCTCGTTTCTCAGGTGGTGCGGTTTATGTCACCCTGCCGTCACGAAGAAAAATATACTTCAATCAAAGCTTTGACTTGGTATCGTATATAAACTAGGTGTCAATTAGTATTCGTTGAGGGAAATGTTTGGCTGTTCGGGATAAATGCATATTTTTGCGAGATTTATACGTATTTAGGTTTGCTGTTGGGTTCAAGGGACATTTAGTGATATGTATTGTTCACGTGCTCAAATGTTCATTTATTCTTACATTCCATTGTTCATTGATTTTTATGAATATGGGACTGCAACTGAATAAAACGGATTCCTCCTCTTTTGTGGCTACCGAAATCGTTTTATTCACATCATTCTGCTTGCAATTGGTAAGGGATTGACATGCAGATGACAATATGTACTGCTTACATGCGGATGGACTCATCTGACGTCTTCTACAGTAATCCTTTCCTGGTCTATGGCATACCTATGCATGCAATTTATTCTTCAGCAATCACCTAGTGAAAAAATGTCTGAACTGTTGTCTACGAGCAACTATGCGGAGTATGCATCTGTTCAGGTGCAATTCGTGTCAAACCTTGCAGGTGAAAAGTGTTGCTGCAAGTGCGGGGGTTCATTTCAATGATTTTCGCTGAAACGTTCTCTTTGAGGTCAAACAAAGCTCATTCCACCTTCAGTCATATACCTGACTTCCTACTCGAAGAACTTGACTGGAATCGTTCAAATATGGATGCGTTTAGCGCAGTGTTCGATGGTTTCACGTGCATATCCGAAGTGATTCGATTGTGGCGCATGCATGAACCATTGCATGCCGAAGCAGTACTATATCCCGGAGCTTGTTTCATAGTGATACCGTCAACAGTCCAAGAGAGATGTCGCTAAAAATTTGTTATCCCCACGTAGCATACTTGACTAGAGAAAAAGTAGGCATGGCCGACTAAATTGAATGGGCTGCGTGAGAAAAATTGAAGGACGAAGTGTAAGATCTCGTCGAATGATTCGGAAATTGATTTTAATGCGAGACTAATTATTATCGGGAAGAAAGTCCTAAGCAATGAAATATGTCTCTGCCATCAACATGGCGGCAGAAAGCGTTAGTATCCGTTTGGTCTTGACAAATATCATAATTATAACTTTCAGTGAAGGAATGCGGGATTTTTGGAAATGGGGTGGGCTTTCGAGTTTTCGGATTACAGTTTTTGTTCGGCAGAAACAGTTTTAATGCCTTAAAATGTGCTGTAAGATCATGTCCGCAAAATAATTTTTGCACTAGTCCTTGTTACAATTTTGAATTTCTTATCGACTTATGCCGATTCACCGAAAAGCTCGAACCTGCCGTCGAATGGCGGTGTTCCCTCTCTTTCTCTCCATAAAAATTGGAATATTTTACGGGTCTCGGTTGTACAGTTACTATCAGTGCCCGTTATGTGAACTGTTCGCGTTCGTGACGAATGCTGTGAGCGTGAACCGTCGAATGCCGTTGAAAGTTCCGTTTGTTCATTTCAGTACCGAATTTGATCTCTGTATATCCGGAAAAGATGAGCATTTATCGCTTGTTCCCACGTGCTCCTTTGTTCGGGCTTCGGCTTTTTGGCGAGGCGTTCGTCTCGCGCCAATTTTCCCCCCGTAAACTTTGTAAGCATACGCCTCTTCCTAAATCTGTCTGTGTGTTTTTGCTGTTGTTTCAGTATTGTGAGGTAATTTTTGTTGATTAATTTCCCTAGAAATTATTTGTGCTGTGCCAGGGTTGACGTGCAGAATGGAGGGGGATACTGACGGTCATTTCAAATATCCTGTAGCTCGGCGTGATGACTCGGTTGAGTATGAATACTTCGGGACTAAAGTGAGTACAAGTCAATTTGACAGCTTTCGAGTGTTCGTGCTAAAATTGATTATCTTACAGATTAAAGATCCTTATCGCTGGCTGGAAGATCCCGACAGCGACGAAACGAAGCAATTCGTACTTGCTCAAAATGAAATCTCTCTGCCATACATCAATAGTTGCAGTGCTAAAGCAAGAATTCAGGAGAGATTAACTGAAATGTGGGATTATCCGAAATATTCGACGCCGGGACGGGCTGGACCGCGGTATTACCATTTCATGAACACCGGAGTGCAGAATCAGTCCGCTCTATACCTCCAGAACTCCTTGAATGGTCCTAGTCAGGTGTTCTTTGATCCAAACACGCTTTCACCAGATGGTTCGTCATCTTATTCTTTGCTTCATTTGATTTTGTACGTTAAAGTCGACAGGTTTCGATGTTGTGCATTGGGTAATTCCGGGGTTGCTGGTTTAGGTGGTATGAAAAAAAGTGCGTATTTTAAACTTGTAGAAGTAAAATCAGATGAAAGGCAATAACGAAGAAAACAGTCAAGGGAAGTACAGTAGTTCAACTCATTTTTGGGCATTGGGTAATTTTTAATCAATCACAAATGCTATAAACAAACAATAAGTAAACAAGTATCCCTGTTCACTTCTAAATACGTTGATTTGGCACGGTGTCAATAGGCCGCGTTCTTGTTTGGATGGAGAATTTATTGTCTTGTTAGAAAACGCACCATTAGGGACTTGAAATTTTGTCAAGACCCGAAATGGCAAATATTTTTGATATACTAAGAGTGAGTTTGTGATGGGAGGGCATTTGTGAGATGGAGAGCATTTGTGATGCGTTACTAAGTCAAATCTAGAAATTTGAATATTAGAAGAATTCTGGATAAGATATGTGCAGTATTGTACAGTACTGTATTTCATTTTTATGCCTAGCTGCCATTGCAATGGACTGGTGATGTAAGTCCTGCATATTTTATTACTGTGGCAGGTCGTATTCTGGTTCTCCAACTACCTGTGGATTTTAGTTTTCTCGAAGTGTAATTGATTCATTATATGGCCCCAATCTGTTTTCAGGAACAATTTCGTTGAACACATACAATTTTTCCGAAGACGGAGAAATTTTCGCCTATGCATTATCTGAGGCCGGGTCAGACTGGGCATCCATACGTTTCAAGAAAGTTTCCACTGGAGAAGAATACCCTGAAGTTCTTAAAAGAGTGAAGTTCTCCGGAATTGAATGGACCCACGATAACGTCGGGGTCTTCTACAGCAAGTACCCTGAAACAGACTCGAAAGCAGATGGAACGGAAACCGTGTCGATGGATTCGAATAAAGTGTTCTACCACAGAGTGGGCACTGAACAGTCCGAAGATATCCTTGTCGCAGAATTTCCGGATGAACCGAAGTGGCTGCTGTAAGATTTAAAAATTCCGATTGCTCGTACTGTATGTAACTGTGACTTTTTTTTCCCCTACTCTCACAGGGGTTTCAACTTGAGTGATTGCGGCCGATACTTGTTCATTACTCCTGTGAAGGAGTGCAAAGAAAATCTGCTTTTCTTTTTTGACTTGAACTCCCTGGGGCCAGAAGGAATTGTTGGTAAAGTGCCTCTGACGCCGATTGTCACCAAATTTGAAGCTGACTATTCGGTGAGTTTGCTTACTCAAACCAGGTGCACAATCATGAGAACATGCGTTTGGAAGGATAGATTTAATGCAAACCTATTGTACCTATATTACTTTTCGGGTTGCCCAAAGGCGTTGTGACTTATTTTTGAAAAACTGTATTTCAGAAACTTGACCTGGTGAACGTGAATGTATGGTAGGCTGAATGAAAATGGAATTCGAATGCTTATCAATATATTTGCTCCGTAATTTTCTGTCCAATTATGAATGCTGTGGTCTACAGTAGTTTTAGTGGAAAACAAAATTTATCTGTGGAAAAATGTCCCTGAGTGGAGGGAAAAATTTTTTCATAATGCGAAGCTGAAGCTCAAAGTCATGCATTTCGAAGTACTGTACGAAGGTAAGAGCATCGTTAACTTATTGGGCTTTCATGCATTTTAAATGTAAAGTATGGTCAATATGTCAAAATAGCATTCAGAAAATAAGTTCTGAAAATTAATGGATAGCCAACTTTGTGGCCTTTATTTCTGTTACAAGTTGAAAATTTCCTGCCAATTCTTACGTAACAGTTGCGATGTGGATTTTTTAAGCAGCTTATTTTATTAAATTTCAATGTGTCTGTCGTTGGTGTGAATGTCACTAATGTATCTGTAACGTGTTTCTCAGAGATGGCTCAATTTCAACGATTGGATTGTTGTAGACTATGTAGAGTTTCGAAAAATGTCCCCCGTCCCCCAAGCATTGCAAAGATTTGTGTCTTGAAAGTGTGCGTCATCTGATTTTTTTTCTTGCAGTACGTCGCAAATACCGGGTCAAAGGTTCTATTTCGAACAAACAAAAATGCGCCGATATATCAGATAATAGAAGTGGATTTGGAACACCCTGAGGAATCCAACTGGAGATCTTTTATTCCCGAGCACGAGTCAGACGTTTTGGATTCAGCGGCTACCGTAAACAAGGACAAACTTGTTCTCTGCTACATGCGGGACGTTTGCAGCGTTCTGCAGCTCCATGATTTAAACACAGGCGCGAAACTGCAAGATTTTCCGTTGGACGTTGGCCAAGTGTTGTCGCTTTCAGCAAGAAGAAAATACGACGAGATGTTCTTCAAGTTCGATTCATTTCTGGAGCCCGGAACAATATATAGGGTGGATTTTAATTCTCCCGCTCCGTGGAAAGCAGATGTAAGTTGTATCGTCCATTTTTACAATTTTTACAAAAAAACTTACTGCGTTCTCCCCCCCCCCCCCCCGGCGTTTTAGCTCTACTGGAAAGCGGATGTGAAAGGCTTCAACAAGGATGATTTTGTGGCAAAGCAAGTTTTCTTCACGAGCAAAGATGGTACAAGAGTGCCCATGTTCATAGTGCATCGGAAAGATTTTGTACAAGATGGAACTGCCCCTGCAATATTGTACGGATACGGTGGATTCAACGTCAGCCTACAACCCAGCTTTTCATTGACGTTCCTAAGCTTCATTCAGTCGTTCCACGGAGTGTTCGCTGAGGCTAATGCGAGAGGTGGCGGGTGAGAATTATTTTTGAACGTTTTATTAATTCATGTCAAATGTTGATAATGCTACGGTAAGGAAGTAATTTTCATATGAATCAATAAGGAAATATGTTCGACTTCCGGTTCGCAAGAAATCAAGCCTTTTAAGAATTTCGTAAAGAGATGTTTTTAGTATCTCCGCGAAATTCGATGTTCGAGGAAATCCAGGATACGTCAATGCGAAATAATAGTTGTGGTTTTCATTACGCGTGTAAAAAAAAATGTTGCCCCCGATTTTTCCAACGCTTGGGGAACCTAAGAAAAACGTCGGTTACCCTTGAAGTATTGTCATTTTCTTGCACCATCCAGGAGTAAGCGGGGGAAATTTTTATGCATGATCTCCTATTCGGGGCGGGTGTTTCCGAGGGCCTGAAAATGTGACGCAAACATTTTTCATTCGCTAATTTGTGTTTCAGAACATGACATGATTTAGTGACGGTTTGTTCGATTTACTGCAGAGAGTATGGCGAGAAATGGCACAACGAAGGACGATTGCTGAAGAAGCAAAATTGCTACGATGATTTCCAAGTAGCCGCGGAGTACCTCATAAATGAAAAGTACACTCAAGCGAAAAAGTTAACAATCGAAGGATATTCCAATGGTGGATTTACGGTTGGAGCTTGTCTTAATCAACGCCCTGATTTATTTGGCGCTGGCATTGCTGGAGTCGGGTGAGATTTTCGAGAAATAGCTTTGAAGAAACGCTTCTCAAGCTTTGACGGGACACTTGCATGAATATTCCAGGGTCCTCGACTTGATGAGATTCCATAAATTCACCGTTGGGTACTTGTGGACGTCAGACTACGGGAACCCGGAAGAGAATGAGGACCAGTTTCGGAATCTGCTGAAGTTGTCGCCTTTGCACTGCATACCGTCAGCGGATAGTTTGCCGGGCAACACTGAGCAGTACCCAGCATTACTGCTCTTAACTGCTGATCACGACGATCGGGTTGTGCCTCTGCACTCGCTCAAGTTCATCGCAGAGCTGCAACATGTTCACGGGCATAATCCAAAGCAAACAAATCCACTGATTATTCGGGTCGAGACAAAAGCTGGGCATGGTGGGGGAAAGCCAACAAAAAAGAGGGTTAGTATCTGAAATTTATCCCCGATTTCCTTGGACAAAAATATCTTGCGAGGAATGTGCGTACAAGGGTTGGTCTGAAGGTTTGTCAGTGCTTTAATCGGTGCTTTTTGAGGGTACCAAAGTTTTCGAGTCAGATTCCCCGAAACCCTTCTTAAGGTAAGTTGTAAAATGGTTGCCATGACCAGAGCGACTTCTTGCTCACTGCCGTGTTGAAAAAATTTTATATTCAAAAATCAAAATAACTAACGCAAAATTAGTCAAGATTGAACATTCTTTCATGACTTCAGGGTTTTCAGATCTGAGAAATTGCGACAAATAAACTTTTTCAATCGTTTCAAATATTTTCCATCACTTCGACTACGTGCGAATATAAGTGTGTATTGATGATTAGATAATCAAATCTCTTCCGTTACATGAACCGCCTCAAACTCGGTTTCTTCATAATTTTAATCCGAGATCAAGAGTGTAGGTTTGGTCAGGAAATTTAAAACGCAGGTGTTATTCTCTCAACAAAAATTTTGTCTACAACGATTTTCTTTGAGTGGTCCGGAGTGGTCTTTATACCCAAATTATAGAATTTTTCTGCAACAAAGTTCTCTCCACACGGATTTTTTTCCGGTCCCCTGAATTTTTTTTTAGAGACAGAGTCCACCTGTATTATGCCCATCAAAAAAAATACGCCAATCTCTTATCGATACAAAGTATCTCGAATTAAAAAAATCCACAACTTACGTATCAGTCCTCGTGTATTAATTTTTTAAATATGGAAATTTCAGATTGAAGAAATCGCAGATTCTTTAGCATTCATCATGAACGCCTTGAAGCTGGAATACCGTGGTGACGAGAACTGAGGAAAAAAATAATCTCTCCGTCACGCAACTCCTGTGAAGGTTCTCCGGGAACATTTTCATCCATTTTGCTCATCAGTGGATGTGAATTGTATCGTTTGTCTAAGAGAATTCCGAACTTGGATTTATCAGTGCTGCGAGTTAATACTGCTCGGATTCAGTTCAATTTTTTTTGCCGTTCGTCTCTTATTTGGTGACAGTAAATTACAGCTGGATGAGATAATAAAATCCAAGTTGGTCCTATTCATGGTGACGTGCAGTCAATGTTTTACTGGATCCGAAAATGTTCGCGTGTCAGCCTTTTCAAGAATGGGTTTCTCAACTTCATTCATCGTGGATCTTATTTTTATGGACTGTAATGCATGATCATTCGAATCATGGTTCATGTACATATCTGCATCTACTTGACCTTTGTAAAAGCTTGCGAAATCTTCTCATGAACAGAAGGTCTTTCGCTCTCAAAACTTTCATAAAATACTTCCGCTGAACATGTATAAAATTTAGTACAGTACCTTGATTCATTCAAGAATTAAGGAAGGAAATTTCTTATGGTTCCAGATATTCGAGAGACAGTTTGCCCTGGAATGTCTGAGCAAACTCTCCAATTCTGGATCTCAAATATACAGAAATTTCATTTTTTGACACTACTTCGCAGTATATCTCAAATATGCAGTACAAATTCATATTTCAAAGAAAATGTGTATTATCTTCATGCTTTCATAGTTTGCTGCTGCCAATTATTTTCAATTGAAAAATAATCCGTAACTAATATTTTCTTTGTCATCTTGCCTTTTTTTCAACTTCTTCGTGCTTGTTTTTTTTTTTTTTACCTTAATTCCGTAATTTGTTGAAGCCAATGAAGAAAATTCTCAGATTTCCTACGGGAAATCCTGTCTAATATAAAACAACAAACGTCATTCTGTTCGTTGATCGAGGCCTCACTCATGTGCTGGAATAAAATGATGTGCAAAAAAATAAGCAATCGACCCTGAATTCCGTTTCCGGCATTGGAACCTTAACGCTTCACTGCCAGGGTCGGCCGGAACAAAAATCGCCCGTATAAACGCTGCTCATACCCCGCCTGCATCGTGTTCTGACTAGTTCCGGCTTTGATTTTTTCCCTCCCTTTTTGCTTCCGCATGATGCGGGTCTTCATTTATTATCGAAGACCCTGTGTCGTCTCAGGCGTACAAAAAGCAGGCGTCATTCTGTGTTTCGTCGGCTTCCCTATTCTTGCTTCCTCCAGGACGCCAGCATCGAAAGCATATCATCACTTTCTTGTCAGTTCTGCATGCAGCAGTGACTAAAACATATAAACAGAATGAAGAGTGTCGCGCCGCTTTTTGCTGTTGTGCTGCTGTTATTTCTGACAGGAACTTGTCAAGCTTACATCAACCGTGAGTTCCTCAGTGTCTGTTATCGTCCATGATATGTGCTTGTATAGATCCAATCTGTACGTGCAAAGAGGCATGCGGAAATGAACAAATTGTTTACCTGTCTTTGAAAAATTATATTTCCTTCTGTATACCCTTGAAAGTAATGTAGTTGAAGCTATACATAAAAAAGATATATATACAGTATAAATATGCTAAGTATATGACCATGACCAAGCTTGGAAATCCGATGACGTTTTCAAATTATATTTAGAAATTAAATATCGTAGTTGGGGCTTGAATTGGTCGCCTTCAGTCTTCATAATACAGCACGACATTAGAAAACGTTAAAGCATTTTACAAATTATTATTTCAACAATTAGTTTAGCTTCCTTGTGTTGTTTTTAACGTTATACCGTAGCTTGCATTTAAGGGTTGCATATACTTTAACAAGTATTACAGTAGCATACTTTTATTTTAAAAAGTTATTAAAGTGCGTATCTCCCCCAACCAGTTAATTTATTCACAAAATTTGCAATTGTCAAGGAGTGACTGTGATGTTTTTTTTAATCTGCTGGAAAAAGTTAAGTTTCACCTCTGGCTAGAACCATCCAAACTTCACTTGAGGTTTGATGGCAACTATAAATCCTAGCATTATATAGGGTGGCCCTAAAAATTCGGGACCAATTTTCACCCCACATTATTAATGAAACTGCTTTGAAAGAAAAGTAGGCTCTATAAGAACAGAAGTTGGATAAAATTGCCTTTGAGTCATTTTCATATATGATATCATGCCTTTATTATTAGGCTTCTACCCATGAATAGAAAAAGTTGCCGGAGTGCGTTTTTACACTTTTATTGTACATTTTCGTATGCAGTATACTGTACTGTATACGCAGAGTATTTCATTCAACTGTGGTACAACATCTCAAAATCTCTACATTGGCTAAATCAGCTACCGTTAATTTGCAAAAATTCGAAGATAAATTTATTTAATTCTTCATAAGCTCTCCAATAGGCGAAATTAGTTATACAGTTCAATAAACACCTACAGATATAAACCGTATTCGCAAAAATAATTTTTATTGAGCTTTGAAAGAATAACATAAGGTCTCTGTTTTTTTTTCAGATATGCTACTTACCACAATTATGATTTTTTCTGGACAACTTAATTTGTAAAAAAATGATTTAATGGAGTTATCGGTATAATTGAATTTTATAAAAATAGTCGACAATTCTTTTATGGAATAAACGCCGAAGTATGGAAAAACCATTCACCAAAGATTGGCAAAAGTTTGAATTTATAAAATTTTTATCTGTATTTACAGCAATATTGCGTTTCCTCCACTGTATATATATGGGGAAAAGCAACTCAAATAATAGCGAAAATTGTTCACACGAACAATCTCTTGGGAGAAAATATACGCTCATATTTTAGCAACATGAAACTTTTGGAATTGCTGTTCGAAAATTTGAGGAAAATGAGAAAAGAAGAGCATATACGTTTTGCCTCCTTATTTTTACCTTCAAATCTTAACGTAAAATCGACCGCAACTAAATGTATCCATCATGCCAATGGATTGATCGAATATACATTAGTTCCGTCCTGCTGCGGGGACGCATATAATGCATGCATAGATTTATTTCATTGCGATCAATCGCAATTTAATGATCATTATTACGGTACTTATTCAGGCATGTATTTATTTATTTGTGCAGTGGCTGGGGATGTGGAATGCGGTCTTGGCACTCACGCGAGGACCAGCAAAATCGTGGGTGGATCCGAAGCCGGTCGCGGCGAATTTCCTTTCATGGTGTCCCTGCGACATTCGCTCAAAGACCGCCACTATTGCGGCGGCGCCATCGTCAGCAGGACTCGCATCATCACGGCGGCTCACTGCCTCGAACGGTTTCGTATCAAGTTCTTTCATCATGCCTTATAATAAATACATATACAGACTTGAGTTTCGTGTTGCTAACTTGCGCAGTATAAAAGCATATAAATACTGTAAGTTAAAACCCTTATTCTAACGATAAAATCAACTATAATATGAGTATAATTGCGCCAGTCGATCGTATGTCCTGGCTTTAAAGTACTGTAATTCGTTTGATAAATCCTCAGAAATATCCTCGCCATATTTCCATAAAAAAAAAGAATAACAGGGCGGGTCATGGATCGAGAATCAATAATAATGTCAGAAGGCCTTTATTGTCTTAAAATCCAAGCTATATATATGTATTGTTTACTGTATGAATGTGTTGCTGTTGACCAAACGCAATTATCTATACTGCAGTTATTATTTGTGTGGAAAATTTTGAAAATCCTCCCGTTATTCGAAGAAAGAGAGAGAAAGAACAATTCTGGCCTTGAATAAGTATGATTCAAGAATGTCAAGAGAAGGCTATACTTGATATTATCTCGGATTTGAAACCATACATGATGGAATTCACGTGTAATTTTCTCCTATATTTGTCTGGGAATTCGGATAAATGTCCCCGTTTCATCATTGAAAAATAAAGCAGTGTAGTCCCGGATCAAATGTCAAAAGATTTTCATCGTCGTGTGTACAAAAGCATAATTTTTTTATTCTCTCTCTAAAAAAATCAAAACACTGATAAAAACTCTCGCATTCAGCACCTGATGGTACTGTATAGAATTAAGGTTCTTCATTATGATATAGCTATACAGCCTCATTATTCAAATCATTTCATCAGTACAGTATATATGATCGCACACATATTTATATTTATATACAGTACTGTATATATAAACGGGAACTTGGAAATTTTTTCTATTTATAGTTGCATTCCCGCAAAAAAATGTCGAAAAAATGAAGAGTGGTTCCGAAAAGATGTGGTCTAGAATTCAAAAGCAATACATTTTTCATTTTTTCAGCCTTGACACCATTTTATCATTGTTATGATGAAGTGCTGTCTTTCTTATGGGAATCATGAAAATACATTCGCACGAAAAAAAAAAAAAACTTGGAGCAGTTGCCGGGCTAAAGAAAATTTTCGATTTTAGAATCAAAATAAGTATTTTAATTTTGTCAGCAGCCATTTTATACCATGCAGTACATGCAGTGTGTGCTGCTGATCGCGCGTCTTCCGTCTCATCTATGTGTCTGCATTATATACTGACGACTTTAACAAGAAGTTATTTTCAAAACACCCTCATTCAATTATTCCCTCCACAACAACAACAACAAAAAACGAAAAAAAAAACAGTGGCCTGGACAGACACGTGGAGATCGCGATGCGAGAGCACAACGTGTTGTCGCCCGAGAAGGGCCTGGACTCGTACCGCCTGCGTCCCGCGAGAGTCGTGATGCACAGCGACTTCGACGCCATCCGCCTCAACAACGACCTGGCCGTCCTCACCGTCAGAGAGGGACTCATCGAGTGGGACAACTTCACGGCGCCGGTGTGCGTCGCCGAGGCGTCCGGCGACGACGAGACCGTCGGCACGATGGCCACCGTCATCGGCTGGGGTCGCCTCAGTGAAGGTCATCATAATATCAGTTGAATTCGTTTTGTAAAATACACTGGTGCTGGACGCGAGGACTCTCTGTATATATAGTCTCTCTATAGCAATATGTTCCCCAACCTGTGGTCCGCAGACGTTTTCGGCAGGTCTGCGGGAAATATTTGTACTGTATAAGCATAATAAATGTATTGAAACAATCAATGAAAGACATTACAGCAGCGTCTTTATCTGAGATTTTTCTTTTTCAAGACAATTGAAGTTAAAATTATCTAAAAAGAATTAAAAGATGGCTTTTCTCCTATAACAACACTTCAGAAAAAATTTTACCCCATGAAATAAATTCTATAAATTTTTCAATTCTCAGAAATTGTTCTCCAAGCCCACCTTTTTAATTTTTATGAAGACATTTGCACCATAGCTGCTTCATTGGTTTTTAACTTGATTTTCCACATAGAAGCATAATTTTTATCATTAGCTGCCATATAGTATTTCAGGCAGCACTTTTTTGAGGTTGCAAAATTTTGAAAGACTTTGCCAGTGAGCAGAACATTTTTTTGTCAATTGCTGGTCTGCAAAACACTATGAAAATTTGCGAGCCCATAAAGGTTGAGGAACACTGGTCTATATACTGTACCAGTGTTTTTAAACCTTATTGAGCCTGTGGACCAGAACATTTGTATAAAATTTTCTGCTGACCAGCACATAACCAAAAAAATATATATATATTTGGACCAGCAAAGTTTCATAAAATTGTTGCAGACTCAAAATATTTTTTTTTAAAGACTGTATGGAGGGTATTTAAAAGCTTTGGTTTTTCCCCAAAATTAAGTTAAGAACCAATGCAGCAGCTATAGTGGAATGTCTTCAAAAATATAGAAAGGTTTCTCTGAATGAATACTGTACTCTATTTGACCAGGTAACAATTTGTCTAAAGTCTCCTTAGGAGAAAAGCCAACTTTTATTGTCATCAGATAATTTCAACTGCCATTGTCCTTCCAAAATTTTAGGTAAAGATAACATAAATTCATCCCTACTTTTGATGAATGCATAATGCTGAAAAGTTCCTTTGGACTGGCAAAAAACGTCTGTGGACCTCCTGCGCTGGTCTGCGGACTACAGGTTGGGGAATATACATCAGTTCAGAAATCTTGTCTACAAAAATTTTATCTTTATTGTGACAGTTTTTTTCCTTTGCATTAAATGATTAAAGGCTTCTCTCATCCATGTTATATGGGGGTTCTCTCCCAGGAAATTCTTTCTACAAATAATTTTCTTCTGGTCCAGTGAATTTCATTTTAGACAATAAGAGAGTCCACTGGAATATCAAATGAATTTTTTCATTCCATCGAATTTTTCCAAAGGTGTTTGCATGAGAATTTGCATGCTGCTGCTCGTAACAAACTTGTTTTTATCTTGAATGACAGTAAACGAAGTTTTTGCCTTGAATATGCTGCTGCTCCTAACAAACTTGTTTTTTTTTGTGCCTTGAATAACAGTAAACGAAGTTTTTGCCTTGATTATTGCATGGGATATCGGAATGTTTATTGTTTTAGTTATTGGCGCAGAAAAATTGAAAAATTTTCAACTCATGCTGTGCAGCATTAAATAATTTTTAAAGAGAGAAATGCTAAGCTTATACAGTATTTTTAAGCTGCAAATTTTAGTCCTTCATTTTCTGAAAAAAATGTTAATCTCAATAGAGTGAGATCAAAAATGAGATTAACGAAATTTTTCTTGGATCCTTGCTAGAGTTTTTGTATTTATTAAGATTTCATTAAATAGTATAAGAATAAATTTCAGTCAGAAGAAATCTGTATAAGGCTTGACTGCATAATTTTTTTCACAGTATCACGTTACTGACATACTATTTTTTGGATGTTTCAATTATAAAATATTTAGGCATTATTTATTTCGTCCTGACTCACAATCCATATGAATTTCCCGTCACTGCTCTGGTCGAAATAATGAAAGAGGGGCTTTTGACGTTTCAATGAACTACAATATTATATACTGTATACCTGTTTCGGCTTACAAATTGGTGCAAGAAGTACCGTAAATATGTAGTTGCAAATAAATAAAAAAACTGCTGCTCAAATTGGGGGAAATTTGCAGGAGGAAGCAAGGCAGACAATTTGCAAAAAGTTCAAGTGCCAATTTTGGACAATGCAGTGTGTCGGTCCAAGATGAAGAAGTGGTTCGACATCCACGCCGGGCAACTTTGCGCAGGTTACGAAGAAGGAGCGAAGGATGCTTGTCAGGTATTATTGAAAAAATTGAGCTTTTATTTTACTATGATCTCAGCAATGCTGCTGGTTTTATTAATAAAATTCTTCCCATATGACAATACATTTTTGATAAATATATATTTGGTGTATTATTCTTTATTCACCTTATACACAATCCAAGCAATCTGATGTGTTTCCAATTTATGCTTTTTATAGGGAGACAGCGGAGGTCCAATGATTGTTCACAAAAATGGAAGATTGATCTTGGTTGGGGTAGTATCAGCTGGAATCGGGTGTGCAAAACCCAATTTGCCAGGTGTCTACACCAGAATTTCTCACTACATGGACTGGATTAAAAATGAAGTCAAATCATGATAAGATGACTTTCTCATGATGATGACAGCAGCATGAAACTATATGTCATTATTCATTATACTGAATGTCATGCGTATTTTCTTGTATTTTTGTACTCCGGAGGACACAATACTGTCGTCGATTATTTATAATTACGGATTATGGTATAAAAAAAAATGGACGAAATGCAATGTATATCTAGAAAAGCAATCAACCGTGTTTTGAATTGCATTTATTTTATTTGTGTTAAAAAAGAAGACAACTACAAAAGTAATATTTTTCTCCAAATTAAAGCCAACACCAAAAGCTTTAAATCTATGAGGGAATCTATCTTATCTTGTTAATGAATTTACTGTATAACGAAACAGTCATCGTTTCTCATTCAAATGCTTTTTTGTGATTCTGAATTAAATTTTTTAATTTTCCTTTCAGGATAATAAGACATTTACAAAAGAGCACTTCTCCTCATCCTCTGGAATGTGCTATTATAAACATTCCTCCTTCAATTTTAAATTTCATTTAGGAATAATGCAAACGAATCCTTTGCTAAAAATTCATCCCAACTGCAGATGCAGTACAATATTTTGTTTAACCGGGAATTCGGTCTTGGATTACTATATAAGATTCTTACCTAAAATGTGTTGTTCAATTTTACCACTAAATGCCGATTGTATTAGCTGCTCCGTACGGATCCTCTCCAGTTGAACACTTGGGGCGTGGAGTAATCCTCAATTCGGGATGCTCGGTGATCAGTTTTAGGAGTGCTGCGGAATAATTGTCTTCTGGAAAAGTTTCTGTGCGTGAGTGAAGTTTTTTGCACATCAGCTATGTCTCAAAGGTCATTACGCGCCGGAACGCGCGCACAATCTCTGAAAGATGATGTTCGACGATCGATGCAAGTCATTGATCGAGTTAGACGGTGGTGAGAGATTTTTGAGCAACTTTTAAAATGATTTTCTCGCGCATGAAGTGTCATATGAGTGGAAATCGCTGATGAATTCCGTCTTCCAGGGAAAAGAAGTGGGTTACGATTAGTGACACTTCTTTGCGTCTTTTCAAATGGGTGCCCGTATCCACAGCTGAAATGGTGAGATTTGAGAACATTTCTTATTTCAAGAGTTGTTATAATTTTCAAGCGCTTGTGCTACCTTACAGCGTCGTAAAGAGCGCAAAGATGTTCGCGAATCAAATAAAGAAAATAAGAGAGGCTCCAGCGCCTCCAAACCGGCGTCTGCGGGGGCTTTCAAGCCGGACGCATCCGATGATTCCTTGTCCATGATGAACGAAGATTCGAACACTGGTTGGTAGATGAATTAAATTGTTTGAAATGCTTGTGATTATCCGTGCTATTCATCGTCAGGAATGTCCTTCACCTCAGATTCCCAAAGTAATCAAGCCAACGGGCAGCCAAACGGAAATTTAACCTTTTCTTCTCGGTTGCCGTCGAAAGATTCGGTACCAGCGTCGTCGGAATCATCTTTCTTGAAGTAATTAGTGCGAGGATGCAATGAATGACGTACTACTTCGGGTTTAGTTGATTGATTTTTTTTTGCTCGAGGATCTCTGTGTAAGGCTTTCGACGTTGCAAAAAACTGCTTTGCCCTTCGATTGTCCGTATTCATTTAGGATTCGGAGAACGTTCTGTGCGAATTGTTGAATTTTGTATGAATTACTATGTGTTGTCGACGCTGAGTATTGTTTGTACGTGACGTTGATATGTTCTAAATCACAACAAAGGGGCTATTGTATGTCACGGCAGTTTATGTCCTCCGTATTTCAAAGTATTATTTCAGTCGAAGTCTTATCTCTTAAGGTTCTTTTTCTGTGAAATTTTTAGCTTGTAAAAGCATATTGTGTATCTATCAACCGCAAACATGGCACTCAGCGATGCAGACGTTCAGAAGCAGGTAAGTTGATGCATTCAGCTATGATCAATCGTATGCTGTACCTAGCATTATTTTTCTTCGAATTACATTAGATCAAACATATGATGGCTTTCATCGAGCAAGAAGCCACTGAAAAAGCCGAGGAAATCGACGCGAAGGCCGAGGAGGAGTTCAATGTTGAGAAAGGACGTTTGGTTCACACTCAACGACTGAAGATCATGGAGTATTTCGAGAAGAAAGAAAAGCAAGTGGAGATGCAGAAGAAGATGTAAGAATTTGAACCTCGCTTTCGAAAATCATATTATAAATAATTAAGTTTTGATTAATTTGCCGTCGGAAAATTCTTGTTCTCCAACTCACGTTCCGAAGCAACCGAAAATCACGTACATCAGAACATGTACATCAGAGTACATCAGAGTTTTGCTGGGAGAAAACCAGCAAAACTCATCGGCGTTCCCTCTAAATTCGAAATTTGATACATTTTAGACAAGCGTCGAACATGTTGAACCAAGCCCGTCTCCAAGTTCTGAAGAGCCAGGAAGAGCATCTGGGCAAGTTGGTCGATGAAACCAAACGCAGACTATCGACTGTGACGCGGAATGAAGAGAAGTACGGCAAATTGCTACAGTTGCTGATTGCGCAGGGAATCTTTCAGCTGCTTGAAACAAACCTTGTTGTGAGGTGTCGCAAAGCCGACGTTGCGCTTGTTAAAGAAGCTGCCCGCGGGGCTTTGGAGTACTACACGAAAATTACTAAACGTACCTGCAACATCAAGGTTGACGAGAATCATTTCCTCTCGCCACAAGTGTGAGTTTTATTTTTGTATTTGATATTTTCAAAGTTGTACCCAACAATTACAACCTGAGGTAATTCATCTCAGTGCCTAACTAACGTAGCTTACCGTATTTTTTCGAAGATCAAATTTCTCTAAGTTGATGAGCTCGTATACTATTTTCGGACACTGCACTGTTAATAAGCTAAGCTTGAAGCCAACCCTTCCGAAAATGAAATTTTTTTCCCTTAGTATAACCCTTAATTTTTCTGGTGATCTTCCTTCGCTATTTTAAATTTATTTGTAATTTGATCTTTTCACTCCTACTTGCACCTTTCACTGATCCACAATTGTCTTGACCTTTATAATGCTTTGAATTGAGGAAATATTTTCCATTTCGTATCATTCTATTCAGAAGTTCCAAATATTATTTATGAAGTTTAGAACTTTTTTCATCTGATCATTAGACAACCCAAGGATCCGTTTCCTTTTTTTCAAGCAAAATGATGCAAGATCGGTTTCTGTTTTTGTGCAGTAAGGTTATGCATAGCTATCCCAACGTCGCGTCGAAGCTCGAAGTCATGAATAATCTGATCATTATTTTATGTCTATCTAATCTTCCAAAACACATTCTAATCAGCTTAAAGGAGGTAGATTTTTTTTTAGTGTGGATATGGGTCAGCAGATTGGCGCATGAATGCGTAACAAATACAGAGGCAGTTTTAAGCATAATGAGCTCCTGCCTGAAATTGGATCACTGATTTAGGAAAGGCAATTAATGCGCGTATTTCTTTCAGGTCCGGTGGAGTTGAAATGATGATCCCCAACGGGAAGATAAAGATCGTGAACACGCTTGAAGCCAGACTAGACTTGATTACTTCTCAGCTTCTTCCAGAGATCAGAGTGCGGTTATTCGGCCGCAATCCGGGGCGAAAATTCTTGGATTAAATAATTTCGTGGACAGCATCGAAGCGACGGGATTTAAAATTTTACTCGGCATAAATGAAGTGTATCCATCACCTCATCTCATTATCTCGCTTCATCCATTATGGTATTTTTATTAGATGAGAATGAGATGATTTTCAGCAACTCGGATCCTTCGTCATTTCGCCGAGTTTTTATGTTAACAAAAATATTGCTGTTTCAAGTGTAGCAAACCTGAATGAAGCTACAGCCATTTAAATGTACAGTACCTGTATTGCTGAGGGTGCGGAGTATTCGCCGTTTTTTTTTTGTCCAGCAAGTTGATTTAATCAATTCATTCCATTTTTGCGTTTTTTGCACTGCTTTTCCATCCTTTCAATGCAACCATTTAACGCCACCGATTTAATCCAAAAATGTTTTTCGCGAAAGTATAGTTTTAATTCTACGCACAAATTGAGTTATTGTCTGCGGATTTTTTTGTTGCTCGTTTCATTTTCAGGAAGGGTTTTCGTTACGGCCTTTTCATGACTGTGCAATATTCGTGTGATAGTGTAGAGAAGATTTTCTATCATCCGGTGATGGAGCGTGTTGTCGGGCAAACTTTCTTTCTTTTTTTTTGCGCGCGTTTCTGCATTGATTCATTCTTCGAGAAAGCATGTTTCTGTGCGGGAATTAAGTGAACCAGTACGCATTATCACGCTGCTTCATTTTAATTAGGTTCTGGATGAATCGATAATTCTGTTGTGATATTTTCATTTTTCAGAGTGCATTTAAACCGGTTTGAGCAGGTGATTCTTGGTGTGTCGGAATTCTATTTGTTGGATGTGGGACAGGTTCGCGTGAATGTCGACCTCCATCGCCGAGGTTGCGACACAGCTGATCACGTGCTTTTCCGCGAGGCAACCTATCTTGAATTTATGATAATGAGGAAGGAAGCTGACTCGTGATCTGCGATTCCGGGGCAGTGTCTCGTGCATCTGGTCTCGGCCTCTGTTCGTTGGCGGAGTTGGGACTCAGTGCCTGTTTGCGTGGTTGATACCAAGAAGGTTTTGAAAAGGTTGTGAAGCTACGGAGGTGCGCTAACTAGTTTTTTAGGTATGGTACTGGGTGAATCACGCTGCATTGGAACACCTAAAGACGTGATTACAGTATCATTGAGAAGTTCTGTTGAAGCATTAAATTGTGGCTTTTGTCTCAGAAGAAGTTGTTTGACAAAAAGTGAGGAAACAAATCTTGGACAAAAAGTGAGGAAACAAATCTTGGTATCATCCGGACAATCGCAATGTACCAGGGAGAGCAACGAAAGCTTTTTTTGATCTTTTCCGGACTGCAATTCGTGTCTGCTTCTTAAAAAATACTGTAGTCAGAATTTGGTGTGAAGACAAGCTTATTGTCTTGTTGAAATTATAAACACTTGCATCTCTTTTGGTTGGAACATTAGTTTTGAATGATAGAGGCTTCAATTTTCACACCGTAACACTTCTGGAATGATGTGAGGATCTTTCCGTCCCACCGTCACTGAACACTTGATTTTCTGATTATTCATGATTCCCTGAAATATTCACGTTCTTTGCGTCTGTTCAATTACCATGCCACAAAAAGTTAAAGATGCCTCATTTTTGCTGTTCGAATTATTGCAGGACTAAGTTTTTTTTTGCTCCAGATTTTCGGCTTTCTTTTTTGAAAGGTTTTAGTTGTCGAATGGTAAATTTCACGGCGTAATCGTGTGCTTCAAGGTTTCGCAGTAATCAGGGGAAGCAATCCCCTTAAATCGATTGGTTTACACTCGTGATTCACCGTAAGGAAACGTCGAATTTGCTTTTGTCGCAATTGAAATTACTCTGGAAATAACCGTTTCTGAGAATGCCGCGAAGTAAATCCAAACGAAGCTCCGATTTTCGCGAGCATGCGGCAGTGCTGTCGCGGAATTTTGTGAATCTGCCTCGTATCAGTGAGTTCCATTTCGATTGAGCTTTTGTTTTGCCGAATTTGTATTGCCAGAGTAGTTGATGCATTGCTAAGTTGTTGTGGAAGGAGTGATATTGAGCATGGCACCGAAAGGAGACCTTAGCGCTGGCCAGGCTCTTACGGAGCACAAATTGGCCGCTGTCCGGGACTACTTGAGTCAGCCTCGTCTCAGTACGTTTATTTGCTTGTCGTTTGCGTTCTGCTTTATTTTGGCTGCTTCGAAAGTGATTTTTTTTATTGAACGCTGACGAAAATACGATCCTTCACTTCAGACTACAAGACTGTGTCCGGTGTCAATGGACCCCTGGTTATCCTGGATGACGTCAAGTTCCCGAAGTTTGCCGAAATTGTGGATCTGCACTTGGCGGATGGCACGACGCGATCAGGACAAGTATTGGAAGTATCTGGATCAAAAGCCGTTGTTCAGGTTAGTTCATAATACAGTATTCCAAATCAAGACGGTTCGTTTTTTTTGCCCCTCCAATATGTCCTATTTCCAAGAGTTCTCTTCCTGCTACACGTACGTCATCTAATTTTCATTTCATTCTTTTTATTTTTGGTTTCTGTTCTTAAAATATGCCGTAATTTTATTCAATTAGGTCCTTGCGGTTGGGTTTGGTTAAGGTATTCAAGAAGGTGTTCAGTTAAGTATAATATCACATTGTGTTGGCTTACTTATTCAAGTTTCAGATTAGGCTTGAAATTGGGGTAAGTGCTGAATTAGGATAAATTGGGTACTTCGTCAGATTTGGTCTTGGATGTCGTTAGGCATATTAAATATGAGGTTTGTTGTTTGATTCATTGTTAAGTCTCGTATAAAGTTATGTTTTGAGTTGGGTAGTGAAGCGCGTGAAGGATTAAACACCCGATTGATTTTTTAAATCTATTCAATTGAGAGTTAGAAGAAATATTAAATGAAGTGTTTAGTTAGGTATCTAAGTGAGGTAATGTGTTATTTTCATTGAACTGAGTTGGGATTGAATTCATTGAACTGAGTTACAGGATATCATTTGGTTAGTTCTGGTTTTCTCAATTTGTATTGATATTAGGTTTGAGGTTCAGACAACTGTGATATGACTTCTGGAAATTCGAACATTCAACTGTAATTTTGTTTTTTCCAGGTTTTCGAGGGTACTTCGGGAGTGGATGCAAAAAACACAGTTTGCGAATTCACCGGCGACATTTTGAGGACCCCTGTGTCGGAGGACATGTTGGGACGAATTTTCAACGGCTCAGGAAAGCCCATCGACAAGGGACCGCCGGTCCTCGCTGAGGATTTCCTCGACATCCAGGGTCAGCCCATTAACCCGTATTCCCGCACGTACCCCGAGGAAATGATTCAGACCGGCATTTCCGGCATCGATGTGATGAACTCAATTGCCCGAGGGCAGAAGATCCCGATCTTTTCCGCCGCCGGTCTCCCGCATAACGACGTGAGTATCGTTGCCCAGCTTTTTTTTGGAAATTACGCTGTGACATTCAATTAAGTTTCCGATGTGCTATTTTAAAATTCAGAAGTGAAACATCCTACAGAAACCACCACTTCATGTGCTTCGATTCTACTCAATTTTGCATAAGTTGGCGGAGATGAAAAAATGTCGTCTTGTAGACACTTTCCAGGTTTACCTTGTTCTTTTCGACATTGTTTGAGTGAACATTTTTTCTAGAATAGATTGCCGCTCAAATCTGTCGACAAGCTGGTTTGGTGAAGCGTGGTGAGAAAGGCGGCGTCCGGGACGACCACGAGGACAACTTCGCCATCGTTTTCGCCGCCATGGGTGTGAACATGGAGACTGCGCGATTCTTCAAGCAAGATTTCGAGGAGAACGGGACCATGGAAAACGTGTGCCTTTTCTTGAACTTGGCCAACGATCCGACCATTGAAAGAATCATCACCCCGCGTCTGGCTCTCACGGCTGCGGAATTCTTGGCGTACCAATACGAGAAACACGTGTTGGTCATCCTAACTGACATGTCTTCGTATGCCGAAGCGTTGCGTGAAGTGTCGGCTGCTCGTGAAGAAGTGCCCGGTCGACGTGGGTTCCCGGGTTACATGTACACGGATTTGGCCACCATTTACGAACGTGCGGGCCGAGTTGAGGGCAGGAATGGATCCATCACTCAAATCCCGATTCTCACTATGCCGAACGACGATATCACTCACCCGATCCCAGATTTGACTGGATACATCACTGAGGGCCAGATTTACGTCGATCGGCAGTTGCACAATAGGCAGATTTATCCGCCCATCAACGTGCTGCCGTCATTGTCTCGTCTCATGAAGTCTGCTATCGGTGAAGGCATGACTAGGAAGGACCACTCTGACGTTTCCAACCAGTTGTATGCTTGTTACGCTATCGGCAAGGCAAGAGATTTGAACTTTTTGAACATTTCATGTTATTTTTCACGTACGATAACCTGCGTGTATTTATTTTTATTTTTTTTCAGGACGTACAAGCGATGAAGGCCGTCGTTGGTGAAGAGGCTTTGACATCTGAAGACTTGCTGTATTTGGAATTTTTGAACAAATTCGAGAAGAACTTCGTCAGCCAAGGTAAGGGAAGACTTCGACTCACCAAATGCATTAATAAAGAAAATAACGGGGGATTACTTCATGTTCTCATGTTCAAAATATTATTTGTGACTCGATCGAAATAGTTTCGGACTATTCAGTATTTTTGTGTCAATTTGTTTCTGTTGAAAAATAATGATTTATGTTTTTATTCTCAGGATCTTACGAAAACCGGACAGTGTTCGAATCTTTGGACATCGGTTGGCAGTTGCTGCGTATCTTCCCTAAGGAATTGTTGAAACGTATCCCGCAGAACATCCTCGCTGAATATTACCCAAGGGACGGCAGGAAGTGAAGCGATTGAACGAGGGGAATGGAATGAGTCGTTTATGCCACAACTTCTTGTTCTCTGTTGTTGCATGGCATCATGCGGAATAGTGAGACGAAAGCATTCCTGTGCAATATTTAATTGTCGAGCTTCTCAAGTCATTCCGGTTATAATACTTGTAGTCACGTATTCAATTCTAAATGCGGTGCTGTGTTTCATAATGCTATCGAATGAGCTATATTTTCGCAGTCCCGTTCCTTTTGTCATGCTAAGGGATCCTTTCGTCCTTCCATTCAGAAAGTCGGTCGACATTATGGAGGCTGTTGTGAATTCATGCATAGATTAAATGCGGGGTTCTGGCGGTCACGAGAACCGAAGTCACGTGAATATCACGGGGCAGGTTTCTAGCCGAGGAGCTTGGAGGTTATTTTTTTGTACACCACACCGGGCGTCCATTTTTGATGAGTTAGGAAAAAAGCAGCTGTGGAATCTTCGACCAACGCGTATAAAGAGAACCTATTTTCTGTTGAACTCCAGGTTTTGTCAAATTGAATCAATTTTCCGTGTTGAACGCTGCGGGTATTTAAGCCTCCCAGTTCTAAAGCAGTCTCTCGATTATTTTACGAAGCCATGCGTTCGAGTAAACGTGAATTTATGCTTATTGAATCCGCTTTTTAAACTGCTTGTTGCCGGAAATTGTGTTGACATCCCTCTGTTCTGTTTCAGGTGTCCGTGCGATCGACTTGGAAATCGTGTTTTCATTTACGAAAAATTTGAATTGAGTGAACATGTTTGAGTCGCGTTAAACTGAGACAGCCGCGTTGCGATCACGTGCATTCCAGTGAGGTAATCACGGGTGAAGCCGAGTCATGGTAATGGGAAAGGATGCTCCTGCTTCGAGATTCCCTTTTTTGATATCTGTCTTCGAGTTGCCGAGGAGTTTTTGATTAATATCTGTAAAAGGGAAGGATCGCCTTGGTCATTACCTCGGAGAAAGACATTTTAGAGGAAAAAAAGACTGCCAATTATCAAAGTTACCCTCGCATAGCGAAGTTGTTATGATTGACTGATTTATGGCTCAAAAGTTACTGTACGCAGAAGTCTGATCTTCTGGAGCACGTTTCAAATCTGGAATCTTCGTTTTTTTTTTGCTATTTCCGCAAAAAATTAGACATGAAAGCAAAGCGGATGCATTTTTTTCCATTTCTTACCGAAAAGGGACGAAGTATACCTCAGTATGACCCAAATTTTGAGTAAAATGCTTTTAAGTTGATGGCATGAGTTGAAAAGATACAAAAATTTTTGGAACAGGAAAAATCCCGAATGGTCTTGAGATGAGGATTTAAAAAAAAATCTATTCCCGGAAGCTGATCAAGCCTTTGAAAATAATCAAGCTATGTTTCTTCACAATAATGAGGAGCTCAAACGTGGACGGATTTTTCAATGATTCGGGGTAAAATGGGAATGCAATTGAGACTGCTTCTCATATGAGCATGCACAAGTTTGTCAAGGTCATTGAAAAATAATGGAAAATTTTTCGCTTGAATTAAAAATCCCTCCTCGCGTGGAATCGTTTTTGGGACTCACTGTAGTTCTCTGGGCTGGAGGTAGAAGTTAGTTGGATGTACTCGAGTTTTGTCATATCCGCTGGATGAAATTTTCATTGAATTTAAATTTTCTTCTCCTTTACAGGTTTTGTTAAAAAGTGTTTTCCATTGGAAAAGATGGGGGCGTTATTTCGAAGCGAGGAGATGAGCTTATGTCAGCTCTTTCTCCAGAGCGAAGCTGCGTATGCGTGTGTTTCGGAATTGGGAGAACTTGGACTGGTTCAGTTCCGTGATGTAAGTGATATCGATTCATTTGAATTTAATACTGTATTTTTCACTCTTTAATCTTCGGTATATCTTAATTATTGGATTATGCTGTGATGTATTTTGGGAAGCATTTATGGGGTTGGAACTGAATTTTCCAAGTTGATAAATGAACCTTTCATTGTTGAGTTGTTGAATGCCTCCAGCAGAATTATAATTCTAAAGCTTCGAAGAAACGTTTTAAAATGTGTAGGAAATCGAACTAAGCTTTATTCCATTTAATTTGTGTGCAATTTCTTCCGAGCGTCGTTGTCCAATGTGCGATGTTGATTTTTTTTTTACAATATCCTACCATTGTTTCATTCTTTGTTTTGGAATTACAGTAGTAAAAAATATTTTTAGAACTCAAGTATCCTGGTACAGTAGCTCTCAACATACACTGATCTGTTCTTCAGTTGAATCCGGATGTCAATGCATTTCAACGTAAATTCGTCAACGAAGTTCGCCGTTGCGATGAAATGGAACGCAAACTCCGCTTTTTGGAGAAGGAGATTAAGAAAGATGACATCCCTGTTCTGGATACTGGGGAGAATCCCGAAGCTCCGCAGCCCAGGGAGATGATCGATATGGAGGTAAAATAATTTTTCTCCTGAATCGTGTAATCTAAGATGCAAATATTCATTGATTGCACATTCCAGGCGACTTTCGAGAAACTGGAGAACGAGTTGAAGGAAGTGAACAACAACGCGGAAGCCCTGAAGAAGAACTACTTGGAGCTGACCGAACTGAAGCATATTTTGCGCAAGACGCAAGTCTTCTTCGATGAGGTGTGTTTTTGAAAGGAAGCCAGGGTGGTCAAGTATTCATCTTTTACAACTTTTTATTTTAATTTTTCAGCGAGACACTGAAGAAAGCAGCGAAATCAGAAAATCGTTGATTACAACTGATGCTGTGGGCGGTGCACCTACAGGCCAACTCGGGTATGTATCGTGTGAATTATTCGACGAAAATTCGCGATCGCATCTTTTATTCGCATTCAAGTTGATATTTTATTGTTTTTTGTGGCAGTTTCGTTGCTGGTGTTATTAACCGTGAACGGTTGCCTGCTTTTGAGCGTATGCTGTGGCGTGCCTGCCGTGGTAATGTCTACTTGAAGACGGCTGAAATTGATTCTCCTTTGGAAGAACCTTCTAATGTGAGACACTTTTGTGTTATCCATACAATCAAAGATCTGGCAAACTTGGAACACAATTTTGGTTTGAAATACAGTACGTGATTTTCGCGTGCGCAATTGAGATTTCTTTAAACTTTGGTTCAACTTTTTATTTTATTCATCTCTATAGTTTTTTTTTCTATTTCATCTACAAAGAGAAATTCGGGAGTTTTGATTCGAAAAGTTTGACCAATTCCCTGTGCAGAAAAAGTTTTTAGGTGAATAAGGTAATCATGTACAGTATATCCTATTAGTGTACATAGTCAAATTTCTTCCATAGGAATATGTGAACATTTTAATGTAAAATTTTGTGAGCAAAGCCGGTTTTGATGAGTGATTTACAACATTGGACCCATTTATTTTCTTTCACAGTTAAAGGGTATTGAATGGCATTGAGATTTTCAACTGCCTGTCGACCTCCGACCATGTTCCGATCCGTTTTTGGTCTATTTATTTTCTTCAGGGAGACCAGGTTTACAAGACCGTCTTCATCATCTTCTTCCAAGGCGAGCAGCTGAAAACTCGCGTGAAGAAGATCTGCGAAGGGTTCAGGGCAACTCTGTACCCATGCCCTGATACTCCTTCGGATCGTCGCGAAATGGCCATGGGTGTCATGACTCGAATTGAGGACTTGAACACGGTGATTATTTTTTTTTATCTTGAACACTTGGAGAACGTTTCCCCTCTGTTGTACTTTATCTGACGGTGTAGTTGGAATGATAAGTTTTGGACTCATTAATCTAACTGATGCTCGAGAAAATGTTTATTTCGGACGACATCTACGTAGTGTCGAAGTTAATCGAGGAATCAAGGAGTTGAGGGAAAATCAAAGTTCCTTCAGTATTGTGCTGTGCTTCACTTACACTTTTTATGAACGTTTCAGGTGTTGAGGCAAACACAAGATCATCGCCATCGTGTGTTGGTTGCTGCGGCGAAGAATATCAGGAATTGGTTCATCAAAGTCCGGAAGATCAAAGCGATTTACCACACCTTGAATTTGTTTAATTTGGACGTCACGCAGAAATGTTTGATTGCCGAATGCTGGGTTCCCGTCGCTGACATGGAAACCATTCAGCTTGCCCTTCGTCGAGGGACTGTACGTTTTTTTGAAGCCATGCTTTCCTGCCTGTCTGAATCGTCACTACTTCCTCAAGTTTCTCCCGTGAACTAAATTGCAATAGGTTGACAAATTTTAGGCTTTCCAGTGTTTGATTAAGCTAATAAGCCTGTAAAAGTTTTGGTTTCAACTGTTCGTCACTGATAGAAACATCTTTGCAGGAGAGAAGTGGAAGCACTGTTTCGCCCATCTTGAACATGATGACAACAAAAGAAGCTCCACCAACCTACAACCGCACAAATAAGTTCACGCAGGGTTTCCAGAACTTGATCGACGCATACGGTGTTTCCACTTACCGTGAAGTCAATCCAGGTGAAATCGGGAATTATCTTCAGTAAACGTTTTCAAAGACTTTGATTTACTTTCTGTTTATTGTGTCCCACAGCTCCGTATGCCGTCATCACTTTCCCGTTCCTTTTCGCTGTTATGTTCGGCGATATTGGACACGGACTGATCATGTTCTTGGCTGCACTCTATATGGTTTGGAAAGAGAAGCCCCTGCAAGCCCAGAAGATTCAGAACGAGGTATTTAAATTTTTCGTTCAGTTTGAAATCGGTGGGAAAAATTTATTGGAATTCGTTATCCAAAGTGTCTAAAGCATCAACTTCCTGAGTCCAAGAGTTTGAGCGTGTATGTGTGTTTTTCTATTTCTCTTGAAATTTTAAGATTTTCACGATGTTCTTCGGAGGGCGTTACATCATTCTTTTGATGGGATTTTTCTCCATCTACACCGGATTGATGTACAACGACATCTTTTCGAAATCGCTGAACATCTTCGGATCATCTTTCACGGCTGAGCATATTCCGTGAGTCGGGTTTTACTATCTTGAGTGCAGGGCAAAAATTATCGTCCTTCTTGGTTCTTGGAAGTTTTTTTTTTTTTTTTAATTAATTTTACGTGACGCGTACCCATCGGACAATTTTTCTGTTTTCCCTACATTGAGTTACAGACTTGTTAGTGCTATTCTTTTCAACTGCGGCCTATTATTAAGCCTGTGTCCTCTCCAAATCAGTAAAATGTTCATTTTTTCTGTGTTCCGATTCTTCATTTATAATTTCTCTTCAACGTTTTTGGACCAGCCACGGAGCCCTCTGAGAACTTCAGGCTTATTCTGATTAATTCGAGCTAATTTTTCTCATTCAGGTTGAACGATATCAAGAGCCACGAGGTTCTACAGTTGAACCCCAATTCGACTGCCCAGCAGTATACCAACAAGCCATATCCCATTGGCATTGATCCTGTTTGGCAATTGTCCGCCAACAAAATCTCGTTCTTGAACTCGTACAAGATGAAGAACTCCATCGTTTTGGGTGTTGCCCAGATGCTGTTTGGTGTCATGCTCTCTTTGTGGAACCACACGTGAGTGTTCTCATTCATTAGATTATAATACTGTAGTCCGTTTTTAAATGTTCGGGATGTACCACCAATCATTGGAACGCGATCATTTTGAAGCCAATATTATTTCAGTAAACTTTTCACTTTATTATTCTTGAGTCCAGGAGAAAATTTTTGAAAAAAAGATTGACGTGTGAAGAAAAAAGAAGTGTCAGCGAGTGAAAATATTAGTTTCTCCGTATCCGCGATGCTTGAGAAAACCGTCGCCATCAAGAACTGACGGATCGACAGCAAAATTATCTATAATCCCTAGTATTTTTCAGAAATTTTGAACTCAATTTCATTGTTTTTGAAGGTATTTCAAGCGTCCTCTGAACATCTACTGCGAGTTCATCCCGCAAATTTTGTTCTTGCTGTCACTTTTCGGCTATCTGGTCATCCTCGTGTTCTTCAAGTGGGTCTGGTATAGCGCAGACACAGCTGGTTGTGCACCATCCATCCTCATTACCCTCATCAACATGGTACTGATGAAGGACAATGAAGTTCCTGGATGTCCGTCGACGGTTTACGCTGGACAGGTGTGTTTCTGAAGAACAGATTTTTCTTTTTTCCATTCAAAGGCTTCGTCGAATATCGAACAATTGACATTGATGCTGCAACTTTTATGAATGAATAGCTTTTTCGGAAAATGTTTGTAATGGAGTTCTGAGTCGCAATACATTTTTTTTTTTATCTACAGCAACAATTCCAACAATTCCTGGTGCTGATCGCGTTCCTCTGCGTTCCCTGGATGCTGTTGGTGAAACCTTTCGTGCTGTTTCGACAGAATAGCGCCCGCGTCCGTGCAAGAGCAAATGTAAGTTTTTCAACTTTTTGGTTCTTACGTCCGGGATATTTGAGAAATGTGTACTCTAATTTTGACAGGAGTAGAATTGAATACTTAATCTTTTACTAAAGGTTCTCGTTGTGATGGTGATCTCTTATGTCGTTAAACTTCTAGTTCCATTATAAAAAAGCCCAATGTCTCAGAAATGATGTATTCTTTTTTATTTGGAATGGGTGTTACCTGAGTTTTTTATTCCTTTTTTGGTGGATTCAATTGGATTAGGATGGATTTGTTGAGTTATTTTTTGGATAGGTCAAGTTTTCTTGTGAAACCTACGTGGCTCTTCAAAGGGCAAGTTCGGGCATAAACAAGAAAGTAATAAAGTTTTAAAAATTCGTCCTTCAAATTTTGTGACACATGAAGCTGATTTGAAGTATTTATGAGCTTCTAAGGTCATATTATAATTTTTTAGGGAGTCAATTCGACGTTGGCGGCGGAAGAAGGGGTTGTTGCTACCGATCCGCATTCTTCTGGAGGCCATGGAGAACACGGTGATGAGGAGTTCGAATTTGGAGAGGTTTTCGTTCACCAAGCCATCCATACCATTGAATACGCCCTCGGGTCAATCTCTCACACTGCTTCTTACTTGCGTCTTTGGGCCTTGTCACTCGCCCATGCCCGTGAGTTCCTGCCGATCATGTTCTAAGAAAATTTGGGATACAATTCTGGAGAACCTATTATATTTAGTCTAGAAAAGGAGAATGGTGTTGCCTGTCTGGCTGCTTGCAATCAAAGACGCGCGAAATTACGACCATCTTATAGAAACCCATGCAATCTTCGGAGAAAATTTCTTGAAAAAATTCAACGAGTGTCTGTGTTGTTCACATCAATGCAGCTCTAGTTATAAAATGGGCCATATTTTCAATATCGTTAAATTACTATTTCACAATTATTTTCAAAGCCGATGAGTCAAATCGTTTAAAACCCTAACTGTAAAAAGAATTTTCTTTTTTGTCAAAGTGTCATCAGAAATCTGTTATCTTGGGATACCGCCTATCGCTGAATGTTTTTGACCCTTTGCCCTCGCTTAATTTTTATGAAAGCGTTGGCAAATTTATGAAGCGAATGGCAAAGTAAAATCGGTTAGGTCACAGAATTTCGTTTTCTTCCATAGTCAGCCTTCTGGATCTGATATTTCGAACATATTTTTGAGTCTAAAGTCGTCATACGACGATGGATACTTTTTCCGTGAATAGGTTACTCGCGTAGTTTCTGGAAAGGGTGCGACTAAGTCAGATGTAGCCTTTCAAGAAGTAGAGTGTTGTTCTCTTTCTGTGTGTAATAAATCCATGATGTAATCATGAACGCATGTCAACGGCAAAGGATTACGGGGTTGTAGCTACTGCTGCGGTGTAGGAATCATTTGAGGAATTAGTAAAGCGTGTTGCCTGGACATACGTGCTCGAATCTTGATTCTTTTTTCCATATTTCAGAGCTGTCTGAAGTGCTGTGGGGAATGGTTTTGTCCCTGGGACTGCAAATGGAAGGCTGGTGGGGCGGGATCATCCTCTACGTGCTGTTTGCCTTCTGGGCTGTTCTCACCGTCGGGGTTTTGGTCTTGATGGAAGGCCTGTCTGCTTTCCTGCACACACTTCGTCTCCACTGGTGAGTTAATCATGGATTTCGCATTCTGCTTTCGTCGTCTCGTACGGTACGCACGAATTTTTATGCTCAAAAACTGACTTTCAAGTCGAAAAATTCTTTTTTCAAGTCTTATGACGCACTCGTGTGGAATTTTCACTCGTGGATTTTCACACTTGCATTGAGTTTGTTTTCGAAGTAAAATTTTAAAAATGAGAGGCCATATTCGTTAAAAAGGAAATACTGTGTACTGTATTAGTAAGGATGATTCATGTGTTCGAAGTCGCCCTCGGCGTCGTGATGTATTTAAGCTGCTTCCAAAAATTTTGCCATGAGAAATAGGGCAGGTGTTGTGCCTATTTTTTTTCTCGAAAATGCGCTGGGGCTTATTTTTGACAGAAGGGGAAATTTTGGTGGGATGCTTGGATCGTGGAATTGAAAATGCCGCAAGTTCTGAAAAGCTTGAAATTCTTTTTTGCCTCGAAAACTTGTGAAACAAGAGCTCCACTCGTTCAGTCACCTAAATACAATTTCAGTACCGTATTTTCTCGGGAAATTTCGAAATTTCCTCAGGCTCACTTTGAAGGGGGTCTCTGATAAAATTCATAAAAATGCAAGAAATCATTTTTTCCGTTCAATATTCATGTGGAATTACGACACAGTGGTGCGAGTCAGATGGAAGAGAGCATTTGAAGTAAATGTGAAAATGCATTATTAAAAAGAAGACGAGATCTGGATTGAACTTTTCCTATTCAGGCATCTCATACAATGTTGCAGTAAATAAAATCCTCACTATGCTTCTTTCATATTCAAGTCTTGTCACCCGCCCTGGTTGACCAGTAATTATTTTTTGCGATGATTATGGTTGGTGGTTGATAATTGCGTTCTGTTTTATTCCATGAAGCGATCAGCCAGTTGTATAAACCAACAGTTCGTGCGTGACGGTTGTGATAAATTTCACATCACTGTGTATCAGCAATAATGGTCGCGGAATATGCACTATTGAAACCTGATATTGATGAACGTGGTGGATTAGCTTTGCAAGTGTCGCGCAGTTATGAGAAGGATCTTTGTTCGAATTCACGAAATTATTTCTCCTACCGCTTTCCGAGAATAGAATTAAATTGTACAGAACCCCGGAAATAGTGCGACGTCATTATGGTCGGCGAAAATGTCGAGGCTGGTTCAAACGTTTTACTAGATTTTCATTCCTTGTCATGAGGACGTTCCAAGAGGAAAATAATTTCAGTAGAGTACTACTCCGTCTTGGTCTGCCTTACGATGCAATTATTCCCAGCCAAATGTTGAATGTAGAGAAAAAATTGAAATAACACCCTTTCCCTTATGGGATTGAGGTTTACTCGGAGTACAGTACAGTTTTCGCATGTTTTATGAACGTAATGGTAAATTGCTTTACTATTAGTACGACTGAGTGCAAAGGTATGTTCATTTTTTTTTTTTTTCAGTCTTGTACTCCCCATGTCAGATATATGTACGAAGATGGACGTAATGAATGGAAAGTTGAATCGATCTTTTTCTGAAATTAGCTCCAATATTTGCTCACACAAGTTGAGCGAAAATTTCGATAAAAACATTTTGTTGCTGATGAGCAATCATGAACTTTACCTGTGACGCTAAGGCGCTATCAAAGTTTATGTGCCGCCTAATTAAGTACTCTCTTGGATTTTTGCATTGAAGTTTTCTCCAAAAAAAAAACTCGTTTTAATTTTGCGCAAATACGGTAGTTCCTTGTGTATATAGATGCTCGGAAAGTGTGGCAATTCGGCTGAAATATCCGCCTTCTCATGTACAATTTCTTTGCTTTCAGGGTCGAATTTCAGAGCAAGTTCTATGACGGCAACGGATATGCATTCATGCCCTTCTCCTTCGAAGTCATCCTGGAGGCCGCTCGAGCTGCTGATGAATAAACGAACAATTCAGGCGTTTCCGTAACAACAAAATTCGATTCGACGAACAAGGTTAAAAACCCTTTCGAGGATAAAAGGATGTGGATTCCCCTTCTTTCCTGGACGAAGCCTCTTCGTCTGGGTAGGGGGGTGGTTCTCCGCGGATGTCAATTTCATGGTTCATCGCTTCAGGTTACATTCCCCTTCCGTATATATCGCTTTCAACGTGCCATAGACGTTTTTGAGCCTTTCGATGTGCTTTCGATGTGGAATTACGGTGTTATTCTTAGCAAGTTACGGGATTTCATTTGAATTTTTTCTGGGGAAGATCATCCACTGATCATCAGTTTAATTACGGCGTGTTGATTCAGTCTTCTATGAAAATTTCGATATTTTCTGACTTTTGTTCTGGGGCTTTTTTCGGACTAGTTCTGTTGCACTTGATTTCAAAATCGGGAATATGTATTACGCTTGGAGCTTTCTTGAAACGTATTTGCAATTTTTTCGGATGAGTAATGTGGAATCTCTTCGTAATTTTACTGTTTTTGCCGCCGAATCTTTCATTATATTTCTTTTGCCGAATTTTCTGAACTTCTTTAAGTTGCTATCCCGTGGCTTCTTTTTATTGCATTCGACTTTCGAAAGCCAAAAATATTTACTACTCATAACGTACGCATCAACGATGTAGAATATGTCTCTGAATGGTTAATTTTGGAGCCTCGAAAATGTTGAAATACTTGTCGAGACTTGTTCCTTTTTCATCTTATTCGATATTCATTGAGCATCTCATGTTTGTCAAGAATATGCTATGTCATTCTTTCCTGTCCTAGCCGCTGTTGATGAAAAACCCGTCGTAGTAGTAATAAAAGCTTCAGATCGCATTCTGGTCTTTTTTTTATCTCTCATTCCGATTTCCGAGTCTCACAAAGTCCTGAGACACGAATTAATGATCGTGAGTCAAAGGAAGTGCAGTGGATTGGTTTTTTTTATGGGCGTCTGGATCAGAAACATCGTCATCTGTTGGTGATGATGAAGTGTAGCGAGTTGACGTGAGTTTCCTACTTCCATCAGGAGCGGATAAAGAGGTAATCTGGTAAGTTCTGTAACCCATCTTTTCTCTGAAAAGCTTTATGATTGATTGAATTGAATTCAATGGGAGTCAAACTTGAAGGCAGGTCTTCAGACTTTTTCATATAAGTTTTTTCATAAGACTTTTCATTATAAGAAAACAAAAACTTTTATGAATTACGGTACTGTAGTTGCCGGACATGTGCACCTATGGAAAATTGTCAAAAGTGGGGTGTTCGTGTGGTATGATGTGGGTGCACATCTTTCATAAGGGGGAAAAAGTCATGAAACCATATGGTGTAAGTCGAATGCTAGTCTCGGATCTTAAGTGAAAAACTAGTTCGAAAAATTATTTTTACCATCCGTAGTGTTTCAAGGCTTTGTGTTATAATACTTGATTATGCAATTTTTGTTTAAATAATTATGTTGCATGAAAAATTTCGATTTCGTCCATCAAAAAACGGGGATGTTGGTCATATATACTGTGGGGATAAATTATATTTTTATACAAATTTTGAAAAAAAATCAAGGTTTCAATTTCACTCAATGACATGCTGCATGTGAGTGAAGACAGAACAGTAAATGGACTCAGTATTTCTCGAATACAGTACAGTACGCACCAAAATTCTTCCTGCCACTTCCGGAAAATTAGGACTGAATTCTGTACTGCGGGATTGATCGAACTGGGAACTAAATATAGATAGTGTATTTTGGCAAATAACAATCCAAGCTCTCGGAAGTAACCTGTGACCCGTTCATTTTGCTGAATTAGAATATTTTCGAATTGATTATTTAGTTTTTGAACATGAGCGTAAATCTTGCTCCATAAATTTGAGTGGGCTTTTTTATATCTTCATGATTTGATCATTTTCCAATCTCACCACTGTTTATATGTACCATGCACTGCATCAGCTGAATGTTAATTTTACCACCTGTGGAGAGCCTCAAATCCCTGGCCTCATGATTGCAACTTTGTTTGCAGCCTTGTTGATAACTGCTGTATCACAGTGCAAAAACATAATTTATTCTTAGCATCCCATAATTCATCAATATTTTCAGTATTACCTTATCATTCAGTCAGTTATTCCTCCCATAACTGGTTTAATTTAATTCCACACCGATTCGATAAATGGAAACCACCACTTGGCAACCTGGAACCAATAATTGAAATGCCTAGAAAATTTGTACCTGAATATACCAGGTAAATAATGCCTGCATTTTCCATGGAAAGATGCACACGTGCTTTTCTGCTTCTTATTGTGGTCTAAGGGAACTATAAAACCTGACTCTTTTCTTAAGTTGATGACAAATGCACTTCAAATAAATAATGAATGAATAATTGCTTCTGACGCTGTGTCAAGTGCATGCAGCAGCACTACCTGAAACATTCCTGTTGCCAGCAGATAGATGATGGCATGTCAAGCTATGTTGAACATGGATTCATCACACCAGAGTACCAAGACACAACTTTTAACCTCTTTGCAGACATATCACGCAGAATTTGGTGTGTGTAAGTGTATAGGTGCCAAAGTGTGCAAGTGCAGATGTAGCTTATAGAAGTATATTCAGTACAGTATCTTTGCATGCCAGTGTTATTTTCATTCCAAATGTGTTGCAGCTGCTGTATAGACTGCATTCATGATGGGAAAATTATCTTCTCTTCAATAGATTAATCAAAAATTCAACATAAAGAATATATCACATATATCTTACCAAGAATCTGTGATAAATTAAATAATTGTAATGAAAACAATCGGAACACCACCTTTTCTGTATTTCATCCATTTCTGGATGCATCGCATCAAGTTCTTATTGATACATCAAGCATGATTGTGGGGATTTCAGGACATTGACTAATGGCAAGTTTACAGTTTGGCTAGGTGCATTGTGAATGTCACCAGCAAAATAAATAGAAATTACTAAAATTGAGTAAATACCTATATATTTAAATTGAATTTCCATAAATAGGTTACCTTTTATGCTGCATATATTCCTTTGCTGCTGGTGAACTCGTCTTCTCCATCGCGCATGTGCTGGTCAATGGTCCCTGTATGAATGTGAGACGAGGACAGGGCATCCCCTTCTTGTGTTTTCGGTTCGTCATGCGAAATAGGTTCGGAATTGCTTATAGGAAACCAGGGCGAAATCCAAAAGAAAAACCAATTTCCTGCTGCTTTCGCATCATGGTGGCAGCAAATGAAAGAGGCGTCCTTGAATGGGTGCGAACCATGGCGAGAGAGCGTCGGAGCAATGCGCTCGAAATCCCATTCCTCCAGGCGACTGAAGAAAATAAGGACGGCTTTCCTGCTGATGCAGTCTCTTTTTTTCCCCTTCTGACGAATTATGTTACCTTTTTTTTCACTTGCACACCACAGACGAGAAGATTGGAAGAAAATATATGCTGTTTTTAGTAGTGCAGTAGCAGTATACCTCTCTCTGGTCGGCATTGGATGCATTTCATCCAAGATTTCCGCTTCCATCAGTACCAAAGAGTGTTGGGTTCTGGGATTGCGTGGAAGACAATCCAGTTCTATCCATTTGCTTGAGTGTATATGAAAAGAATGGCATATAATAAGATGGAGTTCAGACTTGAAAATACTATGGAGGTACTGATGTACAAGCATAAAAATCCCTCTCATCCACACTGCAAAATAGAATTGATTACTTCTTTCCAAGTAAAGAATTTATTCTTCAGCTATCCCTCTTATGGATATACAGCAGCTATTTAGATTTTCTTTTCATTTATACAGGAAGTACACTGCAATATGTTTATTCTGTCTCCGCACCTTTAATCACACATCATTCGTATGCCGTTTTTCGGGTTACTTTTTATATTAAGATTCAGCAAAAATATTTTTTGCAAAAAATAAGCAATCCAGCATGCAATAAAGCTGAGAGACTAAAAAATTCAATTTTTGATCTCAAATGTTAATTTACAACACGACAAAAGTTAATTTGAACAACTGAAAAATTAATTGTATATGCTTTTTTTGTTTCTACCTTCATTTTGTCGGTTTCTTTGTGGCGTTCGATTACCCGTATTTATTGGCCTGTAAATGAGAATGAAAATCCATTATATCTCTAATTATTTCTTCAAAATGATATGATTCATATGATTTGATTTCATGGAAGAAAATACATTGGCATTCAGTATTGGAAGGTCATATGAACATTCAAAGAGAGTTATTATTACAAAAAACTCTCAAAAGACTGAAATAAAACGTTGAAAAAATGAGCCAAACGTCACTCAAACTTGAAGTTTCTTCTGGGATTGAATTCGCAGCTTAAAAATCAGGTCTTCTATAATTTGCAAACCTTATTTTTCTTGAGGACCGTACTGGGAATCAGACAGAATAACGCAATAAACATGTTTTCCAACTGCACTATTAAAACTACGGCAAATATTTCGGATGGGTGGATGATTTAATAACCTTGTATTTATAATTACTGCACAGCATAGTACAGTGCATTGAACTTTACATGCTTCAGAGACTTGAAACGAGGATGAGCTGTGAGGAACAGATGTCGCTCGCATCGAGTCACCGTATACAGGTAGCTCTCTAACCAAAGAATAAAACACCCACGTAAGGAACAGATGTCGCTCGCATCGAGTTCCCGTATAGCTCTGTACTGTATAACCATGCAAGAAAAAAAAAAAACCACAAAAAATCTCCACGCAATGGGAAATTACGCGGAATTTCCTATTACGTAATACTTAAAGCGCCTCCACCATTTTCCCCATAGCGAGTTATACATAGTACAGTATTCATCCACGATTTACAGTGTTCAGTTGTCTATCGCATCTTGAAGTGTGTTCATTTTGATTTCCACTGTTCTCAAAGTCCGATTCTTTTGATTGGGTTTTCGTTTTGAATTCTTCACTTGACATAATCCGTTCCTCCACGCCTTATTTTATCATTGTATTTCTTTTTTTTTCTGTCTCAATTCCCGTGAAATACAATTTATTTTTATTCTCTTCCGGGGTTTTTACCAAAATGCCCCCTGCTGTGTTCCCTGGTGGATTATGATGGGTTTTTTCCTAAACTTTGCTTATTTCAAATTATTTTTTTTTCTCTTCGCACAGATGCGAATCGTCTTGAATAAAAAAAAAACACGATTCATCTAATCCGATGAAAACATTTTTGAAGTCTGTGTTCACGTGACTGCGAAAAACGGGAATCAATTATGCACAAATGAAAGAGTTCTTCATTTTTTCTCTCTCTACACATTCACACTTCAACAACAGAAAAAAAGAAACCACGCATTCGATTCAACCAACACAGCAGCAAAGCAGCAGCGCAAAGAAGGGCATCAGTCGAATAACTAAAAATTTAGTACAAAAGGATTCGCATGTTACAAATTGAGTCATTTCAACTCTAAAACTCGATGCCTGCATTTCTAGCTCATTCGTCGTTGAAAATATATCGTCTCCAGAGAAAGAAAAATGTACATGCATTTTAAAAGTATTTTATGATTCGTGGAAAATGAAATTTCCGGAGACTATAAAAATGTATACGCGTACACGTCATATTTTTTTGACAAGTGAAATACACGTTTGAACTATACACTTGACAGAAATATACTTCCATTTATTTTTCAACACATGTCCCCTTCGCATCATTTACAGATTTTAATTTTTTTAGATCATATATAGATTGTTTAAAAACGCCTTTAGCTGAAATCAATACGAAAGAAGAAGCAAATTTTTGCCAGAATTAGAAAATTGCGGTTTTTTCTTACTAATATGACATGATGACATTTTTTGATGAAACTAGAAAAAATATAATTTGATCTAGACAAGTGAAGCAGCAGT